TGAAATTTCATGCACTCAAACTCTTGCTGGCTATGTTGTGCCCTGGCTCAGAACTGAAATATAATATCACAGTGGCCTCCTGATGGTGTGGATCAGTCCAGACAGATCTAGGTTAACATGGAAAAGCAAGTGAGATGCCAAGCGGGATACTAGAATCAACCTTCTTTTTGTTCTCCTAAAGCGACACCTTTGAAGAGCCCTGGCATTTTCCCTGGTTAAGAAAAGCCTCCTGCAGACTTCAAAGAAGCTCCTCCCTTCTTTGCTGGAAAATTTCAGCCGCACCTTACTGTATTCTGACTTTAGCATTCTTCACAGCTCCTACTGCAGTGCTGTCATGATGAGAAGTCTGAATTGCTGCATTTGGCCTCAGGTATGGTGGGCTCTGCACCACCACACCTGCACCTTGATGTTTGGTTGATAGAAGTTGGCCTCTCACTCATAGCAAAATCTAGGGCCCTGGGGTGACTACCCTGTTAAGAATTTTAATAATGCAGAGGCTACAATGGAAAAATTTCTGCATTGGGAGTCAGGAGGTCTGGGTTAATTCCTAGGATCTGTCCTGTGTGGCTCTGTGACTATGGGGGACATATTTAATCTCTATGGGCTTCATATTCTTTCCCTGCAAAGATGAAGAACTGGAACAAAGTTATCTCTAAATCCCATCTTGTTCTAAAATTCTAAACTATGATTCATTGCATGTTTTGTCTCTGTTGGCCCCTGTGCTAGATATGAGGAGCATGAAAACAAAAAAAATAATAATAAAAGTTAGTGCCTACTGAATGTTTAAATATGTGCCACAGATTGAATTAAGTATATACAATGTTTTGTTCAGTTTTCAGAATATCCCTATGAGACTAGGTTTGTCATAAGTCTTATTGGCCTTGTGAAAGGACCATTTTTTGGTCCTCCCCGTCCCCCCAGGTAGGGCCCCTACTCTCGTAGATTTACCTTGAGAGCAGTGATGTGAAAGACACATTCTAGGTGCTTAGCCAGAAACAACTCTGCTGTGGCAATAACTAGGCTGTTGGTTAATAATAGTGGTGACTTAAGACATGTAAATAGATTGCCCCTCCCCACTATTTCTTAAAAAAAATTTTTTTCTATCAAATAGCAAGACTTACATTAAATCTCCAGTAATTAGAACAATGTGGTATTAGCTCAAGAATAGACAAATAGCCCACTGGAACAGAATAAAGAGTATAGAAACAGACCCAAGTATCTATGAGCATTTAGCATATGACCATTCATTATATGACAACACTGATTGCAGTGGTGCCCAGTCAACTGGATTGGACAGTCATGTGACAAAAGCTGACTTGACTCCTACTGCACACTGTACACAAAAAGCATTTCAAATTTTTGTAGCTCTAAACGTAGATATTATAATTATCAAACTTCTGGGAGGTAACATACACGAATATACTCATGATCTTAAACTAAGCAAAGATTTCTTAAATAGGACACAAAAGTCATTACAACTATACAAGAAAAAAAAAATGAGTAAATGGGACCACATTAAAAAACAAGAATTTTTGCTCAAAATGCACCATTAAAAAGTGAAAGAGGAAGATACAGGGAGGAAGAGGATATTTGCAACATGTACATTTAATAAAAGATCATATATAGAATATAGAAGGAACCTCTACAAATCAGTAAGAGAAAGGAAGACCACCCAATCTAAAAAATGGGCAAAATACTTGAGTAGACAGGTTACAAAAGAATATCCAGATGGCCAGTGGACATAATGGAAATGTGCTCAAGTTCAGTGGACTTAAAGGAAATGCAAGTTAAAGTCTCAGTGCATTACCACCTCATACCAACCAGAATGGGTAAAAGAAACCAACCAGAAAACCTGACTATACTAGGCTTTGTAAGTACTGGCAAGAATGTAAACCACCTAGAACTCATATGTACTCTGGTAGGAGTCTAAATTGGAAACGATTTTTAAAAACTGTTTGAGAGAACTATTAAAGATGAACCTCTAAAAAAAAAAAAAAAAAAAAGATGAACCTCTGCATTGCCTATACCTCAGTAGTTTCAGGTTCTGGTTATATCCCCAACACAAATGCATACATATGTTCACTGAAAGACACATGCAGAAACATTAGTGGCAATACTTTTCATAGTGGTCCACACTGGAAACAACTCTAATTTGAAACAACTCTGATTTCTACCTCCAATAAGAAGTATAAATAAGTTATAGCATATTCATATAAATAAACTACTAGGGCAATGGGAAGTGAAGAGTTACTGTTTCACCTAAAAATGATGAATCTTGCAAACATAATCAGTTAAAGAAGCTGTACACAAAAGAGAACCTAGTATATTATTCCATTTTCACAAATTTAAAAAATAGGCAACATAACCCTTTCGTTTTGGAAGTCAGAATAGTGGTTTGCCAATTTGGGGAACAGGATACTTTTGGGGTGCTGGTAGTGATTTGTTTCTTATTCAAGATAATGTTTATACAGGTGTTTTCAGTTTGTGAAAATTCATTGAGCTGTTTACTTATTTATGCAATTTTCATATGAATGTTGTTCAGTTGCTAAGTTGTGTCAGACTCTCTGTGACCCCATGGACTGCAGCATGCCAGGCTTCCCCGTCCTTATCTATCTCCCAGAGTTTGCTCAAATTCATGTCCATTGAATCGGTGATGCTATCTAAACATCTCATCATGTGCAACAGTCTTCTCTTCCTGCCTTCAGTCTTTCCCACCATCAGAGTCTTTTCTAATGAGTCAGCTCTTTGCATCAGGTGGCCAAAGTATTGGAGCTTCAGCTTCAGCATCAGTTCTTCCAATGAATATTCAGGTTTTTATTTCCTCTAGAATTTACTGGTTTGATTTCCTTGTAGTCCAAAGGACTTTCAAGCACCTTTTCCAGTACCACAATTTGAAAGTACCGATTCTTCAGTGCTCAGCCTTCTGCTACTGGAAAAACCATAGCTTTGATTGTATGGACATTTGTCAGCAAAGAGATGTCTCTGCTTTTTAATATTCTGTCTAGGTTTGTCTTGGCTTTCCTTCCAAAGAGAAAGCACCTTTTAATATCATAAGAATATTATATTGTAAAAACATTTTTACCTAAAAATTTTAAAAAACAAGGTAGATTTTAAGATTCTAACTTTGAATTAATAAAAGATTCATATTATTAAAAATTTAAAAAATATAGAAGGGAAATAATTTAAAAGTCTGCTTTCCACCCCTGTTGTCCAGCCATCCAGTTCCCTTCCTCATAGGTAACCAATAGTATTAGTCTTTTTGGGTATCTTTCCAGAGTTATTTTTTAATATGCAAGCAAATATATATGTAAGTAGTTAAACATACACACATCTATTCTTCCCCACTTACCCTTTTTATATGTATGGCAATATTCTGAACACATTATTCTACAGTCTGCTTTTGCCGTTTATCTTAAAAATCTTTCTATATCAGTACATAAAGAAGTTCCTTATTTCTTCTTACAGCTGGATAATGTACTACTGAAAGAATGTGCCATGATTTATTTAATAGATTCCCCTCCTGATGGGCATTTGGTTAAATTATTTCTGGTTGAGAAGCTTTCTTGATCCTGATCTATGTTGTGTTACATATCTATTTTCCCAGGCCTCATTTTAACTTTTTACAGCAGTTTGAACAGGTTGATCTGTAGTAAAGCAGTACTTTGTATGAAATAAGAGGATGGAAATAAAATAATTTTTCTGCCTTTAAACTTTTAAAAGAAAGGCTGTCTAAGTAACTGGACTGCAGAATTTCAAACCTAGGAATGCTGGCAGAGAACTAATTCTGTGCTTTCTTATGATTGATTTCTTTAATATTCTGATGAAAGTTAAGGATTTTCTCCTTAGAAAAATAAACACATATGTAAAATTTTGCATATAAGTTTTGGGGCTGACAAACCCCTTAAAATTCCTCTATGGGTTCTAGATTAAGAATCTGTTGGGACTTTCCTGGTGGTCCAATTAAGAATCCCACTTCCAGTGCAGGGACATGGGTTCAGTCCCTGCTCTTGCAAGATTCTACATGCCACGGGGTAACTAAGCCCTTGTGCCACAACTATTGGGCCTGCACTCTAGAGCTCGTTCTCTACAAGAGAAGCCGTCACGCTGAGAAGCCCATGCACCACAACTAAAGAGTAGCTCACCGTAACTAAAGAAACCCTGCATGCAGCAGTGAAAACCCAGTGCAGCCAAGAATAAATTAAAAAGAAAGAATCTGTTGGGAATTCCCTGGTGGTCCAGTGGTTAGGACTCTGTGTTCTCACTGCCAAGGGCCTAGGTTCATGTCCAACTCTTTGCAACCCTGGAGTTCTCCAGGCCAGAATACTGGAGTGGGTAGCCTATCCCTTCTCCAACAGATCTTCCCAACCCAGGAATCGAACCAGGGTCTCCTGAATTGCAGGTGGATTCTTCACCAACTGAGCTATCAGGGAAGCTGAAATAAATAAATAAATAAATAAAAATTTAAAAAAGAGAAAGAATTCTTAAAAAAAAAAGAATAATAATCTGTTGGGAATTCCCTGGTGGTCCAGTGATTAGGACTCTGCTCTCATTGCAGAAGGCCTAGGTTCAATCCCTGACCAGGGAACTAAAGTCCGATAAACTGCACAGGCAGCCAAATAAAGAGAAACTCCTCAAGAATCTGTTATCTCGTATAACCCCAGTGATATAAAAATTGGGAAACTGAGGGCCAGAGATGGAAAGTGAGTCTCAAAGCTAGTTAATGGCAGAAGACAGTCACATGAATTTATGTTAAATAACTGCCAGCAATATTTCCTCTCCTTTCATTGACTGATGCTACAGCCCAGAATGGCAAGGGAAGCTCCCCATTCCTACCCAGGAAAAGTTCAGTTTGTAGGTAGGGTAATCAGAGAGAAACATAGTAAACAAATTTAATTGAAAGATTGATTTATATATATACATATATATATATATCAAGATGGTATTGTTAGAATTTCTTGTATAATACTTTGACTTTCCTTTCTCTTTTGTTTTGTGTTCAGCCCAAAAAGAAGAAGGGAAAAGTGGAAGTGAGACCCATTAATCTGGGAACAGATTATGAATATGGGGCTTTAAACATTCACCTGATCGCATATGACATGGCCCTGACAGAGAGTTACGCCCAGTATGTTCACAACCTCTGCAATCACCTCTCCATTAAAGTTGAGGAAAGGTATGAAAGATGCCTTTGCATGGGATGTTCTTGGTGTGGGTAGCGAGCTCTACATTGTTGTTGTTAAATGAGATATAATTTTTGTTTTGAGAAATAATTTACATGTAGTAAAATTCACTCTTTTTAGGTATGTAGTTTGCCACAATCAAAATGAAGAACAGCTCCATTAAGTTTTAAAAAGTTCCTTGGTGCCTGAGGTATAGTTAATCTCCCCTGTCTTGCCTCTAGAGTCCCTGGCAACCACTGATTGATTTTCTGTCCCTTTTGTTTTAAGTTCTCCAGAATATCATATAAATGGAATCATACAGTATGTAGCTATTTGTTTCTGGCCTCTTTCACTTAGCATAATGGGTTTAAGATTTATCTGGGGTTTTGCAGACATTCTTTTATTCTGAATATATATTCAGAATTCTGAATAGTATTCCATTAAATGGTAAACCTTAATTGGTTTATGCCTTCACTGGATTCTTTCTAGTTTATTTGTAATTATGAATAAAGCAAATAGATTCAATAAAAATAAATAAATAAAACAAATAGATTCAAGGGATTAGATCTGATGGAGTGAAGAGCTATGGATGGAGGTTCATGACATTGTACAGGAGGCAGGGATCAAGACCATCCCCAAGAAAAAGAAATGCAAAAAAGCAAAATGGCTGTCTGAGGAGGCCTTACAAATAGCTGAGAAAAGAAGGAAATCGAAACGTAAAGAAGAGGAAAGATAAGCCCTTTTGAATGCAGAGTTCCAAAGAATAGCAAGGAGAGATAAGAAAGCCTTCCTCAGTGATCAGTGCAAAGAAATAGAGGAAGACAATAGAATGGGAAAGACTAGAGATCTCTTCAAGGAAATTAGAGATACCAAGGGAACATTTCATGCAAAGCTGGGCTCAATAAAGGACAGAAATGATAGGGACCTAACAGAAGCAGAAGATATTAAGAAGAGGTGGCAAGAATACACAGAAGAAGTGTACAAGGGGCACTTCCCTGGTGGCCCAGTGGCTGAGACTCCCAGCTCCCAATGCAGGGGGCCTGGGTTCGATCCCTGGTCGGGGAACCAGATCCCACATGCTGCAGCTAAAAGACCCAAAGTACCATGACAAAGGTCAAAGATCCCACATGCCTCAGCTAAGACTTGCCACAGACAAATAAATATTAAAAAAAAAAACTGTACAAAAAAGATCTTCACGACCCAGATAATCACGATGGTGTGATCACTCACCTAGAGCCAGACATCTTGGAATGTGAAGTGAAGTGGGCCTTAGGAAGCATCACTACAAACAAAGCTAGTGGAGGTGATGGAATTCCAGTTGAGCTATTTCAAATCCTGAAAGGTGATGCTGTGAAAGTGCTGCACTCAATATGCCAGCAAATTTGGAAAACTCATCAGTGGCCACAGGACTGGAAAAGGTCAGTTTTCATTCCAATCCCAAAGAAAGGCAATGCTGAAGAATACTTAAACTACCACACAATTGCACTCATCTCACACGCTTGTAAAGTAATGCTCAAAATTCTCCAAGCCAGGCTTTAGCAATACATGAACCGTGAACTTCCAGATGTTCAAGCTGGGTTTAGAAAAGGCAGAGAAACCTGAGATCAAATTGCCAACATCCGCTGGATCATCGAAAAAGCAAGAGAGTTCCAGAAAAACATCTATTTCTGCTTTATTGAGTATGCCAAAGCATTTTACTGTGTGGATCACAATAAATTGTGGAAAATTCTGAAAGAGATGGGAATACCAGACCACCTGACCTGCCTCTTGAGAAACCTGTTTGTAGGTCAGAAAGCAACAGTTAGAACTGGACATGGAACAACAGACTGGTTCCAAATAGGAAAAAGAGGACATCAAGGCTGCATACTGTCACCCTGCTTATTTAACTTATATGCAGAGTACATCATGAGAAACACTGGGCTGGAAGAAGCACAAGCTGGAATCAAGATTGCTGGGAGAAATATCAATAACCTCAGATATGCAGATGACACCACCTTTATGGCAGAAAGTGAAGAACTAAAGAGCCTCTTGATTCAAGTGAAAGAGGAGAGTGAAAAAGTTGGCTTAAAGCTCAACATTCAGAAAACGAAGATCATGCCATCCGGTCCCATCACTGCATGGCAAATAGATGGGGAAACAGTGGAAACAGTGGCTGACTTTATTTTTTGGGGCTCCAAAATCACTGCAGATGGTGATTGCAGCCATGAAATTAAAAGACGCTTACTCCTTGGAAGGAAAGTTATGACCAACCTAGACAGCATATTAAAAAGCAGAGACATTACTTTGTCAACAAAGGTCTGTCTAGTCAAGGCTATGGTTTTTCCAGTAGTCATGTATGGATGCAAGAGTTGGACTATAAAGAAAGCTGAGCACAGAAGAATTGATGCTTTTGAACTGTGGTGTTGGAGAAGACTCTTGAGAGACCCTTGGACAGCAAGGAGATCCAACCAGTCCATCCTAAAGGAGATCAGTCCTGGGTGTTCATTGGAGGGACTGATGTTGAAGCTGAAACTCCAATACTTTGGCCACCTGACGCAAAGAACTGACTCATTAGAAAAGACTCTGATGCTGGGAAAGATTGAAGGCAGAAGGAGAAGGGGACGACAGAGGATGAGATGGTTGGATGGCATCACCACCTCAATGCACATGAGTTTGGGTAAACTCCGGGAGTTGGTGATGGACAGGGAGGCCTGGCGTGCTGTGGTTCATGAGGTTGCAAAGAGTCAGACATGACTGAGTGACTGAACTGAATTGATTATGTGGATCTTTGTAAGCAAACTAATGTCTCTGCTTTTTAATACATAGTCTAGGTTTGTCATAGCTTTTCTTCCAAGGAACAAGTGTCTTTTAATTTCATGGTTGTAGTCATTGTCTCTAGTGATTTTGGAGCCCAAGAAAATAATGTTTGTCACTGTTTCCATTGTTTCCCCATCTATTGCCATGAAGTGATGAGACCAGATGCCATGATCTTAGTTTTTTGAATGTTGAGTTTAAAGGCAGCTTTTTCACATCTCCTCTTTAAGCCAAATTTGAACTTTTAAACCTTTATTACTTACAGTGTAATTGTGCTAAATGTGCTCATTAGAAGACTGGATTGTCAGCTGTGACTTAAGTGCTCATAGCTGATAGTACTTCAATTGTTTTAGGCCTAAAGATGTGCTTTATCTTTTTTCTGATGCCTGGGAGAGTTGGTTGCTCTTTCAGCACTTGACACATATCTCTATCATGTCACTTAGTGCTCTGGGCTGTAATGATCTATTGATGTGTCAGATTCCTTCCCCACTGACTACATAGGGACTATGTTCTTTATTTCTTTAGCACCTAGCATAAAGACTGTCCCATGGGGGACATTAAGCCATTCTTGAAAGAACGATAGGTCCTTGAATATGATTGCACAATCCAGTTGTGTATACATTTCCTAAAGTTTAATGAACGAATTTTTAATTAATCAAAAACCACTGGCTGAGCCTCTTTTTGCTCTATGGTCCACGTGCTCAGTGAAACAGAAGGCACTGGACTTCTTGCTCTGTAGTGTAAGCACTTTGTATCTTTTGTCTGGAGGATACAAAGGTGAATGTCCCTGATTTCAAGGAGAGTCTGTGTGTGTACATATGTTTGCACACATGCTGCTAAGTCACGTCAGTCGTGTCCAACTCTGTGCGACCCCATAGACGGCAGCCCACCAGGCTCCCCCGTCCCTGGGATTGTCTAGGCAAGAATACTGGAGTGGGTTGCCATTTCCTTCTCCAATGCTTGAAAGTGAAAAGTGAAAGTGAAGTTGCTCAGTCATGTCTGACTCTTAGCGACCCCATGGACTGTAGCCTACTAGGCTCCTCCGTCCATGGGATTCTCCAGGCAAGAGTACTGAAGTGGGTTGCCATTGACTTCTCCGATGTGCACACATACAGACACATAAAAATAATTATCCTCCAACTAATAAAAATAAATGAAAAAAAAAATTATAATGTGGAAGGTGGTAAGTGAAAGAAAGTTTAATGTCAGTTCAAGGAGACAGAGTAGAATAATAATTTAGGGCTATGTTTCTCAAAGTACCACTCTGTGAAGCTATTACGAGCTTGTGCCAAAATGTACATTAACACTTTGCTTCCTTCATCAAGAAAGTCTTGCTACTGAAAGACTTTGTATTGGAAGCTATTGAAAACAAAGTGTTGATTGAATAAAAGTGTGTTTAGTGTCTGGTTCATGCTTCTTATCTTGTCTTGAATTGAGAACAAGTTTGCTTATCAGCAGTTTGTCTTTGGATCATACTGAGTAACAAATTGTTAAGAGTGAAAACTCTGGAATCAACTGCCTGGATTGAAATCCTAGTTCTACCCATTATTATCAAGATGACCTTGAGAAATTCTGAACCTTGGTTTCTTTGTCTCCATAATGTGATGATAATTTTCCCATTTTTTTTGAGTTCTGAAAATTAAATAGGAAAATATATGATAGCACTTAACAGAGAGACCAGCACACTGTAAACACTCTGTAAATAATATTGTTATTAATAATTAATGAGATTTTTTTCAACTGGCACGGTTTACGGGTAGCATCTCAGAAGCTGTGGTGGCAAAGGGGCATTAAATGCCGTTTACAGAATGTCACCATACCTTTAGTGAATCTGCTCCTTGAAGTAGCGTTTTAAATTTTCAGATGAACTTTTAAAAATATTTTGTTTTTAAAAACTGGCTGTGAAAAGCTCTGACTACATTTGAGTAAAGGTAGGAAGCAGTAGCATTTGTTGAGCACCTACTATCAGCCAGCCACTCTGCCAAGTAATTTTCTGTATATTATTTTACTTAATTCATATAAGCACCTTGCCATAGTGGGTCCAAGCATTGACTTTGGAGCCAGACTGCTTCAGTTTTTCCCCTGTTCTACATTCTCACTGTGTGACAGACCTTGGGCAGTTTTCTTAACCTATTTGTGTCTTGGTTTCCTCATCTATAAAATGAGGTTAATAAAAGTACCTATCTAATAAAGCTGTAGTGAAAATTAGCGAGTTAATATATTTAAAATACTTACAATTAAGTTTAGAAACTGTTGGCTGCTATTAGTAGTAGTAGTAGTATAATAGAAGCTTGCCTATAGTCATACATCTAATCAGTGGCAAGGTCTTGATTTGAACCCATTTTTTTTCCTTCAAATTCTAAATTCCCTCTAACTGGTTCTCACACAGCTACTTGTATGATCTTTCTAGAATGGAAATATGATTATGTCACTCCCATGCTTAAGTTCTTCCATGGCCTCCCATTCCTTTAAGATCAAAATAAAACTTCCTCACATGTCTTGCTAGGTGCTCCATTGTATGGGCTTGTCTCTCTTGCCTTAACTCACACTTCTCTCTCCTCCTTCTATCTCCAGTTACACTGACTTTGTTTTTTTGTCCTTTCCCACCTCAGGACCTTTGCATATGCTCTCTAATGCCTGGAATACTTTTTCCCCTTTAGCTAATCAACCGCTATTTTTTCTTAGGCTTTATTTTGAATGTCACTTCTTCAGAGAACCTCATTGTTAGGTCTTTATGTTATGTATTTAGGAGAAGCAAAGAGTATAAAACTTCCTTTTATAATGCTAACTCCTTACCATCATAATTACTTGACTATTACTAGACTCTAAGATCTGTGAGGCAGGGACTATTTCTGTCTTTATCAGCAGTCATGCTAAGACCTTGCACAGTACCTGACACATGGTGGGCACTGGATGAATACTTGTTGCCTTGGATTTAGTTCCAATAGGCATAAACATAAATTCCTAGTATAACAGAATGAATCATATGCTGCTTTTTGCCTCTTTCCTTGTTCTTTGCTCCAAATAGTGTGGAGCATAAAGAAATGTTCACTTTTAGCAATTCACTTCTTTGCATTGATTGAGGTTTTCAGACCATTATATCAGGTATTCTTGCTGCCCAGTTTTTCAGAGATAAAATGATCTTCTTTTCTTCTGATTTTCATTTTATCTTGATCCATTTTTCCTTTAGGAGTTGGGAATAGGGCTCTGACCTTGAGATGGAATTGAGTAAGGGAGCTGTGTGCTAGCTTTTGTTCTATAAATGGTCTGCATCTCTGCAGCTGCAGCTCACCCAGAGGAGGAGAGGAAGAAAGAAGCCTTTCCTGTGGGTCCTTTTAATTTTCCTGTCTCCCTTGCCGAGCAGCTGTCTGAAGAGATGGAAATCTTACTTATCTGGGAGCAGCTTCTAAGCCTGAAGCTGACCAGCACCTGTTCTCTGTGGAGAGTGAAAGCATCATTCTCTGTAAGGCTGCTCTTTCCTTTTTTTTTTAAATCCACTTACATTTTTTAAATGGAGGTATAACATATAGAGTCCACCGATTCTAAGTTCCCTAGCATCCTCGCAGGCCCCCTTTTGTCCTGTCCCAGCAGTACTCTTCAAAAGCAGCACTATTTTGTCATGTTAGGTTGACTCTTGAAATTCAACTACTTCATTTCTTCTCTTCTGTTTTCACTATCTAATGATCCAAATGATGTTTATTGCAGAAAACTGGGGAAGTACAGAAATATGTAGATACTAAAGAAAAATAACCTTTACTCTCATGACTCAAAGGTCTATTCTACTTTAAAATGACTACAGTTCCCAGTATTATTTTTTTTTTTAATCAAACTATGTCTGATTTTTCTATTGGTTCTCTTTGAGGGCCTCATGCCTCCTTGCCTTTGTAGACTGCCCTTTTTCGGAATGCCCTCCAGGCAAACATCTGTGTTCATTCTTTACATCTTGATAAAGCACTGCCTCACCTATGAAGCCTTCCTCAGGCTCTCCCACTTTTCTCCCTCTTGTCTCTGTAATATTTGGTATATACCTATATTGTCTTTGTCTTCCTATCTTGCCTGGAGAATCCCAGGGACGGCGGAGCCTGGTGGGCTGCCATCTATGGGGTCGCAGAGTCAGTCACGACTGAAGAGACTTAGCAGCAGCAGCAGTGCAAATGTTTGTGTACTTACCTGTCTCCAAAACATTCTTAGCAAGCTCCTTGAAAGCATAAACTGCATTGCGCCCATCAGACTGCCTCGGACAGAACAGGATCTCAGTAAATGTTTGTGGAATAAGTGAATGAATAAATAAACAAATCAGTGAAATCTTGCTGAAGTAAGTGTTGAAGAATAAAGTGCATGCTCAGTGGTAGGAATGAACAAGTCCCACGTTATTCAGTCTTATCTGTGGAATGTCAAAAAAGAAAAAGAACATTTTAGAGGCTGTTTACTTTTCTGAAAGTTTTTACATAATTACTTTATTTGATTTTCCATAATAAGTTTATGAATGTGCCCCCCTCCCCATTTTTGGCCGTGCCATGCAGTGTGCAGGATCTTAGTTCTCTGACCGGGGTTCGAACCCATGTCCCCTGCAGTGGAAGTGTGGAGTTCTAACTACTAGACCACCAGAGAAGTCCCTGATTTTTTTATAAAGAAATTATTGCCAAGTGTAAATTTGAAGTGATCAGAGATTGTGCTATAAAATGGAAGGGGTTGTTACTTCGGGTAGCTTACCTGGAAGTTTGCAATACCTAGCGTTTACTCACTGTTGTAAGGGCAAGGGAATTGGCATTTGTAGGCAGAGTATGCCAGGCAAATTACTTACATAATCTTATTTAATTATTGCTAAAACCCTATGAACTAGGTATTATTATCTTCATTTAATAGCTGAAGAAACAAAGACCCAGAGAGCTGAATTAGTTTGTCCAAGGTCAAATAGGTAATAAGTGGCAGAGCCAACATTTAATCCAGTACTGACTCTCATGTTTCCAAATCACTTTCCGTTACACCAGACTTCTTTTTGTAGCAGTCCATCTGTAGAGGGTCATGCTCCTTTCTCTTAATTCATGAAGTTTTGTGTAGTATGAAAATTCAGCAATCCTACTGTTGTTATTAGTATTCCATTTATCTTCAGTTTTAGGAACTTTTTGATAAGATGAACACAATACTAATATCATATTTCTGTGTAATCATCAGTTCTATCTCAGCACCATATCTGATTCTCATAATTGTCTTTTGATATAAGCCTGGATTGTAATCCCCATTATTCATGAAGAAACAGAGTCCAAGAAGGAGAAGGGACTTGCCTAAGTAAATATTGCTAACAAGTGGCAGGGCTAAGACCTGACCCCAAGTCCAGCACTCTTTTCATTGTGGTATACAGATCTACTGAAGCTGATTATAGTGAGCATAGATTACAACACTGTTTCTCAACCTGGAGACATTTAAAAATGTCTGGTGATAGTTCTAATTGTTATCACTTTTGGGGTACTACTAGCATTTGCTGGATATAGAGGTTAGGGATGCATAGGCCAGCCCCCACAACAAGTTCTAAAGGGTCAATAGTGCTGACATTAAGAAATCCTGCTGTAGAACTGGAGCAGGGGACTCCCTTGGTGGTCCAGTGGTTAAGACTGTGCTTCCACTGCAGGGTGCATGGGTTTAGTCTCTGGTCGGAGAACCAAGACCTCACATGCTTCACAGCATGGCCAAAATTTTAAAAAAATAAATAAGTAAAATAAAAATACAACTGGAGCAGGATTGGGTTTCATGCCTCATTTCTTCAGAAGAGATGAAATACCCAAGGTTAGCCTCCAGAGTGTACCTAGTGATGAACTTAATTCTTTTAGAACTGGCTATTACTTAGTAGCAGCAAATACTTTAGTAGAGTAAATACCAGGCTTTACTCAGAGTGTTATATTAAGCATGACTACGGATGCATAAAAGTATTAGACATGGTCTATCCCCTCATGGAGTGTAAAGACTTCTGGAGAAGGTGTAAGAGGATCTGGTTACTTTGACCCTGGCTGCAGATAGACAGCCCAAGGTTGCAGGAGCTACTGCATGCAGTAGTGGCTGCACTCAGGGACTACCCTGACTGAAGTGGTGTGGCTGGCTTAAAGGGACCCTCCCAATAGCTGACTTTTCCTTCCCACAGTTATGCGATGCCCACCAAAACCATGGAGGTGTTGCAACTTCAGGACCAAGGCAACAAAATGTTACTGGACTCAGTTCTTACCACCCATGAGCGAGTGGTTCAGGTAGGTACTCTGGAAGAAACATGAAATGTCTCTACCTCTCCTGGTTCTTTCTTGGTTGAGTTTCAAACCTGATATCCAGTTGTCTACTGGGTTTCTTCACCAAGATGTTCAACAGGTGCCCTACACTCAGTGTATACAAGACTAATTGTAGGAGGACTGTTTTTTTTCCCCTATAATCCTCCTCACCTTTGAGCTTAATGCTTGACCCTTCTTTGTCCTTGGGTATCCATTCATTCTCCAGATTCTATGGTTTCTACCCCTAAAAACCTTTCAGATCCATCCACTTTGCTTTACACTTATGTCAATGTGATCATGTCATTTTCCCACATAGACCCCCTCAGTGGCTTTCCTTTAACTCTGTATCCATTAGCAGTCACTCCTTTTTCCCCATTCCCCTATCTCCTGGCAACCACTAATCTACTTTCCATTTCTGTGGTTTTACCTCTTCTAGACATTTCTTCAAATGAAATTATATAATATATAGCCTTCTATATCTAGCTTCTTTCACGTAGCATACTGTTTTCTAGGTTCATCCATGTTGTAGTAGTAGCACATATCAATACTTCATTCCTTTTTACTGCCAAATAATATTCTAACACATGGACTTCACCCTTTTTGATAAACTCAAGAAATGTATCAGGAAGATAACCAGCAGGATGTTAAGGTAGCAACACCTTAAATCTATGTTAAATTTTTAAATGATTAAAGTACTTACAATCTTGGTTCTTTAAATATTATCAGGAATAAATTATTTGAGTTTCATTTTATGACAGATCTAACTTGCCCCCAAGGCCCATAGGATAAAGTTTGAACTCTTTTGATTAGCACCTAAGTGGCTTCATGATTGTTCTCCAGCTTTTCCTCTTCACACCTTCATTCATTCCAGCCACACATGGAACTAGTTTTAATTTCCTAGTACTGTAGTACTGTGCTATTCCTCCACATTTTACTGAATATTATTTTCTCTGCCTTAAAAAAAAAAAAAACCAACTCCACACTACAGTTGAACTCTCCCAATTTACCCTTGTTTTTCAAGACTCCAACCAGATGTTACCTCTTTTGGAAGTTTTTTTTTTTTTTAACCTCCCTGATTAAGTTAGGTAGATGTTTCTCTTCTGGGTTCTGCCTGCCCCCTGCATGCCCTTCTTCCACACATCTGATTTATCTTTGGATCCTCAGCACAGGGTCTGATGACAATCAGGTGGTGGTCTATGTGGGTAAACTTGAGTTGACTCAGAAAGTCATCCTGGACTTAACCTCTTGATCCAGTTATGACATTCGTTGCCTACAAGAGCAGATATTGGCCATGACCATCTCAGTAATCAGACAACTTGGCAGATCAGCAAGAGAAATTGAAATCCTGTGAAGTCTGAGCTCCAAAACCAGCTCTGGGTGTTAATCCTTCACCCAAAGGCCCTCAGGCTCTACTGGAGCTGACATTTGAGCCCTTGCCCTTTCTGCCCAACCACCTAACTTTCAGTGACTCTCTTCAATCATCTTCTTTCCTTTTGCAGATCAGCGGTTTGAGTGCTACGTTTGCAGAGATTTTCTTGGAAATAATCCAGAGCAATCTTCCTGAAGGAGTCAAATTGTCAGTGAGGGAGGTAGGTGCTAATTTGAGAAGAGGCCCACTGGTGGGCTCAAAATATGGATAAGGAAATCTGGACTGGCTGACTTTAGAAACAGCAAAGGCTTGTGGATAACTTAACCCAGATAATAATCAGGAAAGGTATGCAGGCTGCTTTACCATGATCATTAGTCTGACTGTTCCAATGCATCAGGGATGATACTTCATAGACCATGAAAGCTGAACTCTGTCAGAGCATCCTGATGTTAGGGGTAGCCCATTTTACCTCCAAATTCCCTCCCTTGAGGCAGCTGTATAGCAGAAAGAATATGATTTAAGATCACATACACTATAAGTAATCAGAACACAAATAGGGAAATGTACTAAAGCAAGGAGGAAGTCCAATTCAAATTTAAGTCCTTGATACCTAGTATAAGTCTGGTACATAGTCCGTGTGTGCATGCTAAGTCGCTTCAGTCGTGTCCGACTCTTTGCAACACTATGACTGTAGCCTGCCAGGCTCCTCTGTCCATGGAGATTCTCCAGGCAAGAATACTGGAGGTGGATTGCTGTGCCCTCCTCCAGGGGATCTTCCTGACCCAGGGATCGAACCCTGGTACATAGTAGCTACTCAGTAAAAGTTAGTTGAATCCAAATAATTTTCTACAGAGCTGGCTGATGTATCCTTTTCTGATGCTGGGCATATTTGAGTGACTCTGTAGTAATTCTGTCTTATTTTCTTTTTCTTCTCCACAGCACACTGAAGAAGACTTTAAGGGAAGGTTCAAAGCTCGACCAGAACTGGAAGAACTGTTAGCCAAGTTGAACTAGCTCATTGCAGACCCTTTCATGCCTTTCAGCACTGGTGATATTGAGTGGCAAGGGGAAGAGCTTCCTGGGTGGCCAGAGTTGAGCAGGAGACCCTGACCCTCAACATCATAAGTACCCATCTCCACTGCCAGGAGTGTCTCCTCTCCTTGCTTACCAATTGTCACCACTTTTCTTTGAGCCAACCCTGGGTATCCTCCATCTAATAAAAAGCTGCTGCTGATGGATGTGTGTGTGTTTGAGAAGTCAGTCCATCCTGTGGAGTATCTTTAACTAAGGGATTGGATTTCTCTTTGCCTGGTGCTTTAGCACACAAGTGTGTTCCCCTTCAGAATTTCTCCAATTAAGAGTGAACTCATCCTTTAAATCAACCTGGCATGGAGTCCCTTTAATGAGGCAGACAATCACAAGTAAACTCTCCACATATAAAACGCACAGGGAGGGAGATTTTGTATATGAAAAAAACCCTCCAGATAGAATCAAGGTGTTTATAAGTGAAAAAAAAAATTACCTTGTGGGGTAGTGAGTGACTTGTCATAAGTATGCAGGTAGATGTTACATAACCGCAAATTAGGGTTACCTGGAATAAGTTTAAGCAAAAAATTAAAGGTTGATCTTGGTCAGGTGTCAGGAAACTGCAGCCTGTGAGCCAAATCCCATCAGCTGCTTATTTGCTTTTTAAAAATAATTTATTGAGGTGACATTCATGTGTCACAAAACGAACCATTTGAAAGTGAATAACTGCACGGTATTTAATACATTTGCAGTGTTGTGCAACCTCTATCAAGTCCCAAAACCCTATTTCAAACCCCCATAGACAAAAGGTTATGGGAACAGAGCCTGACTCATTCATTTATATATTGTCTGTGGCTGCTTTTATGTTGCCATGGCAGAGCTGAGTTGCTGTGACAAAGACAGTTAAGCTAAAACATTTTTACATGGCCTTTTATAAAAATAGTTTGTCAAACATGGATCTAAGTCATTGGTTTTCAGACTTCAGCATGCATCAGGATCACCTGCAAGACTTTGAAGAACACGAATTACTGGACTCCATTCCCAGATTTTCTGACTTAGATCTTGAGCAAGGGTGCTGCTGCTGCTGGTCAGAGTTGCCTCTTTGTTGCCACAAGTCTTAAGGGCTTCCCTGGTGGCTCAGACAGCTAAGTGTCTGCCTGCAATGTGAGGGACCCAAGTTCCATCCCTGAGTTGGGAAGATCCCCTGGAGAAGGAAATGGCAACCCACTCCAGTACTCTTGCCTGGAAAACTCCATGGACAGAGGAGCCTTGTAGGCTACAGTCCATGGGGTCACAGAGTCGGACACGACTGAGTGACTTCACTTTACTTCATATGTGTGTGCATGCAGATGATAACCGTGTGTGAAAATGTGTGAGTGCATCTCACATTTATTGACCTCTAATTATGCTCTATACTTTATACAGATTATCCTTGGGGTTGATGGTATTATTTCCAATTTTACAGGTGAAGAAACTGAGGTTTGAAGAGCTGAATCGACATCCTAGGGTCATACAGCTAAAAAGTGGCACACCTCTCCCCTCTGTTACCCCCTACTTCTCTTGGATAACCTATACAGAGGTCTGGGAGAGTTTAGAGCATTCTTAGCACTGCATGTACTTTCCTGATACTTTTCAGAAATTTTCAGCTTTGAAGTTATTTTGGTTTCTTTACTTGGTTTCTAAAAGCAACAGGGGAAACTCAGATTTCTTCTCAATGTGTAACACTGGGGAGGGCTGTCAAGATAGCAGGTACCCTCAATTAAAATGCTTTTCTGAATTCAAATTGAAGGTTCAGCAGGCCAGGACTTAGAAGGGAACCCCACTGGGAGTATGGGCAGAATTTGCCAGGTGAAGACTGATATTTTGGTTGGAGAATTAATCATTGCTGAGTTTCCTTTAGGGAAGATGAGAGAGCAGCAGCTAGTGGATGAGTGTAAAGTTGGAGGATGTGTAGTGACTTGAAGATAAGGTGAATAAACATATGTATACACAGACAGGCTTCTCAGGTGGCACCAGTGGTAAAGAACCCGCCTGCCGATGCAGGAGACATAGAGACAAGGGTTCGATCCCTGGGCTGGGAAGATCCCCTGGAGGGCATGGCAACCCACTCCAGTATTCTCGCCTGGAGAATCCCCATGGACAGAAGAGCCTGGGCAGACTACAGTCCATAGGGTTGCAGAGTTGGACACAACTGAAGCGACTTAGCACACACACAGACACACAGTGCCTCCATATCACACGGGCAATGGGCAATGTCACATGGGCCCCATTTCAGTTCAGTTGCTCAGTCGTGTCCGGCTCTTTGTGACCCCATGAATCTCAGCATGCCAGGCCTCCCTGTCCATCACCAACTCCCAGAGTTTACTCAAACGCAAGTCCATTGAGTTGATGATGCCATCCAGCCATCTCATCCTCTGTTGTCCCCTTCTACTCCTGCCCCCAATCCCTCCCAGCATCAGGGGCTTTTCCAATGAATCAACTCTAAGCATGAGGTGGCCAAAGTATTAGAGTTTCAGCTTCAGCATCAGTCCTTCCAATGAACACCCAGGACTGATCTCCTTTAGGATGGACTGGTTGGATCTCCTTGCAGTCCAAGGGACTCTCAAGAGTCTTCTCCAACACCACAGTTCAAAAGCATCAATTCTTTGGTGCTCAGCTTTCTTCACAGTGAAACTCTCACATCCATACATGACCACTGGAAAAACCATAGCCTTGACTAGATGGACCTTTGTTGACAGAGTAATGTCTCTGCTTTTTAATATGCTGTCTAGGTTGGTCATAACTTTCCTTCCAAGGAGTAAGCGTCTTTTAATTTCATGGCTGCAATCACCATCTGCAGTAATTTTGGAGCCCCCCAAAATAAAGTCAGCCACTGTTTCCTCATCTATTTCCCATGAAGTGATGGGACCAGATGCCATGATCTTCATTTCTGAATGTTGAGCTTTAAGCTAACTTTTTCACTCTCCTCTTTAACTTTCATCAAGAGGCTCTTTAGTACCTCTTCACATTCTGCCATAAGGTGACAGCATTTTCACAACTGATCAGATATACACTTAAGATTGTTGTTTCACCATTATCTCCATTCATACATTATCTCCATCTCAAGTTCCTAAAAGGGATTACCCCCATTTTACACATCAGAAAACTGAGGTTTGATGAGATTAAAATAACTCACCTGAGACCTCAAAACTAATAAATGTAGAAATTAAGAATAGCTCAGGTTTGTCTGCCTCTTTTCTTTATAATAGGTTCTTTCAGGAAGGCAGGAGAAGGAATTAATATTTTCAGCCTAGAGCCCAGAGATTTGTATTCCATTTGATTTCCCTGCCATGTGTTTCTAGGGAAGTTCACTTCCTTCTAAAGAGTCAAATGAAGCTCATAATTGTTTTGTTAACTCTGAAGTTCTAGCAATCAGAATATCTGTCCCTTTTACCAGGATAAGGCATGATGAGTAATTTTCATCTGTTTCAGGGCAGACTAATCACAAGCAACAAAAGCCCTTTGGCTCTGGTGAGAGGATAAATCACTAACTAGGTCAGTGACACAAGAGCTCCAAGGTGACAGAACCCAGAAGCCTCCTGTTTAAGAGGGAAGCCTGACTCATCCCTCATGATGTAATGGAAAGAGATGGACTGGGAATCAAGAGATCTGAATCCTGCTCCCAGTTCTGCCGATGAGGTGCCTTGTCACCTTGACTAAAGCACTGCCCTTCCTGGGCCCTAACCTGCACTTGCAGAATAAAAGAGGTTAGGCTGGCTGGGTCCCAAGTCCCTCAGCTCTAGAATCTTGTAGATTTGTGAAACCGTGCATCTTGCTTTCACAAGTTATTAACAAGGAAAGGTGGACAACTGGAAAATACTACTGTATTCCAGGTTCCTATATTAAAAAGCAGAGACATTACTTTGCCAACAAAGGTCCGTCTCGTCAAGGCTATGGTTTTTCCAGTGGTCACGTATGGATGTGAGAGTTGGACTGTGAAGTAAGCTGAGCTCCGAAAAATTGATGCTTTTGAACTGTGGTGTTGGAGAAGACTCTTGAGAATCCCTTGGATTGCAAGGAGATCCAACCAGTCCATCCTAAAGGAGATCAGTCCTGGGTGTTCATTGGAGGGACTGATGTTGAAGCTGAAACTCCAATACTTTGGCCACCTAATGTGAAGAACTGACTCATTAGAAAAGACCCTGATGCTAGGAAAGATTGAGGGCAGGAGAAGGGGATGACAGAGGATGAGGTGATTGGATGGCACCACCGACTCATTGGACATGGGTTTGAGTGGACTCAGGGAGTTGGTGATGGACAGGGAGGCCTGGCATGCTGCGACTCATGGGGTCGCTAAGAGTTGGACACGACTGAGCAACTGAACTGATACTGATGAAACCTACACTTTTATCAAGTTAAAGGACATTTCCACCCCCCAGAAAGTTCCCCTACCTTCTTTGATAGTCATTCTTCCCAGAAACAACCACTAATATCATTTCTATTACCACAGGTTAGTTTTGTCTAACAATATATAAATAGCATTGAGTATATACCCTTTTATGCCTAACTTCACTCACTTATCTTGATGTTTTTACTCATGTTGTTGCATGTAACTGTAGTTCATTCCTTCAGCATACTTTTAGTTTTGGACACAGTTAGGGTTAAAATATGTCTAGTACTGCTGCAAAAACATGAGGGCTAGGCAGGAGATAAGAAAGAAAAGGTCAGTAGATTAGGAATCAGAGTAGCTGGGTTCTAGTTTTGACTCTATCAATATATAACCTTTAAGATAATCTGTTCTGGTTTTCATTTTACAGATGAGTTAACTGGCCCAGGAGGCAAAGAGACTTGTCCGAGGTCACTCACAGGGATAGCTCTAAGTCACTGGATTCCTGGTTCAGTACACACTGCTGAAATTTTTAGAAATGGATTCTTATGTGGATTGTTAACTTTCAAGGACAGAATGCCCAGGTTAAATGGGCAGTTTTCCTCATGAAGGCAGTGGATTCCTCAGCTTCATATGTTAGTCCTTTTCTTCTGGCTGAGGATGCCTTACTCCACCATCAAGCCAGCTGTGGATTCTGCAAGGGTGTTTTTAGTTGCAGAGAAAGAAATGGAATCTGGATATTCTGGGCGTTCAGACACTGGAACAATGCTCACAGACCCCAGTCCTCACTGTTCTAGGATGTGAAGTATATCCAGGGGTGGAAAGGTCTCTGAGCATGCACTGGGCATGTCTGGAACCTGATAAGGCACTAACAGGTAGAAACAGCCAATGTGTCTCATACTCGTTCAATCTGTACTTTGATCTCTCTGTGCCATTTTTGTCTTCAAATGTCCGATCTCCCTGGAGAATTTGAAATGGTTCATTTAGTTCTCATATTCCCCTTGGAGTAACTTTCATTCTCAGATATTTCAGATTTAGAGAATCAGCTTCACGTTGAGACAGACTAGCCAGGCTCTGCAAGACACCCAGGCCCTGAGGAATGAAAACTCTTCAGAAGATAACTGCTAGCAAAGCAAGGAATCCCCCACTCCTGCTTCCTCTGCCTGCTTCAAGTCCCTGCTGGAGCAGAGCGGGGAGCCCTACCCTTCCAAACAGGGGGGAAAGTACAGGGTTTCAACCTGGACTCCCTCCAGTTCTCCTTGGATTTCTAAAGTCAGCAGCCCAGGACTTGGTCTGGCAACTTTACCTGAGGGAGGAAAGTGGGAGGAGTATCTGATTACTCATCTAGTAGAATGCTTCGCAGTGCACCTTTGTACTGAGCACTGGCCACGTCCCCAGCCAAGGACCTTGCAGGGAAGAGCCAAATCATGAGTCTGCCTTAGGCCTAGCCAACGGTGGCCCCCAGCCAAAAGGTCTCTCTGCTCATCCGTAGCACTGAGCCTCTCTGCAGAGGTAGGTATAGAGTGTACAGACAGGCATGGACCACCCTAAACTCCAGCTCCATGGCTGTGGGCTGCAGAACTGAGAGACTGAAAACACCATACTAATCTAGAACACTGTGGGCAACTTGCACTGGTTAATTTCCTTTTTTATAAAGCACTAAGGAAAAGCAAAGTAGTATTTACACAGTAAGTATGGTTACTTACTGTTATGCACTGTGCTAGGCACGAGATGCTTGTGAGAGAGCAGAGTGGAGAATAACATAGGCTTAAGACATACATGGGGTCTGATCTGCAATCTGCCTTTTACTTCCTCCTCTGTAAAGGGGAGTTAGTAGTGTTATAAAGATTAAATGAGGTATGTAACTCAGGACAGTGACCAGCACACAATAGTGATGATAATAGCTAACATTTAGTGAAGGTTTACTATGTGCCAGATGCTATTTCTAAGCTCTCTATCAATATTAACTCATTCTTCCAACAACCCTATGGAGAAGATCTACACTTATTAGCTTTGATGCCTTTGAGGAAGGTATTACTTACTGCATTTTTACAGAAGAAAAAACAGATCCTGAGATGTTAAGTAGTTTGCTCCAAACCATACTAACCCCAAATCTAGTAAGTGGCATAGTGGGACTGAAAGAAGCATATCATAGGGACTGAGAGCACAGACTCTGGAATCAGATAGCCAGGGTTAAATGCTCCATGTATATTAGTTATAATAGTTCAATAACTTTTATTACCAGGTATTTACATATTCCCCTGCATTTATTTCTCCTAGTGTGCCTATTAAATAGGAATCATCCCCATTTATTATACTTAAGGAAACAGTCTTGGGTGTCAATAGAGGCCTCTGCCCAAACACATTCTGTGACCTTTCCAGTGTTGGTTCTGTGTTAGACTGGAATCCTTCCAAACCTGTTCCATCCACTTAGCTGGTGTGAAAGCCATTCCTCCTGCTGAGACGGTTCTCCTACTCTTTCTCTCTGTTAGAATTCCCTGCCCCCCATGACCTATTATTTCTATTTTAATAATACAAATTAATAAATAGGTATGTTTCTTTTGTAGTGTTTGTATAAGCAAATAGTCCTCACTGATGGAACTTCATATCGTGACCATTTATTCACTATTAAACACATGCTGCAATGAAAATAATAGTGTACACATTTTATAAGATGTTTAAGAGGATTCCTAAAAGAGGAATTGCTTTTAAATATTTAAAATATTTGCAGATCTCACCAAATTGCCCTGAAAAAACTTTACTAATTTATGATCCCTACAACAGTGTGAGTGTGTCTCTCTCCATCCCCAAGAATATTGGTGATCATACTTTTAATTTTTGTCAACAGGATGACCTAATTGTACTTTTTAAAATTTGTATTTCTCTGATTATAAGTGATGTAGAATATATTAACATTTTTCTATATTTTGGGGGCATAGTTAAATTTGTTCACTTTTCAGTTGGGCTATTTGCTTTTTCTTACTGATTTCCAAGTACATTTTTTGTTTGTTTGTTTTGCCTGTCCCAAGTGGCATGCAGCATCTTAGTTCCCTGACCAGGGATCGAATCCGTGTCCCTGCAATGGAATCGTGGTGTCTTAACCACTGGACCACCAGGGAAATCCCTCTAGGTACTTTTTATTTGTTGCAGATTGTAATCCTTTCTGCTATATATATTACAATTATGTAATGTTTACTTCGTCTTTAACAGTGTCAACTCTCTTCTCTTTGAGATTCTTGCTGACAGATGTAGTTCACACTGCTACCTCTGATGACCCACAGCACAGCACACATGGCCCAACAGATTCATTCATCCTTTTACACACATACAGTCACCTCTTTCTGCTTGAAATAAGAGTTTATGGTTCTTTGAACTTGAATCCCTCTTAACTTCTCCTCTTTTCTCTTTTTCTCCTTCCAAAATACCAACAGAAAGGCTCAAAGTAGTTTTAGGGCCTATTCTATTTCAGATTTGTGCTTCTAATATATATATATGCTCAAGAAATGTTTCTGATGATGATAAGAGCATATGTCCCTTTGCATTCCAGTTCTATAGCAATGGTCACTCTCTCAACTCCCTTCCCACTCCCAAATGTCAGAGACAAAATAATAGAATGGGTAATGCACTTCTATGGAAGAAAAATGGAAAGCAATGGCAACTGTTGGGAGCTGCAGTACACATCCACCTAAAAGAATCATTCATTCAGCTTCAGCAAATTGCTGTTTAATATAAGCTCCATGTTGACAAATTCTCCAAACTTGTCAAAAACTGAAAATCTGTATGTTATGTTAAATTACTTTTTAAACATCAAGTCAACATTATGTATTTCTTTGGTTGGGAGGATGTTCAAATCAGACTCTGTATCTGTGAATACAACAGTCTGACATATGAGAGGAACTTATTATTTGTTTTCCCATTTGCCTTCTTCATTAGACTGACTGAAATATCCAGAACAGTTGATGAAAGATAAAGTCATTTGTATCACTATCAGAAATTAGTTGTTCTAGTGTTTTGTTTCTCTCTCAAACCAGACTAAAGCAATATGAAGGGAGATATATTTGCATCACATCAGTTTTCCTACACAGTGCCTGGCACATGAGGTCTCATAAACCTGGCTGCTTTGGAACCTATGACCGAATGAAGAAATGATTAAGGGTAACCAATTTACCTTTAGATTGTGAATCTACTTTGAAATTAAATGTCCATGTAATCAGCACAGTACTTGGCACACTGACCCAAGATGTAGCATAGGAGAGCATCCCTTAACCCCACTCTGTTTTACATGGCAAATACTGGTCAATATTTAATATTGGTGACACAATATGGGTGAGGATGTGTGGGATCTCAATATGACAGCTCATGTCCAAACCCACGGCTGCCTGGCTCTCAGCCCCAGGCCCAAATACTATCCCCAAGTCTTACAGTTCTTGGCCCACACTTCCACTGTTCAGGATTTCTTTCTCCCATGATCTGTCTGGGTGCTAGTTTCTGCAGGGCCATCCTTTGGGGATAGGTGGTTTGGGGTCTCAGCGGTGGGCGCTGCTTTGCTCCTTCAGCCTCTGCAGCTCCTCCCGCCGCCTCGCCTGCTGTGCACTCATGCAGTCCCGGAAGGCCTGCACCTGTGGCTGGCACTGCCTCCAGTCCTGGTGCTGGGCCATGCACTCCTGCACTGCATAGTGGGAAGCAGCACAGCCTGAGCGGGAGATGAGCTGGTCCAGCGGGTCCTCTTCTTCATCCTCCTTCTTCACCTGTCGGGACCAGGCATGGCCTTGGGCTGACATCTTCCAGAGTCTCTAGAATATCAACAGGAGCAAGGTTACAGGAGGGACATGATTATATATGTTTCTCTGTTATAAACAACACTGACCACTGCACTGTTATAGCCTATTTATGCCTATGTCTCCCTTTGAAATTGTGAGCTATTTGAGGACAAATACTGGGCCTGATTCATCCTGGTACCCCCAGCACTAGGCTTGCAAAATGGTCTCAACTGAACAGAATGAGATAAAGTATGTAAGAATGCTCAGCACAGCACTAATAAGCTCAGATGGATTCTAACAGAATTGGAATTAGGTGAAATGTCACATTTATGGGAAAGCTATCTCTTTTCTCCTATTGGAGAAGAAATCTTTTCTCCAATTAGCCTTATTCGGACACATACAGACTAAAAGTGAAGGGCTGGAAAAAAATATTCCACGCAAACGGAGACCAAAAGAAAGCAGGAGTCGCAATACTCATATCAGATAAAATAGACTTTCAAATAAAGGCTGTGAAAAGAGACAAAGATGGACACTACATAATGATCAAAGGATCAATCGAAGAAGAAGATATAACAATTATAAATATATATGCACCCAACATAGGAGCACCGCAATATGTAAGGCAAACGCTAACGAGTATGAAAGAGGAAATTAATAGTAACACAATAATAGTAGGAGACTTTAATACCCCACTCACAACTATGGATAGATCAACTAAACAGAAAATGAACAAAGAAGCACAAACTTTAAAGGACACAATGGAGCAGCTAGACCTAATTGACATCTATAGGACATTTCACCCCAAAACAATCAACTTCACCTTTTTCTCAAGTGCACACGGAACCTTCTCCAGAATAGATCACATCCTGGGCCATAAATCTAGTCTTGGTAAATTCAAAAAGATTGAAATCATTCCAGTCATCTTTTCTGACCACAGTGCAGTAAGATTAGATCTTAATTACAGGAAAAAAATTATTAAAAATTCAAACATATGGAGGCTAAACAACACGCTTCTGAATAACCAACAAATCATAGAAGAAATCAAAAAAGAAATAAAAATATGCATAGAAATGAATGAAAATGAAAACACAACAACCCAAAACCTATGGGACACTGTAAAGGCAGTGCTAAGGGGAAGATTCATAGCATTACAGGCCTACCTCAAGAAACAAGAAAAAAGTCAAATAAATAACCTAACTCTACACCTAAAGCAACTAGAGGAGGAAGAAATGAAGAACCCCAGGGTTAGTAGAAGGAAAGAAATCTTAAAAATCAGGGCAGAAATAAATGCAAAAGAAACTAAAGAGATCATAGTAAAAATTAACAAAGCTAAAAGCTGGTTTTTTGAAAAAATAAACAAAATTGACAAACCATTAGCAAGACTCATTAAGAAACAAAGGGAGAAGAACCAAATTAACAAAATTAGAAACGAAAATGGAGAGATCACAACAGACAACACTGAAATACAAAGGATCATAAGAGACTACTTCCAATTAGCCTTATTCTATGGCTGGAGAAAAACAAAGCTTAGTACTTGAGAGAGTAAACACATATGGGTAGGGTTTGACATTTGGGAGAATGGAGAGTTGTGTGGAGAACAGAGAGCATACGAGGTACAGGGCAAGAACTAAGTTTGTGAGGTGTGAGAATACTTAATGTGAGGTGCACTTGCCCACATTGCCTTTCCATGATCACCTGCTTCAGAGCACCCAGCACAATGTAGCATATAGAAGGAACTTAAGAGAGGTTTGAAGATAAATGACTCAGCCTTTGTACAAATTTAACCATGACAGGCTATAAATAAGCTAAGACTCCTTAATGCCTTTCCTGGGTCTCTGATTCATTTAACAAATTATCATTGAGTATCTATCATGTACCAAGCTCTGTGCTAGAGTTGAGGATACAAGAGTGACCAAGGCAGATACACTTCCCGCCTTCATAGAGTTTATAATTTAGGTAAGTTAAAAGGCTATTTACTTGTGCACAGTGTGTATAAACAGCTAAAACTGGGAAGACAGTGGAGACTACCTTAGCCAGACAAGGGGACAAACAGGCAGGGAGGCCTTCTTGCAGAAAGTGATTTCTTTTTTCTTTTTTAGATATTTTAATAATTTTTCCAGACAGTGATTTCTAAACTGAGACTTCAAAGATGAAAAGGGCAGGGCAGAGATGCAAAGAATATCCCTAATCAATGGAAGAGCAGGGTGGGGATTTGAGACAGAATTTAACATGAGATGAACCGAAAGTTTTACATGACTGGAGAATAGAGTATGAGAACAGGAAAATTAATGAAAGTGATGAGTTGAGAAAGTATCTGATCTGAGGAAGACCGCATGTTAAGGTGTCAAGAGGGCAATGGGGTAGTCACAAAAAGGTTTTAAGAACTTTATGTAAGTGCAAGTGTTAATTGCTCAGTCCTGTCCAGACTCTTCATACCCCATGGGCTGTAGCCCGCCAGGCTGCTCTGTCCATGGATTTCTCCAGGCAAGAATACTGGAACAGGTTGCCATTTCCTTCTCCAGAGGATCTTCCTAACCCAGGGATTGAACCCAGGTCTCCTGCATTACAGGCAGATTCTTTACATTCTGGGCCACTAGAAAAGCCCAAGAACTCTAGAGCTCGACACAAAATTCATTTGCTTTGAAGGCAAGGGAGGAGGGAGAAATGGGCTTTGAAAACAAACTTGGATTGGAAAATTAGCTTGGTCACTGACTCACTGGGATACTTTGAGCAAATTACACTTTATAATCTCTCTTGAAAAACAGATCAAATCTATCTCACAAGACTGAAGACTAAATGAGATAATGCACGTAAGGAGCCTGGCACGTCCAGAGTTCAATAAATGATAACTCCTATTACTATACATGTTTCCTCTTTCTAAATATACTATGAGCTCTTTAAAGGCAAGGGCAAGCCTCTTGAAACAGTATGGTGGAAAGAACAGTGCCTTAGATTCTAAGCCAAAAAATCCGGATTCAAATACTGGCACCTCGTTTTACTATGCACACGCCTTAGCATGCATTTTTTTTTTTTTTTTTAGTATTTTGGCATGTGGGATCTTAGTTCCCCTACCAGGAAGCGAACTGGTGTCCCCTACAGTGGAAGGGCAATCTTAACGACTGGACCACACAGGAAATCCCTTAGTTTCCTTCTTAAGGTAATATCTAACTCACAGAGTTACTGCAACGAATAAGATGCTAATAAGGGACAAGTGCATGGGCTACAAAAGGACTTAAGTAAATGCTGTCATATTCTTTCCCCACCCCAACCTGGCTTCAGTCTCCCATGAGTAAAAAGTGGAAGACCCTCGCTCAGAGACCAGGGCAGGTTGGATAGTCGGCAGTTGGTTCGCGAAGGCCAGCGTGGACTAAGAAGGCACTGAAAAGATGGGTAAGCAGAAAAAATCCAGGCGGCCAAGTCACTTAAAAACTCCTCGACCACCTTCCGGAGAGGACGCGTGCGCACTCGCGAGCCCGCGCTGTGCCCGCTAGGCTTCACCGCGTAAGATCGCAGCACACAGTGCTCACCGAACAGGCAGACAGGACTCGAACGCGCGCTCCTGCACAGCGGCGTCGGTTTTGCAGGCAGCTGTAACTCTACCGAGTTACCCGGTAAACCTCCGGTCAGGAACCAGCTTCCTGCAGAGAGCGCACGCGCAAAGGGGCGGGAAGAGAAAGAGAATCCACCACGTATTTTCATTAGCGGCTTTTCGGGGTAGATCCCGCCCTTCGTTCTCGACGCAGCCTCTATGGGGAATCCACTTCCGGGAGAGAGCGGAAGGGGCGGGGTGGTGGAGGCGGGTCAAGATGGCGGCAACTTTGAGGATTCAGAGCGACTGGGCCCAGGCTCTCAGGTGAATCCAGGTTCAGAAGTGGGACATAGGAGGCGGGTAGCGGATGTTGCCTTTATGTTAAGGAGCGCCACCCCCGACCCAGGATGTCCATAGGGGTTGCCTCATCAATTGTTGAGGGAACCCTGGGCCTAGAAAAAGAAGTCTCAAACCCACATGGTCATTGTTTTTCATTCTCGGAAGAGTTATGCTGAATCCCAGGAAACACGTATACGTCGTGTGATGGCAGAGGCAGAATAGGATCAACGAGTTGGAGAAAGACAGGAAGACTGAGAGGCAGGAAGACTCTTGGCCAAGTAATGATGGTCATTTAGCAAATACTTATTGGTCCTCAGCTATTTTCCAAAAGTGCCAGCGATCTGCATCACCAGGAGTCTTGGCATGCTTCTCGACCCCTACTGCTACTGCTAAGTCACTTCAGTCGTGTCCGACTCTGCGCGACCCCATCCTTGGGATTCTCCAGGCAAGAACACTGGAGTGGGTTGCCATTTCCTTCTCCAGTGCATAAAAGTGGAAAGTGAAAGTGAAGTCGCTCAGTCATGTCTGACTCTTCGCGACCCCATGGACTGCAGCCTACCAGGCTTCTCCGTCCATGGGATTTTCCAGGCAAGAGTACTGGAGTGGGGCGCCATTGCCTTCTCCGACCCCTAGTGGTGTGTTAATCATGTTGTGTATAGTCCATGGGGTCGCAAAGAGTCGGACACGACTGAGTGACTCTCATTTCACTTCACAGGTCTTTTCAGGGAACAGTGGAACCCCTACCATGTCCAGACTCTGACCTAGATAGATGCTCGGTGGAGTTCAGATGTGTACTATAAACTTAAGGGGTGGTTCCTGCCTTCGAGACGCTAACAGCTTAATTGGAATGCACAGCAAACCATTCATTTATTAGCAAATATGGATCATATACTGTGCAAGTTATTTTGCTAGGCACCAAATTGAGTACAGCGGTACCGCGGTGTTTAGCCGCTAAGTCGTGTCTGCCATGGACTAAAGCCGGCCAGGCTCTTCTGTCCTTGGGATTTCCCAGGCAAGAATACTGGAGTGGGTTGCCTTTTCCTTCTCCAACAGCAGTGCCATGAATGGCAATTATTAATACTAATGGGTTTTTAAAATGGAAACAATGGTGAAGATGAATGAAACATAGTCTCCTGCATTTAAGAAACTTGTGCCTTACTAGGTGGGCTGAAATAAAATAAACCTTTTTACTACAACACCAGATGTGTAATAGGAAGAACACTGACACTTATTGAGTGAACACCTTTGAGAGAACACAAGTCCAGAATCAAGAAGTAAGTTGCCCTCAATTGTGCAACTAATAAGTGTTTCATGATGAAGTACTTGAGCTTCATTTAACTAACAGGTCTATGCATTAAACACAACCCATAAGTATTTCTTCAGCCAATAAAATTTGTCTATGCCTGGATAAGGTATTAGACTGATTTGTGTAAGTGCTGTGGCTAAACTGGAAATTATATGTTCTTTCTCCCCTTCATCAATAACATCCATTTTGACATTGAGTGAATCTAATTAGGTTTTTGTTTCTCTTCATAGGAAGGACGAAGGGGAGGCCTGGCTGAGCTGTCACCCCCCAGGTAATATCCTTAAATCTGTATGCCTTCCCTTTAGAGAAAGAGGATTTACAACCCCTAGGAAAGAGCTTCCTACTTTGTCCTGGCCTAGACTACTTGCACAGTGCTCAGTCTTCAGATCTTCTTGACCATTCTGTGCTGTAAAGACGTCACTGCAACTCCTGCATTCTAGGGGAAGGGCTTCTAATTGGTGTTCCATTGGGAGCCACAGACATTTATGGAGACATTGCTGCTGCATCTTAATCGGTGTCTTTGCCACATATTATTATATTCTAAGCAGTTCTGTAGCTTCAGTTGTGATCTTCCTGATTATGATTCCTGGGTCTATAGCTCTAGTCCTGACCTCTCTTCATTTTCAAGCAGAGATTGAATAGTTACCTGCTAAACATTTCTGGTTAAAACTCCCACGGCCATTTTGAGCTTATCAGATTCAAAATCTGAAGCTGAGCTTCTGTTGTCAAACAGGTTTTCTTTCTAGATTTTCTCAGTTCTTAAGTTATCACCATTCTAGACATCAGAGTGAAAAAACCTGGTCACCTCATCCTACTGTATATAGTTAGTTCCCAAGTCTTCCAGATTTTTCCTTTAGATGATGTTCCTGTATTCCCATCTATTTGTTTTCAGTTAGTGTGATAACATTAAATTTTTTTTCCTTTTAAATTTGTGAGAAAGCTTTGTCTTGCTGATAATTTTTCATTTTCAGAGACCTTTGATGTCTCTCCATAATAAGATATTCTAGGAGAAATAGAGTTTTAAATGGTTTTCTTTTGAGGAAATAGGTGTTGCATTGAAGAAAGGTGGTAGCTGGAAGGTCTCAGAGTCAAGGATTTTTGTCTTATTTTTAAAGATGGGAACTAATTGGAGAGCAATTAAAATACAGGTTATACATTAAAAATATTCATCTTTGTTTCGTTTAAAAATGCTGTGCTTAGTCGCTCAGTTGTGTCTGACTCTTTGCAGCCCCATGAACTGTAGCCTGCCAGGCTCCTCTATCCATGGGGATTCTCCAGGCAAGAATACTAGAGTGGATTGCCATGCCCTCCTCCAGGGGATCTTCCTGACCCAGGGACTGAACTCAGGTCTCCCGCACTGTAGGCAGATTCTTGATCGTCTGAGCCACCAGGGAAGCCCTTATTTAAAAGTAAATAAATATATTTAAAAAAAAGAAAAAGTATGTAGGTTGTAGGTAGAAAAGAGGACTAACTGAAAAATCAGTATCTTAGATGAGAAAGAGATTGAATTAAGTTTAAAAGACTAAGATGAAAAAAAAAAAAAAAGACTAAGATGAAAGAAGGTGAGGGTAAGTGTACATATATTGATAGATACATGCATAGACATGGATATAGAAATGGGAAATTTTCTTATAGCCTCAGTTTTCTTTGTGATGTTGGAGTTAGGGTCAGCTCTTAAAGAAGAGGATTTTTTTGTTGTTGTTGTTTTCCCCTGAAATAGCAGTTTTGTTGAAATAAAATGTGTGCTATGTGCTAGATGTCAACCATAACATGTAGGTACTGCTAGGATTCTGATTTTTTTTTAAGGTAATAACTGTATTCAGATATAATTCACATACAGTAAAGTTTACCTTTTTAAGTATACAATTCAGTGGGTTCTAGTATATTCATAGAGTTGTATGTCTGTCAGTAATTCTACATATTTTCATCACCTCTAAAAGAAACCTTATGCTGTTTAGCAGTCTCTGCACATTTCTACCCTGCTCCTAGCTCCTAGCAACCACTAATTGACTTTATCTGTGGATTTGCCTGTTTTGGACATCTCTTGTAAATACAGTCATAATATGTGGCCTTTTGCACCTTTCATTTAACATAACATTTTCAAGGTTCATCCATTTTGTGGCATTCATATGTTTTTATGGCCAAGTAATAGTCTGTTGTAAGGGCATATCACATTTTTGGTCCATTCATCAGCTGATGAACATTTGAATTGTTTCCAGTTTTTGGCTGTTATGAAGGAAGAAGGTTTTGATGATAGGCTAGGTATAGTGAGAATTGGCTGCCCTGGGAACAAAAGGGGCAAAAGGACTCCAAAACTATGCAGAGTTTGAAAACTGTGGTAAGTTGAGGCGGTGCCAGTTTGCACAGTTGTGTCCCATACTGTATCTGCACTCAGCAGCCTATATGTAGAAATGTAGAAAGGTGAATGGTTAGGTTAATCCAGTCCCACTTTTGTTACACAGACAAGATACTGAGACTGAGATCATGTCAGTGACTTTGTAAATGTAGAGAGGTCATTGACAGTGCTGACAGGAGATTGGTAGAAATAATATACCAAAAGGGCCAGACTTCCTAGGATAATTTGAAGCCAGGAGGGAATCATGGAGTGGGACAAAAAGTAGAGTTCACTCAATCCTATTTTTGTGGCATCTTTCTGAACTAACATTTCATGCCACTTCCCTGCCACACCTTCTTCACTAGATCTTCTGTAGTCCAAACTTCTACCCTAGATTGTGAGTTACTCTGTTAATATCTTTCAGTGACTAAACTAGTATATTAATTGATGCCTCCTCCCCCCTTGTTCCTGTGTGACTGTTCTTTATTCTTGACATGCCCTTCCCTGACACGGAGTTTCCTTTCCCTTGTGCTCACTCAGTCGTGTCCAACTCTTTGTGACCACATGAACCGTAGCCCACCAGGCTTCTCTTTCTGTGAGATTTTCCAGGCAGGATTACTGGAATGGGTTGCCGTTTCCTTCCCCATTCCTTTCCCTTATTTTCTGCCTAGTCATAGCTTTCAAGACCCCTACTTAAGTCCCACCCTCTCTAGGAAGCTCTCCTACTCTGCATGAATGATTTTTGAATGATGATTTTTACCTCCCTCTTACTCCTAGAATTTAAGTTTGGTGCACCAGTTATTTACTGAATAATTTGAGCACTTTGCTAGTTTTCTGAACTCAAGGACTTCATAGTCTGGTGGGGAGGCCAGAAATGTAAACAACATATTATGGGCTGTTATATATAAATATATAGATACATATCTATAGATAGAGATATATAGTTATATATATAGATAGATAGATAGATAGATATGTGTATATATATATAGTGCAGAAGAAGAATAGAAGAGAACATTTTAACATTTATATGCAGGATAATATCTTATTTAGCCCATATTACTGCAAAAGCAGTGTCCTGCTTAAGCAGATTTCCCAATTATTGAAATGTAACTCTTTAGTCTCTGTTAATATGTCTGTACTGTGGATAAATGCATATGTTCATGTTGATCTTCGTCTTGGGAAAATTCCATTTCACAGGCAGTAAAACTGAGGTTGAGATTACTCTAGTCGCTTTACAAATACTATATTATATCTCAAAATCTTTGTTCTTGGCTTTTAGCCCTTGAGTATATTTCTTCCAGATTAGGTTCATCTAGGCTATTTTTCTTTCTACTCACCTCACTACTAACACAACTACCTGCTTTTATGAGCCAGTTTCCTCCCATATATACAGATGCCTGAATTGGGCCTTCAAAGAGAAAAATGTTTAATTCTTCTTATTTTTTGAAACATGCATCTTTGTCTATATAGGGAAATCAACTTTGTATGGCAGCCTAACTTGTCAAGGAATTGGCCTTGATGGCATCCCAGAGGTTACAGCTTCTGAAGGATTTATTGTGAATGAAATAAACAAGGTATGTTTTTATGTCTTCTAGCTGGCATCATATCCAAAACTATGGTAGTAGCCTGTATATCTACTTTAAATATTTATACTCATTTGTGTATCACTGTCATCTCCATTTCATTCATATGATAATCATAATTTTTACTGCCTTTGAATGTCAAGAGTTTTTTTTTTAATACTTAGACATGGTTTTAAATGCAAACTTTCTCTTACTTCCCTTATACTAGTGCTGTTCGCTAGAGAGCCACATGTGTAATTTTTTTTATTGAAGCCTAGTTGATTTACAGTGTTTTAGGTGTATAGCAGAGTGATTCAGTTATGTATATATGTATATGCATATTATATATGTATTCTTTTTCAGATTCTTTTCCATTATAGGTTGTTACAAGATATTGAGTATAGTTCCCTGTATTATACAATAGGTCCTTTTGTTTATCTATATATATATAGCAGTATGTATCCACATGTGTAATTTTAAATTTTCTAGTAGCCACATATAAAAAGTAAAAAAAAAATAGGTGAAATTAGTTTTAATAATATATTTCATTTAACCAAATATATCTAAAATGTTATTTCTACCTGTAATTAATATAAAAAATTATTAAAAATGGTTTACACTTCTTTCTTCTTACTCTTTTTTTTTCTTATTAAGTCTTTGCACTCCTTTGTATTTTTAACTTAGAGAACATCTCAATTCAAACTCTAATTTTTTAATTGGAAATACTTGATATGTATTTAGGTTTAAAAAAATTTACAGTTGAAAACAGATGGTTCATGTACCTAAGTAGTTCCAAACATACTTAAAGTTTTCCAATAATTGGATCAAGTATCAGTTTTTAAATTAAACTTTAAATAAGATTAAAAATTCAGTCACTCATTTGTATTAGCAACATTTCAAGTGCTCAGTAGCTTTATGTAGCTAGGACCCCATATTGTACAATATATTATTGTGTGTTTGGCCACACCTTGGTGAAGGCCTGTACTTAATATATTGCTTTTCTCATCAGCCTTTGAGGTGAGTAGATGGCCATCTAAGTGTTGCAGAACTCATGATCTGACTCTCCTTCCTCATTCTGATGGCTGCAGTCAGTGTGCTCTGATGGATGATTCCCAAAGGGTGAAACAGCCTTTTTTTTTTTTCTTTTTTTGGTGTAATTAAGCTTTCTTAGTTATAAGATGTTTCGGGTGTACTGACAAGAATAGAGAATACTTTGTTTTTTACATAAGATTTTTAGCAAATGTTCATTTACTACCCTCTGTGCAAAATAAGCTACATGTTTTTATATATTTTTAGATTTGTTTTTCATAAACAGTATTGTAGAAAGTGCCAGAAGATCTGAGTCCAAGTCTTAGTTACTGTGACATTTACTAGCTATATAATTTTAGACAAATAACTTGGTTACCTGAGCCTCAGTTTCCTCATCTATGAAACAGAGACTGTATTATACTTCATAGGCTGATTAGTGGGGATTGAGAATGCATATAAAAGAAACTAAGGTATTTCAAAAGTGAGTTATTGTTTATCATAACAATCCTGTGGAATTAGCATTTTAAATTTCCATTTTGCAGATAAGCAAACAGACTCAGATAGGTTAATTAATCCTTAATAATCAAAGCTGGCTGGACTGTGTCAGAATTGAAACCCATTTCTATTAACTTCAAGTATAACACCACCTTGCAAGCCTACATTTTCCCCAGGTGGTTTGCCAGTATCCATTCACAGCCTGGGTGCTGACTTCCTTTCTTCCCTTTGTACTCAGGCCCTTCCAACATCATTGCTAATTATTGCTGAATACCTGCTAGGTCAGACAGTAAGTGCTTATGGTTAAACATTCATGTTTCCTAACTGCCATGAGTCACTTTGCTATTTGATGTTGCTGCATTGTCCTATTAAAACAGATCTGTCATTATGCTTAAAAACCTAACCCCTCAAAAAATAAAAGTTTTGACTTTTAATTTTATCTTAGTGTGGAGTATTCACTCTTCCCCTTCACACTGAATTTTGTCTGGTTTTATACCTCCCGCAGCTTTTCTTTTAAATCTTCTCATTAACAGCATGAACATGTTCTACTGCTGGAAGAAAATTCAACATTTATCTTCCTTCATAGTCTGTTTATGGATTAAAGTGTGATTTGCAGGATTGATGAGCAGGAGAAATCCACTCATTTCTTGAAATCTTTTATATAATTAACTCCAAAGAAATAAAGTCTTCTGAGAGAAAACCCAGGTCTTACAGAGGCCTGAACACTAAGCTTTTAGAGCTCCTCATGTATTTCCTTGGTATAAATATTTAGCCAGGAAAGTTTAGCTGACACTTTAGTTTCGAGTACAGGAGACAATTCCAAATCCAGGTCAGCTGTGTTGCAGCTGTATGGGCTTTGTCATGCGGTTAGAAGCAAAAACTCATTTAATGAAAGGCCTGCAGGCAGCCAGGCATAGATATGCTGGCTAAGAAAGAACGGTCTGTATAGATAACCTAATTGTCTTTTTAAAGGAATAGAAGATCTGTAATAAGAGAATATTGATTTTCAGTGATGAGAATATTATAACTTTGAAACTGTTCTTTCTCATGAACTGTGAAAACGGTGCTTGTTGTACATAAAGAGGTTTAGAAAGTCTTAATTATTGAAGACATTTTCATTGTCCAGAAGAATTTTCAGAAACTTTTAAGTACTATTGCATAAGGGATAACAGATTAGGGTCCATTTGGTGAGAGCAGCTCCTCAGCTCTGTGTAGGAGATACACACTTAGGGGACAGTGTTAATGTTCTGATTAGAGTATGGGATTGTTGTATTGCAAGAATCCTTGAGGAGGTGTTTACCAAGCCTTTTATATCTTGGCCTTCAAACACCAACATACTTAAATGGTTACCGTCTGCCTTTAGCAAGTCATGTCACTTGAATCTAATGTCTGGTGCTAGGTATAATTTAATACTATGTCACTAGTGGTTTCTTGCTACAGTAGCTGAAATATATGTGGTAATGATTAGACAGAACACATGGGACACCATAAGACAGCTATTTGGTAATGACCAGTCTATGAACATATATAGTCAGTTTAAGCCTGGGTGGGATTGGGCACCACAAGCCTGAACAGGGCCTACACATTGTATGAGCATACCATAATTTACCTCCTTTCTTACTCTGGTAACTATACATGTCAGTAGTCTAACATTCTTCCTGAAAATTCTTATAGGCAGCAAGTTTACTTTTAGATAAGTCTTTTGGGCCTTAGGCCTGGGGGCTGATGCTGTTGGTCCTATTTCTTGCCACACTGCTGATTGAGAGTAGTGGTATTGGATTTTCTTAATGAAAATTAACGTTCTCATGTTTGTCATTTGTATCTTATTGTTGGTTTATCTTCAGTTGAAACTTCAACATGAATACAACATAATGACTCAGCAGTATCAAATTACATTGCACCCCTCTGCAGTAAAAGGACTGATTATCTATAGGGGAATGATAGTTTTATGGGTTGGGGAAAGAGGATTAGAGAGGGAGGGTACACTTAAAAGGTAAGAGTTTCTTTCATCCTAATGTTTTCTTTAAGAAGCTTTATTTAGTTCCATTGGTGTAGCTTTACTGATGGATTTCGTTTTTCCTTCTCTGTTTAGAAAAGCATTCATGTTTCATGTCCAAAGGAAAATGTATCTTCAAAATTTTTGGCACCATATACTACTTTTTCCAGAATTCATACGAAAAGTGTAAGTATTTTGATAAAATGAGAAAACATAACAACATGTTAGTTTTTCATTTTATCTGCTTGTCTAGTGCTATAAACATTTTAATAATTAATGTGGTTTTCATTTACTTTGTGTTATAACACAGCTGATAAAATGTGACATGTTTGGCAAAACTGGTACTTGGGTCCTTAAAATAAATGTACAAATCCACTCCCTGATAATTTTTTTATTATTATTATATTAAAGAGAATCCTCCTCCACTGTTGTTGGGAATGTAAGTTAGTATAGCCACTATGGAGAACAGTGTGGAGGTTCCTTAGAAAACTAAATATAGAATTACCATGTAATCCACCAGTCCCACTCCTGGGCGTATACCCAGACAAAACTATAATTCAAAGCAATACATGCAATTACTGGTCTTCTTGAAGAGAGGAATTGTGGGAAATTTTCTTTTTGAAATTTTCTTACATATGCTTTACTCTAGTGCTACTTACCAACTTTTGGATAATGATGATAGTACTTGATGTTTGAGTAATTTGCTACTGCTCATATTTCTCTCCCTTTGCCTATAGAAAGAGGCATTTTCTCAAAATTCCAAGAATAGCATATTGAGGGATAATTTTCAGAGATCTTTGTGATAAAGCCCTTTCTAGTACCATAGGCTTTTTTGGAAGCAGAAATGATGGATTATATTAAAGCCTACTGCTTCTTATTGTGTGATACATTTTCAAAAATAGCTGTTTTTGGAAGAATTAATGGCTTTTGAACTGTGGTGTTGGAGAATACTCTTGAGAGTCCCTTGGACTGCAAGGAGATCCAACCAGTCCATCCTAAAGGAGATCAGTCTTGGGTGTTCATTGGAAGGACTGGTACTGAAGCTGAAACTATAGTACTTTGGCCACCTCATGCAAAGAGTTGACTCACTGGAAAAGACCCTGATGCTAGGAGGGATTGGGGGTAGGAGGAGAAGGGGACGACAGAGGATGAGATGGCTGGATGGCATCACCAACTCGATGGACATGAGTTTGAGTAAACTCCAGGAGTTGGTGATGGACAGGGAGGTCTGGTGTGCTGCAATTCATGGGGTCAGGAAGAATCGGACACGACTGAGCGACTGAACTGAACTGAACTGAGCCCTATTGTGAAACACATACATTTAGTGATCAAAATTTAGGAAATACAAAAGAAATTGAAAATCATTCATTTCTATAATATAAAGATAATATGAGCTTTTGTTATATGGCACTTACGACTAATAATCAGTGATTTTGCCACTTGCAACAACGTGGATGGACTTGGAGGGTATGCTAAGTGAAATATGTTAAACAGAAAAAGACGAATATTGTATGATGTAGAATCTGAAAAATAAGACAAACTAGTGAATGTAACAAAAAGGAAACAAACTCACAGATTTAGAAACTAATGGATATAAATAGGGGGAGGGAAGTGAGGAGGGCCGAGATAGGGGTAGGGGATTAAGAGGTTCAAACCATGATGTATAAAATAAATAAGCTACACGAATATATTGTACAACTCAGGGACTATAGTCACTATTTTATAATTATAAATGGAATATAACCTTTAAAATATTGTGAATCACTATGTTGTATACCTGTAACTTTCTAATATTGTCTATTAACTATATCTCATTTTAAAAAGTAAAATTAATAATCATATTAGTAATAGCTAACATATATTGATTGCCTGATATGTGCCAGCACCATACTTTCCGTATCATTATTTTACTTGATCCAGTCTTTTTTCTTTAAATATTTTACCATAATAGGTTTTTACAGTACATGCTGTTTTTTAGGTTACTTTGCATTTCTCAATATGTCCATCATTCTGTGTTTACTTTATGTGTATTATTTTAAGAGTCACATCGTTTTCCACTGTATGACTTTACTATAATTTATTTTTCTCATCTTACATTACTGGGCATTCATTATTTCTAATTTTGTGACTTCATAGTTTTGATGATATACTTATAGCTAACCCTTTACTCACAAAGGTAAGGAAAAATTTTAAAAAAAAATGAAAAATTAGAGTACATTTATAAAAGTAGAGTTGTTGAGTCACAGGGAATGTACATTATAAGGCTTTTGGTATGTTCTACCTGGCTTACACTTAACTGATTTATTGAGTCAGCTGTTAGCTCTGCATTTCCTTTGTAAAGCATTCTGATTCATGCTCACAGCACATTTGCAGCTTGTAAGGTCTTTGAGGTTTGTATGCTGACACTACTGGTTAAGTTGAATGCTTACCAAGGGTCAGTTACAATGTCTGTTGTACTGTTTTTGAAATTATGTTAATTAAATATGTTAAGCCAGTGAAATATAAGTGTGAAAGGCAGAGTGACTATGTCTTTGGAAACTAAGTTTCATTGCTCTATAGAGCCTTGATACAGAGAGGAGTTTTTTTGGCTACATCACACAGCATGCAAAATCTTAGTTCAACTGGGGACTGAACCTGTGCCCCTTGGAGTGGAGTCCTAATCACTAGACTGCCAGGAATTCCCAAGAAGAGTTTTTTAAACTCTTCTATTGCTATTTTGGTATGTTTGGACAAAATTAATGTAGTACAGTATTAGGGAAAAGATTTCTTTAAAAAACCCTGGATAAATTTTTGCTTTTAGAATGCTTTGTAAGTGTGACTAAAGATTTGCTTTGCTTTCAAGAAACTAGAAGTTGTGTACCTTTTGGTTATAGTTTTTTACAAGAAAGTCAAGTCTTTATAGTAATTAGTGGACTCATGAAAAGATTAGTATTTGAGTTATAATAAAATGTAGGGGTATTTTTATATCATTTTTTATTATTTTCTACTTGTACTGAATTTTCTGATTGATTGACCTGCAACTGGGCCCTATCTATTGCCTAAAAAGACTTTTTTTTTACTGTATTGCTTTTGTGCCAGTCTGACTTGACATTCTCTGCTAATGCTGGCTATTCAAATTTTTTAAAGTTTTACCATTTGAGGGATGATGTTTCATTACTATTTTAATTTACATTTCCTTTGATAAATTATGAATTGACCACTTTTTCATATATTTATTGACCATTCTTCATGTCATTTGCCCATTTTTCTAAGTGTGAATTTTTTTCTTTATTGGTAAGAACTCTTCTTATATTAAGGGTATTGATCTTTTGCCATGTATTTTGTAGATAGCTTTTTTCTAGTTTATCATTCATTGTTATTTGTTTATGGTGTCTTGACATATAAATTATTTGATTTTCTAGATAATAAAACCTATCAATTTATGATGACTTCCTTTGGGATCCTGCTTAGGGTAGTCTATGACTTTATATATATATATAAATGTATATATATATATACACACACATACTTTAAATTACGGTGTAATGGGTAAGAGCAGGGACTCTAGAGTCAGGTGCATTGGATTTGATCCCCTGGATTTGAATTTCGGTTCTGCCACTTTAACTGTGTGACCTTAGGCCAATTGTTTAACCTTCCTGTGCTATAGGTTCCTTATCTGTAAAGTGGGAGTAAAAGTATTTATCTCTTAGGGTTGTTGTGAGGATTGAAGCAATTAGAATTGGCCCTGGAACATGGCAAACACAATATAAATAGTGTTTGTTAAATACAGTTATAAATATTATAATTTTTGAATTTTTATGTTTTTATTTTTTACATTTCAAACTTTTTTTTAATTTTTTTCATTTATTTTTATTAGTTGGAGCCTAATTACTTCACAACATATTTTTGTTATTTGATTTGAAGTAGGGGTCTAATTTAATTTTGTTTTAATTATTTTATTGAAGTATATTTGATTTACAGTGTTTGTAACAATTCTTTTTGAAATGATTAGCATGTTACAGTACTACAAAATAATCCATCCTTTATCTCAAGGACACGAATTATCATCTGTATCCAATATTTATAATTGCTCCTTTGATCTGTTTTTTCTTTTGCCATAACTAAGGAATAGACGTTTAACTTTAGACTCTGACTTAGGTTTGTATCCTGGCTCTGCTCTGTCACCTTAGGGAAGTTACTTAACTACCTCTTAAACCTCAGGTTTCTCAGCTGATTTCTCACTAATGCTTAAAAGATTTTTGAGTGGATTATATGAGAATAGTGTCTGTTACATGTTTGGCATATAATAGCTGTTCAGTAAATGTTAATTCTCTTTCCTCCTTTAATAAAAATTTGGAGGAAGGAGACAACTGGTATGATCTATAATCTACTTTTCAGTGTTCTATCACTTTGGAAGAAATGGATAGTTCAGACTTAATTACCTTTTAGGTTGAGGAACTAGGGCCTCAAAGATCTATAACTGAGATGATAACACAATGTCCCCACCCCCTCCAGGGAGAGTTTATTAACTGAGAGGGTACCAAACAGTATGTCAGAGTTTCTCAATCTTGGCAGTATTGACATTTTAAGCTAGATAATTCTTTTTCGTAGGAGGCTGTTCTGTGCACTATAGGATGTTTAGCAGCATCCCTGGCCTCTACCTACAAGTGGCCAGTTAGATAGCGCCCCCAGTTGGAACAACTAAAAATGTTTATGCATCACCCCATGTCCCCCCAGAAATAAACTGCTTCTTGTTGACAGCCACTGTAATATATAAATATAGAACTGAAGACCTTGAGGGGAGGAAGTGGTGAACTCCTTCAGGTGTTTGGAGAACCGCTTACCTTTTGTGGAGTAGGTCATTTAAAAAAAAAGAAAACACATTAATTGTTCCTTTATTCTATTTCTTATTCTCCCTTTCTCTTATTTGAACTCATTATTAGGTGGTTCACCCATTTACTAATCACCTATTGTATTCCAGATAGTCTTCTGGGCACTGGAGCTATAGCAATGAATAGAACAGGTGGTGTAGAGCCTATTTTTAGGGTGTGGGACCAAATAGGATTTGTCAATGACTTGGATACGAGAGAGAGAAAATGAGGAGTTGGGATAATCCCAAAGATTTGGCCTGAGAATTGGGTAAATTCTGGTGTTATTTACTAAGTGGGGGGACAAGTAGTTGTACTGGTAGGGAGCAGAGGGCTTCCCTTGTAGCTCAGCTGGTAAAGAATCCCCCCACAATGCGGGAGACCTGGGTTCGATTCCTGGGTTGGGAAGATCCCCTGGAGAAGGGAAAGGCTACCCACTCCAGTATTCTGGCCTGGAGAATCCATGGACTGTATAGTCCATGGGGTTGCAAAGAGTCGGACACGACTGAGCGACTTTCACTTTCAGGGGAAAATAAGGGTTCTGTTCAGACAGGTAAAATTTCAGGTGTCTTTTATAAAGCCAAAGATAGATGGTACCTGAGTCAGGAAAGAGGTTTGGCTGTGTTACTTTAGGGATTAAATTGATTTCAAAGTGAGTAGGAAAGTGTTAAATATGTTTTGTTTCTGAGACCCTATGAATGGGGACAGTAGTTGGTCTCCTTGATATAGATCATATGGCTTTACTTTCTTATCTGTTGATGAGGTGCTTCATCCTTATTCCCAAACTGGTATTAGGTATTTGTTGAATAGTTACTATGTACATAGCCTATGATTTGTGTAAGAAGGTGGTGCTGGACATGGTTCTGACACTTATAAAGCTCATCATGTAGTTGGGAAGCCAGAACAGAGTTGAAATTGACAGTACTGCTAGTCACTGTCAGGCCAAGGATTGGGGTGGTAGCAATGGGAGAAGAAAGATCTGAGAAATGTCTCCTAGACATGAATATGAAAGCAGTATCCACCAATGAGAAGCTAGGAGCAGAATGGGATTATTATGAGGATCAAATGATTCAGTGTATTTGAAAATGTTTTATAAATGATGAATCATGATATAAATGTTAATTGTTGTCATAACCCTTAAATTAAAAGAACTATAATTAAGTTAACAGTCCTTTTATTGAGGAATCAAAGAAAGAATCTTAGTGTTAGAACTGACCTATATAATCCCTTTAGTTTTGCCACACCTTTCATTATGGCTTAATTGGCATAGAAATGTAGATTGGAAAGTTGAATAATTAAAGTCAAAATTCCTACTTTTTAAAAAATAATTTAGGTCATATGAGAATCGTAGTTGCTGGAAATATGGCTGGAATTATATATCTCAGTCTTACATTTCTGAAATATTTGCAACTAGGTGTTTTTTAATAAAAGGGGGATAATACATATGCATGTATATGAAAACGACTTGGCATTCTAATCATGGCTTATTCATGAAGTGATTCCTAATATTGAAATTGCATAAGTGAATCTGAGAATTTTCTGTTACTTGTTCTGAAATACACAAACACGATTAAGGTTTTACAGAGGCAGTGTGAAGTAGTGAATTGGAAGCCTCTTTGCTTTTCCTTGAATCCTTCTGGTGCATCTTGGAAGTCTGTCTTTTGTGTAAGTTGGTTCCTAAGAATCAGGAGAGGTATCTTAAAAGTAAAAGCAAAAGGTGGAAACTATGGAAATGATATGGGAATAGGGACTTTACAGTTATGTAAACTGCAGGAGGTTATATAAGACTACAAGAATATCTTTTTGTTTTGAGAAATAAAGGGTTTTGGCTCTAGCCTTGTTGGGAGATCAGTGATGATAACTCAGCCTTCATATGAAATACATGTTCTTTGGGTTGGGAAACATAGTCTTGAAGAAGTCTTAGAGGAGTGTGAACTGAGAGAGGTTTATAACATTTCAAGGAAAGAAGAGCATTTCATTATTTGTAACACTGGTTACAACACTGGTTTTGTCTTTTGAACAGATAACATGCCTGGACATTTCCAGCGGAGGAGGCCTTGGTGTGTCTTCTAGCACTGATGGAAGCATGAAGATCTGGCAGGCTTCCAATGGAGAGCTCAGAGTAAAGGCTTTGGATACACTTTTAGGGTGGTCTGAGAAACCTTAGACTGGGCCATGGAAAGAAGAGTGGCCCATTCTGAAAATGTAGGAACACTGCACTTCAATTGGTCTTTGTTCTTCCACTTGTTAATATGAGAACCAGGCTCAAGTTTGATGATTTGCCAGAACAAACTGGGGCTGAAATAGTGGGAGAACCCGGCTAGTGAATGTCTGGATGGTACCTTGATATGAACTGCCTTCAGTGATACATTTCTATGGCAGAGTAGCTAAGCTATTACACTGACTGTACGGCTGAGCCCCTCAGCCTGTACAGAGGATTTTAAGTAAAAGAGCCCTCAAACCTCCTCAGCTCCTTATGTGTAGGAATAGAATTATGGATAGCTGCGAGAGCTCTGGAGTTCACATTTACAACATCTACAGCCATAGTCCAGGAAAGGGAGCCAACAGCTCCTAGAACATTACCTGGTAGGCAGGTGAACTAAACAGATTCTTTGGATCTCTTTTGTCTTAAAATCCAGCATGTAGATGTATCATTTAAGGGACTGAGGATATGGGAGGTAAGAGGACATCAAGGGATGGACAAGAGAACTAGCATGGAATTCTCTTTTGTTTTTCCAGAGAGTATTGGAAGGACATGTGTTTGATGTGAATTGTTGCAGGTTTTTCCCATCAGGCCTTGTGGTTCTGAGTGGGGGAATGGATGCCCAGCTGAAGATCTGGTCAGCTGAAGATGCCAGCTGTGTGGTGACCTTCAAAGGTCACAAAGGAGGTATGAAGAGTGATTTTTCCTAAAAGCTTCTGTAATTAGATCCCCAGAAGTGAAGCACCAAAAAGATAGAATCTAGTTGTCCACAAAAACACAAATAATTTATCTAACTGGCTATTTAAGTGAACTGGTATTTCCCAGGGATTAAAAATTCCTTTCCTACCCAGTTTTGTTATTGCTATCTAGAACTAACTGCCCTACATAGATGGTTGTTTTCCACAATTGATAAGATAAAAAAAAGGTGATCATCTGCTGTGTGCTGGGGAAAAAAGAAAGAAAGGTGTGCCAGCTGTTTTTTGTTAGTCCTTTGGCTGAGTTGAGATTAAAGCTGGGTTGCAAATGGCTGCCTCACCAGACATGAGTCAGACCTGGGTCCTAACCTGCTGATATCAGATTGTAGAGATAGAGTGAGAACATCTTTCCTCTTTAAATGATTGGTTGGTTTGCTGGGAAAAAAGAATTTAGACATTTTATCCTTAATTAGGAATGTTTAAAAAAAAGTGATAAATATGTCATTCTAATTTTTACGGGTTTGGGTATTTTTGAAACTGTAAAAATATCCTCAAGTAATTTCTCACCTTGATCCCTCCTTTGGGACCATAATACATATCATCTACACCACCCATTTGAGAATTCATTGTGTATCACCCTATACTTAAAGTAGTTAACCCATGTTTTTGCCTTGTGTATCTGACTATATTATAAATAACGTGTTGATTTTTTTAAGTTTTAATATTTCTCTTTTTAATGGTTTGTCAGATTACATACAGATCGTCTAGCAAACACATATGTTAACCTTGGCAAATGAATTTTCTTCTTAGACTCAAGTACATGGGTGTGGAGAGGGATTAGAAGGGATATTTAGAGCTTTCCTCACATTCAGGCCAAAGAACTAACAGGTCTGAGGCATCAAAGTGGCCTGCACAGTTGGGGAGTCTAGAGGAACACTGAGGGGTTCACCTCAGATCTGGCCACCTTGAAGATGTGAGGCATGGGGCAACTTTCCAGTGAAATAAGGCATAGCCCTGCATGTTGAACTTAACAAGATGTATATTCAGCATCAGTGCATGCTCAACTTCAGAATACCTTTGAATTACTGCAGTTATGGACTGTGCCCTCCACATGAATCCTAAGTCTCCCAGTTCTCCTTAAGAATCCATTCATGTCTCTCAGAGTGAACTATATAGAGTGTTCACTGATCTAAATTAAGCTTATTCATATAATTTTTCCATTCTTTTGAGAGAAAAATTTTGGGGTGGGGGCTTCTCCAGAGTATGACAACCTTGACTCTTTTTCCTTGAGAAGTATTTCTTTTTTAATTAGACTAAACAGAAGTAAACTTTTAGGGGGAAATTGCATAAATTAGTCAGATCCAGGCTAATGTCTGTCAGGTCTTGAATACTCCTCTCCAGTTACTTCTGTTTAGCTGACTGGTTTGGGGTTGCTCATTCTTGAGAAGGGCTTCCTTCACAGCTCAGTTGGTAAAGAATCATCCTGCAATGCAGGAGACCCAGGTTCGATTCCTGGGTTGGGAAGAGCCCCTGGAGAAGGAAATGGCAACCCACTCCAGTATTCTTGCCTGGAGAATCCCATGGACAGAGGAGACTGGCAGGCTATAGTCCATGGAGTTGCAAAGAGTCAGACACAACTTAGCGACTAAACAAACCACCACCACCATTCTTAAAAAGTATGGAGCCAAAATCAAGATTTCTCCAGTAATTTAGCAGCATGTGTGGGTCATTGTCTTTACCCAGTTGACTTCCAGATTGCTCTGTGTGACTCCTATTCTACAGTCTTTCTACTTCTGAGATTACCATGTAGAAAACAGAATAAAGAACTATTACCTGCATTTATGATCTTTAGTAGTTTCACAACTGGTGACTAAATAAGAAAAGCAGAAGATAGTATCAAAAGTGAACATGGTCTTTTATTGCCTAGGTAAGTTTGGCAAGCAAGATATGAAAGGAAGACTTGACTGAATATCACCTGATGCTTACTGCAAAGTATCGTTAGGACACTAATAGAGCAGCTTTGTATAAAGATCTGCTATAGAGGATAATCTTTTGTTAGCTTAAGTCCCTGGCTTGTTTATTACTTCTAGTATATGGAAACATGATAGTAAGGGAGGCAGTATAGTAGAGTGGTTAAGCTTAGGATTTGGAGACATACAAATCTTGGTTTAAATCTTAATTCTTCCACTTCACAGCCTGTGAAGCCTTTTAAAGTTGCTTAACTTGTCTGAGTCTATTTCGTCATGTGTAAAATGAGGATAGTAGTATTAAAAGAGGTGGTGCATATGAGCGATTTAGCATAATCCCTGGTGTAAAATAAATGCACAGTGAATATTATTATTGTTCATTAAAAATATAACACTGCACTTTAAACTCTGCCAGGCAAGTTGAACCTTGTGATGTTGTAACATGCTTGTCAACTGTGAAAAGCAGAAATTGTTATTTCTAATAGAAAAATAGACATTTTTGATCTTAGTTATGTAATTGGCCTTTTCTAATACTTTTAGATACATATTTTATATTTAATTAAAGGATTAATGTGTTCATTATTTAATTAACAAGCAGAGGTAAGATTTTTGTGTTTCTAAATTTTTCTAATGAAAAGATAAACTAAAAGTAGTGTTCTGTTTGTAATGTATGAATTTACTAAGTAGTTCTAAAGTGTGTTTTAACCAGTTTGAAGTTTTTTACTTGCCCAGGCCATTTAATTAAAGTTGCTGAATTTGGATATATATATATATTCATAATCTTAATTTTTTGTAGTAAGCACCAGATCTTTCATAATCTTTGAAAATATTGAGAACAAATGAAGCACCATTTTAGTTGATTGCGGTTTTTTGCTTACAAATGTAGGAAAGATGCTTATATTTGAGAAACCAAGTTACATTTTCAGCACTTGGGCCATTCTTTTCAAACTCTAATATACTTCCTTTGAAATAGGATATGCTGCCTCCAAGTAATAGAAGATGCTTCAAGACTCATTATTTTCTGAGAATGAATTGATTAAACTTGTTAGAAACCTGTATAGAAATATGAAATTTGCTCTGTTTCTTCCTAATGTTTATTCAGGCATAGTTTAATGTAACTCATTCTTTATTTCCCAGACTTTGGCTAGGATGTTTATATGTCAATCAGCTGAATCTTTTCTTGAATGCGATTTTTTTTTCTTGTTGGTTTATATGTTGAAGGCCTGTGTCTGTTTGGTTTGATAACTAAAGCCGTGGCAGCTCTGTTACATCGTTAAGTATGGCTACTCCTCTTGCAAAGGCATTCCTACTCCTTTTATAGCTTTTTCCTAAAGTCATTCCTCACAGATTCCTGCTCCTATAAGGCTTCTCTTTTCTTTTATTCTTCCCCCTAAGAGTGAAGAGACCCACACTAGATGCCACTATGTTGTGAGTGACATTTTATTAGAGAAGGGGTGATAGTTTTCCACTCTACTTTTCATAAAAAGGGAAGACTTTCAACCTCTTTACTGAGTATTAGTTGAAGTTTCTACACAGATAATACCATTCACAGCTCCCTAGCCTCAGTAGCATCCTCCTTGGGTACATATTTTTCATAACTATTTGTTCTTTAAACTTTGTATCACTTCATGGAACTCAATATTTTTAAATAGTGGTTGGAACTTTCCAGTAAGGATATAAATAGATCTTTAATTTCTTGGTAAGAGCTGAAGGCCCTTCCTTATGTTCCTGTTGGTGATTCTTCATGATTCTTAAAAAGATTAAAATCCTTTTCTAGCTAGAATGCTGTGTTATGGAAATAGAATGGAAAGGTGAATTTTCTAAAGTTAAGGTACTTTACAATTACAAAATATGTTATAAGTAAGAACCGTAAAATAGCAATAACATGTCTTATGTCTTCTTCAGTCTACTTCTGAGGGAAAGGCTACTTTTAAAAGCTTACCTATTTGGCCCTTATCCAGTTGATATATAATTATGACAATTACATTTTATTTTTTCAACAGCCATAACCAGCTACATAAATTGTATTTAATTTTTATTTTAATTTTTTATAAATTTTTTATTTTATTTTATTTTTTTAATTTTTATTTTAAATTGCATATATTTGGAAACTTACCCTGTGACTTAGGTCCTACCTGAGTTGTCTCTATCATATTTTCTCAAACAGGCCCCAAATTGGCTACTTTTTCAATTTGCGGCTTTTTTTTTTTTTTTTTTTGCGGCACTTTTTATAAATTCATCTTTTTCTGGAAAAGGCTTTCAGAGTAAAATTTGCAGTAGGAGTTGAGGCCTTTTGTTAACCGCATGGATCGTCCATCTCTTGTGCCTTATGTTGAGTTTTTGTCAAGGTTTGTATATCTGAAGTTGTCTCATCTTGAGAAAAATAGGAACAAGCCAAAGAGCACATGTTTACTTCAGTAACCTTTGGTCAGCCTGCAAGTGTTTATTGGGCATCTATAATAGGATAATTAAATGGGTTTTAATAAAGCAAGTACTAGCCCTGCCTGTATCACCATAGGGGCGGATTCCCTTTCTACTCTGCAGTCCTGTGTTACCACACATATGTCCCTGAATTATAGCTCTTTATGTCCATGACTGTCTCTACCTTTTTATCCTATGTGCTCCTGAGGCCAGGGATCATAGCAGATAGATAATAGGTAACAAGGGCTTTGAAAATTATAAAATCTGTGGGCACTTTGGATCTTATAACACTCTGAATCTTGTTTGATCTTTTTTAGCAGGCAGTCCCCTGTTGAGGTATGATGCAAGGGTCCAGGAGGTGTGAATACTCAGCTTCTTGTTGGGTTCCTCTAATAACACTGCTCTGGCAAAGGTGGAGCACTGGCTCACACTATCTCTTTGCAAACAGGTGAGGTAGAAGCTCAGCTTCCCCTTGATCGTGCTGATGCCTTCCTGGTGAAAGTGGGGCACCAACTTGCATCACCTCAACTGTACACCACTTCCTTGCCTCCCCCTGGGCCTATAAGCTCTGTTCCCTGTGGACTGACGCCAAGGGAGGGGTTGGGGATAGTGGAGTGGTACTTCCTGGTCCCTCAGGAAAGATTACCTCTTTCCCCATGCATGAGAGCAGAGGCTCAGCTCCCCACTGACAGTGCCCTGCTGGACCTGCTCAGCATCGCTGGGTGGGGGAACATTGGAGTTCTGTCTCCTGCTTCTTTGTGGGGGTGGGATGGAAGATCACTCCCTGTTCAGCCCCACTGAAACTTTAAGCGGGGGAGGTAGCAGTTTTTCTTTTGTTGTTTGAGGAAGATGGATATTGCCAAAATGTTTTCTATTCTGTTGGGCCACCCTTTTCTCAATCTTCTGCCTAGAGACAACAGATTTTCCTTGGAGTTGTTTGGTTGTTGTTTTTTGCTATTATTTTTATTTGTGCCTTTAAAAAAAAAAAATCAGTTCTATGTTAGAGGCTTCAGCAGTGTCCTATCTAGAGTATATGGGAGGCAGTAAGGAAATGCAGGGAAACTCATTTCCCTGTTGTTCTTCAAGTCCTGAGGTCCCTAGGTGAACTGCCTTCTTCTTACATCTTTCAGCCTTCCTGAGCTTGCTTGTTGTCTTATGTCCACGTTTTTTCAGTTTTAAGGGAAGGACCTGGAAGGAATGGAGCTATTTGATCTTGGCCAGACGAGAAGTCACATCCTTTTTTATGAAGAGGGGACTAACCCTTTCAGTTACTCCTCAATGGAAGCACCAGGAGCTTTTAAGACAGTAATTTTCATACTGAGCTGCCTAAAATGACTTCTTAACTTTTGTTTTTTTTTTTTTTTTATTTATTTTTTATTTTTTTATTTTTTTTTCATTTTAACAGTTTTTAATGAAAGCTGTAGACAAGATGACTTTATTCCTGCATCTTCTCAATTGTTTCTTCCTTATATTTGCCCTTTTCCTTTCCTACTTGGCGAGATTTGGCTTTACGTTCGAGGATCTTTTTGCGGTCTTTGTCAAGTTTTAGTCTGGTGATAACCACCTTGCTGGGGTGAATGCCCACATGGACAGTTGTGCCATTAGCCTTCTCACGCTGCACTCGTTCAATGTAGATGACGTATTTCTTCCTGTAAACCTGGACCACTTTGCCAATTTGCTGCCCTTTGTAGTGCCCTCGTACAACCTGAACTTCATCGTCCTTTCGGATGGGCATGGATCGAACGTTGTACTTCTGTCTCAGCTCTTTAGAAAGAGGAGAAGACATAATTTTCCTGCGAATGTGGGAAGGCGCATTGAAATGCCTTTTTCGATTCTTGCTTCGGTCAGAAGTCACAAAGGGATTGAACTTCATTTTAGCCGCCGGCGCTTCAGCGATGGCCACAGAAGGGAAGAGCTTAACTTTTGTTTTTAAAAAATATGTTTTAGAGCCAAAAACAAAAAACAACAAAAAAACCCTGGAAAACCACTGCTCTAGAACATGGCACTAAAAATTAAATCCAAAGCTCCTTTTTCCATCTCTTTTTCTCATAACTAGTCTTTGAACTGTTGGGAAACAGGGACTCTGTTCTATTTATTTCTGTTTTTCTGGCACTTGAAAGTGCCCAGCATGTAGTACATATCCAGTACTCTTTTGTAGAGAAATAGTCATTTATGCAGATCCATGCACGTACTCTGCCCTTTAGTTCCTTCACTGTCTACTCCTTATGGTCTTCATTTTTCTCTCGCCAGGTATCCTGGATACAGCCATTGTTGATCGGGGGAAGAATGTGGTATCTGTTTCTCGGGATGGGACAGCACGACTTTGGGATTGTGGGCGCTCAGCCTGCCTGGGAGTCATTGCAGACTGTGGTTCTTCCATCAATGGAGTGGCTGTGGGTGCTGCTGACAACTCCATAAACCTCGGCTCCCCTCAGCAGATGCCCAGTAAGTTGATGACAGTATATGAATTTCTTTCCTTAGGTTCCTTCAGTGTTTGCCTTAGTTCCTCCTTTTCTTCCTCCTCCTTTCCTGCTCTGTAGGTATTTCTGTTTTTATCGTAAGACTAATATTTATTGCATATCTACTACGTTTGTGTTACTTTGAATTTACAAAGGAAGTATATGTCATAGTTACTACATTTGAGTAAGTACAGTTTAATTTAGCAGTTGAGTCTAATGCCTGTAAAACAGAGATCAATGCAGTTTTGGCTAAAATAATGATTCACTGAATGCAAGTATAATAGTTTGTTTTTTTTTTAAGAGGAGAGTGTTTTAGGTCAGTATAGATGAGAAAGGAGTCACAAAATAAGTTGACTTGAACCTTGCAGGATGGATTCAAGTTGAACTGGGAAAGATGGGAGAATGGGACCAGGTCAGGGATAGAGGTAGTCAGTTCACATTAAAAAACAGTATGGAGGTAAAATTATCCATTGGGTAAAGGTATTCTTGGCTGGGCCAGAAGTTGGTGTAAGCTTCATAGGGGGAAATAGGTGAGTAGAATGATAGTTCTGGTGAGTCAAAATGATAAAGGTCCTAATAAGGCAATTTGCCTTCTTTTCTTATTTTCCTATGATTATAACATATTTGCTTCTCTGATGGAAACAGAGGACTGTTTTTCTCTCAGTATCTCTGCGTCTAGAGCTATTAGGTCCACATAAAATTGAGCAGAAAGTAGAGTTCTAGTATACCCTCTGACCCCACAAACACACAACCTCCCTTATTATTGGCATCCCCCACAGAGTGGTAAATTTGTTACGGTGGTAGACCTATACTGATACATCATTAACACTCAAAGTTCAAGGTTGACATTGGGATTCACTCTTGATGTTGTATATTCTGTGGGTTTGAACAAATGTACAATGTCATGTATCTGTCATTATAGTATCATGCAGAAATTTCACTATCTGAAAAATTGTCTTTGCTCCACCAATTTGTTCTTTTCTCTCCTATAACCCTTGGCAACCACTGATATTTTTACTGTCTTCATGGTGTTGCCTTTTCCAGGATGTTTTGAAATCATAAACTATGTAGCCTTTTCAGATTGGCTTCTTTCACTTAGTAATATGCATTTAAGGTTCCTCTGGGTCTTTTTGTGCCTTGATAGCTCATTTCTTTTAAGCATTGAACAGTATTTTAAGCATTGAACAGTATTCCATTGTCTGAATGTACCTCAGTTTATTCATTCATTCATCTACTGAAGGACATCTTAGTTGTTTCCAAGTTTGGACAATTATGATTAAAACTGCTCTAAGTACTCCCCTGTACGTTTGGGTTAATTTTTCCCCTCATTATGGACAGCATTCTCCTCATTCTCTTAAAGTTCCCATATAGATGCACTATGGTCCAAGAACTAAAACTGTTAGGACTACTAGCCTGCCCCCTCTTTGGGAATTAATGGATTGTGAAAGGAAATCCAAGAGACAGGAACTGAGTAGCCATGCAGTGTGCATCTGCTAAGTCGCTTCAGTTGTGTCCAACTCTGCCACCCTGTGGACTGTAGCCCACCAGGCTCCTCTGGCCAAGGGATTCTCCAGGCAAGAATACTGGAATGGGTTGCCATTTCCTTCTCCACGGGAGACTCCTGACCCAGGGATCAAACCTGTGTCTCTGTGTCTCATGCCTTGGCAGGCAGGTTCTTTACCACTAGCACCACAATGGATTAATAGGAAAAGTCTACTCCCCAAAGTGTGATGCATGTACAGCTAGTGGTAAACAAGATCATTTCAGGCAGTACTCATTTTTAAGTTATATATTAATACACACACATCTCACTTCAAACCTAAAATTTCACAGATATTACTTAAAATAAGGTTGAATTTTTTAAAATCAGTTGGTTTAAATGAAGGTATTCTTGTTTTCTCTATTCCCTCACCTCCTACTTACTCTTTAGCCTGTCTTAGGTGGGTTTGTGCCCCAGTTACTTAACTGGCAGCAGCTCTTGTCAAGGTCACCAGCGACTCCATGTTGTGTAATCCAGTGTTACTTCTCTGTGGTTATCTTTCCAAATTCTCAATAGGTTGCAGCATAGTACACTCTTCTTTTCAGGACACTGTTCTTTCTTGGCTTCTGTAACACCACATGACACTGCTTTTTTTGTAGCTCATTGGCTACTGCTTCTTAGTCTCCTTTTGTATGTTTCCTTTATTTTACCTGTAAATATTGGAGGGCCCTCAGCCCTGCAGTTACTGTCTTAGGTGATCTTATCATTTCCATGACTTTCAATATTGTATTTAAGCTGGTGATTTCCAAAAATATATCTAAAGCATGGATCTTTTACTTGCATTTTAGACTCTATTTAAATGTCTAATAGCTTGAACTTATTGTATGGAGTGTTTGATTTTTTCCAACCCCAAATCTTTTTTTTTCCATCTCAGTTAATGGCACCACCATCTCCTTGCTTAAGCCCAAAGCCTAAGATTCATTCAAGATCCACCACTGCCTTTCCTCTTGTCCCACATCAGCAAAGTCTGTCATCTCTACTTTCAGAATGTTTCTCATTTTTCCATCTCATCCTCTCCTTCCAGGTCTCTCATTTTCCTGCCAGCATCCTGATTCAGTCTGCCATTATCTGTTGCCTGCTCTGTTTTGTAATCCATTCTCATAGGAATCATCACGCTCATTTAAAAAACAGAAGTCCAGGGCTTCTCTGGTGGCTCAGTGGTGAAGAATCCACCTGCCAATGCAGGAGACACAGGTTCGATCCCTGGTCTGGGAAGATCCCACATGCCGTGGAACAACTAAGCCCATGTACAACTATTGAGCCTGTGCTCCACAAGACAAGCCACCACGGTGAGAAGCCCGCGTACCACAACTAGATGATGGCCCTGCTTGCCAAAACTAGAGAAAAAGCCCACACAGGAACAAAGACCCAGCACAGCCAAAAATAAATAAAATTACTTTTAAAAAAATGTAAATTGAGCCGTATCACTCTCCTGTGTCCCTCCTCTCCTCCAGCGGCCTCCTTTTATATTGTTACATATGTTTGGCCCTACTTTGTTTAGCATTGTACTCTGTACATTGTTCCAAATATGGTATCTTTCCACATTACAAAGGACTTGATAATCATAATATTTTAAAATTGGGTTTATTGAGGTATATTTTACATATAGTAAAAGTCACTTTTTTTAAATCACACAGTTCTGTGAGTTTTGACAAATATGTACAGTCATATAAATAATACCAATGTCAAGAGACAGAACATAATAAACGTTTTTTAAAACTAATAAGTAAGTGACTAACAGAGTAATTCAGTAAACAGCTGTCAATATCTATGTTTTCTGAGTACTGCCAGCTGATCATCCTAGCCCATTATTGACATAGCTCATCTGTCATGTAGGTGAACGAGAGGTTGGAACAGAGTCGAAAATGCTGCTGTTGGCCCGAGAAGATAAGAAACTTCAGTGCTTGGGACTGCAGAGCAGGCAGCCGGCAAGTGGTTCCTCTAATACCTTTGAACACTGGGCAACCTGGGTCACACTGATTCTTGGAAAGCTGTTTTAAAAGCATTTCTAATTTCTCTGTATGTTCACCTTTTGTGGAAGCTACATGTGTGAAAGGCAGTACAGTATAGTAATTAAGAGCATGTGGTATGGGATAAGGGCAACATTTAAATCCTAGCTCTTCCTAATGGCTATGATATTGGACTCATTACTTAACCTCTCTGAGCCTGTTTCCTCATCACTAAACTTGTCATCGTAGGATTTGTACGTAGGGTTATGTGATAATATTAAATGACCTACTGCTTTGTGACCTTTATTAAGTCACTTTCCCACTGGCCCTTAGTGTGCTGTATGTAAAATGATGAGGTTCTATAGATTTTTTTCCTCCTGTAAGGTAATGTGGAGATTTTTTGAGTAAAGTTCTCATGCATTCAGGGCTCTCTATTAATTAGTGACCAGAATGTCTCTTATAGAAGAATGGGGTTTTCTTCCTTCATTTCCTGGGATTTTGCCAAGCAGGCTATGCTCTTAATTAAACTTGGAGTTCCTTTAGATTAGATTTTCTAAATTTCTTTCCAGTTGCTGTCATCATCACCCAGACAACATTAATGATTTGGTTTGGCTTTGTATTTTCATTTTGTCTCATTACTTCATTGTGTTGGTGATGTTTCCATTTTCAAAGTTTGTTCTGAGAGCATTGCTATTTTTGATCATACTGCTTTTGCACTCTGAATTTCCATGCTGGCTTTTAGTTCCAAAGGGAAGTCAGAGGGTTTTGTTTGTTTTGTGTCTTTCTTTCTTTTTTTTTTTTTAGAACATTCAAACTTTACTCTTTGAACTAATAGTAAGAAATTAAAATCTAATATTTGTTATTTTCTTAAGTACATGGGTAAATTGTGATTTCTTAAATTGCCACATTAAGTATGTTTCTTTACCTTCAAAAGATTGTCATCAAGAAAAAAAAAAAGATTGTCATCAGTGTCTTGAAGCAAAACGTAAATGTGTGAATTGCAAGTGTTTAGCAAATGGAAGGTTGTGCTGAAAACAGGAAAAAGAACGATTTTTGGTGTTGAGGATCCCATGAGTCAATGTGTTGAGGGGAAATAGTGTGAAAACTGTACCTTAGACTGATATTATATAACCTGCTTAAGTCCTCAGCCAGCGTCAGGTTCCTGAAATCCTGGGAGTGCTTCCCCCTCAGTTGTTGGTGAATACTTAGTTTAGATCAGGAGTTCTTAAAAGGAGAAGAAAGAAATTCTGTACTAAAAATAGTAAAATTCTTCTTTTCTTGGTGCCTGTTTATTCCTGGAAACGAATCTTTAAACAGCATTTTTGTCTCCTACTTGTTCCCAGCTGTTCCTCTTTATTGGCTCAGATGCCTTCAACTGCTGTACTTTTCTCTCTGGCTTCTTGCTATTGGCTGGTACACAGGATGGAAACATTTATCAGCTGGATGTAAGGAGTCCAAGGTGAGTCACCATTCATTTGCATGATGCAGGTCTTCTGCAGAGTGGAAATTTTTATTGGCTTTCACAGTGATTTAATCTGGCATATAGATGGCTGTTGAATCAAGGGTATATTTTTCCATTTATAAAGGCTTTCCAGTGTGAATTGTCTGATTGTTCTTATTATTCCTGGAATCACATTGAAAGGTAATTTGATTCATACTGTCATGATTGCTTTGTAAATTAAGCTTAAATAATGAACTAACATCTCACAATAATTATATAAAACCTTTAATTTTAAGGACCTTAGTAATTTTCTTCATGGTATTACATCTGGGTTGGCCTGAGATTGATCATTTATAGTTCAAGTAAGCCAGCTCTGATTCTTTATTTGGCTGTGATCATAACCTATCTTATATAGGCTTTATCCTGGTCTTACAGATATCCAAAAAGAGTCCATAACCTGTTTGTCCCAGGACTTAACATTTTCTACTGTCACTTTCTCTTTCTGCTTCCTTCCTTTGTTCAACTGATACTTATTGAATGGCTCCTGTAGGCATTAAGCTTTGTTCAGGGCACCACACAACAGAAATAAAAGATAAAGACTCTGCCTTTGAGGCATTTGGAATCTAATAATATAGATGGACAAGTAAAAGACTGTTAGGACACAGTATGATTAGTGATCTCAAGAATTTGAGGAAGCACTGAGAAGGTGAGAAAAGAAAGTGAGACTGCTCTGAGGAAATGCAGCTTTAATCGATCTTGTCCAGCAGAAAGTTACCAAGTAGAGAAAAGAAGGACCTGCCTTAGGTAGAATAGCATATAGAGAAGCATGAAGGCATGTGAAAGTATGGCACTGTAAGGTATCTCTGAGTAGTTTGACAAGACAAGTATATACTCTGCCAGTGGAGTAGTGATGAGAAGTGATGCCAGACAGGAAAACTGGAATTTGCTTAGAAAGGACTTATATACCATGCCAAGGAGTTTGGACTTTATTCCAAGAGCAGTGAAAAAATTTCAGCTAAAGAGTGACTAGCATATACCTTCTCTTCCATAATTTAAGTTACTTTATTTTTGTACTTTTTTTGCTCCATAGAGATAGGGAATCTGATCACTGTTATAAAATCTCATAATTATAAAAATTATAAAATCATCAATTATAAAAATTTATTCTCATCTTTCTGTTTGATTTTACGAAGTCCTAACAATTTTAACATATTACAGCTGACTTAATTCTGTCTATAAAGAGATTAACATATTGTTAACATTGTTATCTTAAACGCTTGTCAGGCTTCCTCTAAAAACTGGAAATATCAGTGTTTACTTAGTTCATTCAGCTCATTAACATATTTAGAGACATGTTTAGATTCCCTCCAAGGTGGTTTTGAATGGACTACTTTGATCTACCATCTAAGGATCTTGCCAGGAAAGAAACTATGAATGTTTAATCTCTGTCCATATTTGTCCAGTGTGCTCTTATGCAGTTAGTACTGTAGGTTGAATATAGTCAAGTATTGCTTTGTAAGGGAAAGAGTAAAATTGCTCCATTTATTCTGTATCCTAGGACTCCAGTACAAGTCATCCACAGATCAGGAGCACCAGTTATGTCTCTGCTGAGTTTCAGAGATGGATTCATTGCTAGCCAAGGTGGGTCCCGGGGCCAACTGAGGGAGGTCGTTCCATATCGTTCAGTGAAACATAGGTTTAAGTTCCTGGTCTGTGGCAGGGCTAGGAGCATCATCCTCCATGATTCTTTGGCATATTGTGCTTTTTCACATAACGTTTAACACCCTAATTATAATTATCTGTGCCCCCTCCAATGTAAGCCCCTTGAGAGTAGTGGCTGTGCCTTATCACGTTGCCCCCAGCATTTTAGTTCAGTGTCCACCATGTAACTGGTGCTCAGTAAACATTGTCAGAATAAATACACTGGCTCTTATTACAAATTATTGAGAATTCAGTTAACAAATCAGTTACAGTCTCTGCTCTAAAGGAGCTCATAGTTAGTAAGGCAGACAGACATGTGGACATGTGCTTGAATACAGTTTGATAAGTACTTCAGCAGAATACTGTATGGGAATGTGGGGAACAGCTAACTTGAGTGGTAGGAGTACTGCAGGCATGTCTTTGTGGACTTGTTTGCTTTAGTCGCTGAGTTGTGTCCAGCTGTTTGCGACTTCATGGACTGTAGCCCGCCAGGCTCCTCTGTCCATGGGTTTTCCCAGGCAAGAATACTGGATTGAGTTGCCATTTCCTTCCCCAGGGGATCTTCCTCACCCAGGGATTGAACCACATCTCCTTTGGCATCAGGTTCTTTACCACTGAGCGACCTGGGAAGTCAGGTCCCTTCATGGACTAAGCAACATTTAATCCAATGACTATTTTACCAACTGGAGATGTAAATAATGCACACTGACGGCCAAAGCTGTAGTGTTTCAAAGTCACAGATGAGTGAAAGGGGGCAGAAAGAAGGGATCTGTCCTTTAGTTGCCTATCTACCATACAGTAGGTACTGTGTTTGATGCTTTACAAAGACAGTCTGGGTAAAGTGAGTGAGTACCTTGGTGTAAGCAGTACAGAATATTTGGAATGGAGTTTGGGAGTGGGTTTGGGAGAAATGCATGGAAGAAAGTGTCCATTAAGGGACGCTGAATCCTCATAGGAATGATTTAGGTGAGGAGGACTGGCCTATAGGCCTGGAGGGACCATCTTACCTTAGTACTTCAGTGTATCAGTTAGGATATTTTTGGCTGTTAGTAGCAGAAGACTCAACTGAAAATGGCTTCAATAATTCAGAAAATGTAGTACTTCTTTGACAAGACATCCAGATTTATGGTGGCTCCAGATTATATTAATTTAGTGATTTGAAAACAAATTCAGTGGAGAAACTAAGAACAATTGACAGCTCACTCAGTGTGGTATCCTGGATTGTATCCAGGAGGTTTAAAGACTGGTAAAATCCAAAAAAGTATTGAATTTAAAAAATTAATGAAAGCTTTAACAAGAAGAGAAGAAATAAAATCAAGAACGCAGCTTTTCTCTGTTTTTTTGGCACTCTCCTCCTTAGCATACTGGCTTTTGTCCTCAGTCTTATTCCCTCAAGGTTACAGTGCAGGATGGCTGCAGCAAATCTTATCTTCACATAACATGCATATTGTTATCCCTTTTAAGAATGAGAAACATTTCCTCAGGAGCAACCCGGCAGGCTTACTAATCTCCTACGTCATTGATCAGAATTATATAATATATGCCGTGCCCAGAAGACCTAAATAGACATTTCTCCAAAGAAGATATACAGATGGCCCACAGGCACATGAAAAGATGCTCAGCAATGCCAGCATTAGAGAAATGCAAATCAAACCCACAATGAAGTATCACTTCCCACCAGTCAGAAAGTCTACAAAGAATAAAAGCTGGAGAGGGTGTTTAGAAAATGGAACCCTCCTACACTGTTAGCAGGAATCTAAATTGGTACAGCCACCATGAAAAACAGTATGGTGGTTCCTTAAAAAAACTGAAAATAGAGTTGCCATATGATCTAACAATCCTACGCACTCCTGGGCATATATATAGAAAAGACAAAAACTAGTTCAGAGAGATACATGTGCTCCCATGTCCATAGCAGCAATATTTCTAATAGCCAAGATGTAGAAACAACCCAGATGTCCGTTAACAGGTGACTTGCTTAAGAAGATGTGGTGTTGGACGCCCTTGGTGGCCCAGTGGATAGGAAAACACAGGTTTGATCCCTGGGCTGGGAAGATTCCACATGCTCCAGAGCAACTAAGCCCGTGCGCCCCAACTTCTGAGCCTGCATGCTGCAAATACTGAAGTCCCCATGCCTAGAACTTGTGCTCCATGACAAGAAAAAGCACCGCAATGAGAAGCCTGAGCACTGCAGTGAAGAGTAGCCCCTACTCACTGCAACTCAAGAAAGCCTGCATGCAGCAATGAAGACCTAGTGAATAGGTCTTCATTTATTTATTTGTTAATTTGTGTTTATATAAAAATGGCAGTTATGTATGGTTTAATCTCATCATCCTATGATCTTTGGTGAATGAGTTCACTTTTCCAAGTCTCTACTTAGAGATAAAATAGGTACTTGATGTAAAGTAGATATTCTGTAAGTGATAGTTTCTTCTTACTCCTGTAACTAACCCTTGCTCTTGTGAAGTGAAAGTTGCTCAGTCGTGTCTGACTCTTTGCCACCCCATGGACTCTACAATCCATGGAATTCTCTAGGCTAGAATACTGGAGTGTAACCATTCCCTTCTCCAGGGGATCTTCCCAACCCAGGGATCGAATCCAGATCTCCTGCATTGCAAGCAGATTCTTTACCAACTGAGCTATCAGGAAAGCCCTGCTCATAACCGTTGTCCTATGCCCTCCTAAAAAAGTATTTCTGATCATCATGATCCACTGGTGAAGCACACAGTCACACAGTCACCAAAATTAGAATTATAGTATAGGGAAAGATATGTGCAAGTGTCAGAGCAATAGTAAGTGTTACAGGAGGTCAATGGAGAAAGGGTTTACTATATTGGTTGGTTAGAAATGGCTTCCTAGACAAATTGGGAATGAAGCTTGGGCTTATCAAGTAGGTTTGTGTATGGAAACTTGAATGCAGAGGAAGAGCTATGGTAATTGTACTTTCTTACCTCCCTGTACCTCTAAGCCAGACCATCTGACCTGCCTCTTGAGAAACCTGTATGCAGGTCAGGAAGCAACAGTTAAAACTGGACATAGAACAACAAACTGGTTCCAAATAGGAAAAGGAGGACATCAAGGCTGTATATTGTCACCCTGCTTATTTAACTTATATGCAGAGTACATCATGAGAAACGCTGGACTGGAGGAAGCACAGGCTGGAATCAAGATTGCCAAGAGAAATATCAATAATCTCAGATATGCAGGTGACACCACCCTTATGGCAGAAAGTGAAGAAAAACTAAAGAGCCTCTTGATGAAAGTAAAAGAGGAGAGTGAAAAAGTTGGCTTAAGCTCAGCATTCAGAAACGAAGATCATGGCATCTGGTCCTATCACTTCATGACAGATAGATGCAGAAACAGTGGCTGACTTTATTTAGGGGGGGCTCCAAAATCACTGCAGATAGTGATTGCAGCCATGAAATTAAAAGACGCTTACTCCTTGGAAGGAAAGTTTTGACCAACCTAGACAGCGTATTAAAAAGCAGAGACATTACTTTGTCAACAAAGGTCCGTCTCGTCAAGGCTATAGTTCTTCCAGTGGTCATGTATGGATGTGAGAGTTGGACTGTGAAGAAAGCTGAGCACCGAAAAATTGATGCTTTTGAACTGTGGTGTTGGAGAAGACTCTTGAGAGTCCCTTGGACTGCAAGGAGATTGAACCAGTCCATCCTAAAGGAGATTAGTCCTGGGTGTTCATTGGAAGGACTGATGTTGAAGCTAAAGCTCCAATACTTTGGCCACCTGTTGCAAAGAGCTGACTTATTAGAAAAGACCCTGATGCTGGGAAAGATTGAGGGCAGGAGGAGAAGGGGACGACAGAGGATGATATGGTTGGATGGCATCGTTGACTCAATGGACATGGGTTTGGGTGGACTCCGGGAGTTGGTGATGGACAGGGAGGCCTGGCGTGCTGCAGTTCATGGGGTTGTAAAGAGTCAGACACGACTGAGTGACTGAACTGAACTGAACCTCTAAAATATAAGGATTCTTTTTTGGAAAAGGTTATTTTTAATAATGAGAATGCAGGAAAGAAGATCCTCTGTATACTGCTGGGTCCAGTATAGATTGATTAACAGATAAAATTGATAACTTATATATAATTTTAGAAAGCAGTTTTTCAAATTTTAAATGTTTGAAATGGTTAGTTAATATCTTTTGATTCTTTTCCAGAGTTCTGTACAAAGTCATAGTCTTAATATAGAAAAAACTTTATGCATAAAGATATTCTTCTATGCTATGTGCTCTCAACCATATAAAATAAAAATTTATACAGAAAAAGTTAGAAAAATACATTAGACTGTGAATAGTATTTATCTTTGAGTGGTAGATATGGATGATTTTTTTAACTTCTGTTTCTTTATTTTTCAAGTTTTTTGGATATCATGCCATTCAGCACTCAGGATCTTAGTTCCCTGACCAGGGATTGAACCCACATCCCCTGCATTGGAATGCAGATTCTTAACCACTGGACCACCAAGGAAGTCCCTGGGAGCATAGTTGTCTTAAAGAAAACATTTATATAAGGAAATTACCTGTTAAAAATCATTGTCTAGGATAAGATTGCAAATACTTGTATAAGCCTGTAGTTGCTTGCTCTGTGCTCTTGGTGGTTATTGCTAATCAAAGACAATTCTTCCCATTTAGCTTTCACTTGGCCTTCAAATCCTCTTGAGCCCAGCATTTTAGGGAGTCACTGTAGGACCTCATATCTGGCCCACCATGAGTCCTGTCTGCCACTCTGGGTCTTAAGACAATTTTCTTTAGGCTAGTGATGTACAGAAATAAAATATTGAGGAAGTTTTCTGTCTTTTAGGTGATGGAAGCTGTTTCATTGTCCAGCAAGACTTAGACTATGTGATTGAGCTCACTGGGGCTGACTGTGAACCTGTATACAAGGTACAGACCTGAGATGAAACCAGGCCTGGGTGGTTTTCACCTGGAACCCAGGGCTTTGGAGGGGAATGAATCCAGAAACTTTGTGATTACTAGGGGTAATAAAATACTTAGGAGTGGGACAGAAAGAAATAATTGAGTCAGAGTGTCTTCATCGTTTACTGGCTCTAGAAACTGAAAAAATCACTTTACTTCCTCAGTCTGTCAGTTTATCTGTAAAATGAGGATAACAGTGAAATAATGCATATGAAAACTCTATTCTGTAAATATTACTTTTATTGTTGTTGTTATTATTTAAGTTCAAGACTGATTTGATTAGAGTGTGGTGTTGGAGAAGACTCTTGAGAGTCCCTTGGACTGCAAGGACATCCAACCAGTCCATCCTAAAGGAAATCAGTCCTGAATATTCATTGGAAGGACTGATGTCGAAGTTGAAACTCCAGTACTTTGGCCACCTGATGCGAAGAGCTGACTCATTTGAAAAGACCCTGATGCTGGGAAAGATTGAAGGCGGGAGGAGAAGGGGATGACAGAGGATGAGATGGTTGGATGGCATCACCGACTCAGTGGACATGAGTTTGAGTAAATTCCGGGAGTTGGTGATAGATAGGGAGGCCTGGCGTGCTGCAGTCATGGGGTTGCAAAGAGTCAGGCACGACTGAGCTACTGAACTGAGGAAAGAGAAAAATGAAAGGGGAAATAATGTTTGTTGACCAGACATTGTTCTATCTGTTTTACATATCATATTTAATCATTGTTATCATATCTTGAGGCATAGATATTATTATTCCTATTATTTTCTTATATTTAAAAAATTTTTATAATTTATGCACATGTATAAAAATTCAAACAGTGCAGAACTGTGCAGACTTAAAAGTCTGCTTTAAAACTTTTGGTTTCACTGTTTCCTGAAGTAACTAGCATTAAGTTTGTCATGTATCTTTTAAGACTGCTTTTGGAGAATTTGTACTCAGACCTTTGTTTATGTAGTTATGTAAATAATATAGTTTTGTCTTTAGTTTATACATAATTGGGATCATTCTGTTATGTATTGCTGTATGACTTGGGTTATTTTACTTAACGTTTTAGAGCTCTTTCCAGACAAATGCTTATAGATATACTTCATTTTTTAAAATTCCTGCTTAGTGTTCTATATTGTGAATTAACACACCATTTTGATATTATTAATGAAGAAATGGGACCAAAGGGGTTGAGAAAGCTGCCCTAGGTCATGCAGCTACATATTGGCACACCTGTGATTAAAGTTAACTCCAGAATTCATGCTATTTGCTTTAAATGAATGGTTCTTAACCTCCTTTGTCTCAGACTGCTTCGAGAATTTGATGAAATCCTTCTCAGGAAAAAAAGGCACTTATTTATTTATTTATTTTTAAAAAGGCACTTATTGAGAACTTCTTTGCATATAATGTTATGAGGTTCGGGGATACCCAGGCCTTCCTTTTTTTTTTTTTCCTCCCCCGAAGGCTTCCAAGTATAATTTAATAACAGATGTAAGGGACCAACTTAATTTTAGCTACACCCCCTCTCTATTCCTAGGCTCTGTCAAAAGAGATTTTAGGGTTTAATGTGACAGCACCCTCTTCTGGAGGAGGCAATGTTGTTCAGTCCCTAAGACGTGTCTGACTCTTTATGACCCCATTGACTGTAGAGCCCATGGATTGTAGCTTGCTGGACTCCCCTGTTCTCCACCATCTCCCGGAGTTTGCTCAAACTCAAGTCCATAGAATCAGTGATACTATCTAATCATCTCATCCCCTGCCGCCCCCTTCTACCCAGGCTTTTCTGTGGACCATCTGCTCCCCTGTACAGACGCCTCTGCTCTAAACCATGTACAACACTAGTCCGTTTTCTCTCCAATTGGCCACTTAGTTTCTCTGTTCTATACTCATGAGCTCCCTTGATTCTGGTCAGCTATTTTTAAAATATATAACATGGATGTAAAAAAAAAAAACATGGATGTAATTCTTGTCTTTGGAGTCAGTAAATCTTCTCAGACTCCGTTGTACTAGTAGGGGTCAATGACAAGACTCTTATGTTTTTGAAGTGGAAGAACCCCAGGCTTCCTTTGAGCTGTGAACTCTTTGTGTTCCAGGTAGCCACATGGGAGAAGCAGATCTACACATGTTGTCGAGATGGTCTTGTGCGACGCTATCAGCTCTCTGACCTCTGACCCCTTGGGAAGAGGAGTCCCAGTAAATGAAAAGGATTGACTCTGATCAACAGTGAGCAGAAACATCATCAGGGACCATGGAACAACCATGAGTGATCTTTGTTGTATTGGGTACCCTTCGGAAACAATAGAAAGTCAGCTGCTTTGGCCCATGTGGAGCTGTCATTCCATGACAAGACCCACTTTGAACTGAGTAAGAAGCTCACATGTGCTCGCTGCATTTGTCCCAACTTCTCCCTTAAACTCAGCCCAGCACATAGGGTAAGGAAATGGATGCTTATAGTGTGATTCCACACTGATGTGTTCAGTGTTTACAAGGACTGGAGAAATAAAGCCTGTTCTCTGGAGGAAATAAAGAGAATATGGAGGAATCTGAATTTGAGAAACTTTGTTAAATATTCTTGCTGTTGCAAAAAGTCAGTCACAGTGATGGGATTCCTTACTCAGGCACTTCCAATCAGCCTGGCTGTAGGGAAGGGCTACATGACAGTAACAGTAAGTATCCCATGTGCAACCTGGGAAAGATTCTTATACAGGAAGGGTAGTAACCACCATTCAAGTTTTCCTCAGATTAAGGGGTTTTCTGCTATATGGGACTTTCTGTCCTGGACAAACTGATATGATTGGTTAGCCTTTATACAGGTGATGAAGTTGAATCATCACTGTAAAAGTGACAGCTGTCAAAGCGTGGTTCTTAGAGTAGCTGTATCAGATCACCCAGGAACTTGTTAGAAATTATGGGAACTGCCTCCCCTTTTCAGACTTAAATAAGAAATGCTATGGATGGGGCCCAAATCAGTATTTTAACGATTTCAAGGTGATTCTAATTCCTGCTAAAATAGGAGAGACAAAAAGAGATGGTGAAGGGCAATTTAGTCATAGATGGAACTCAGTGCTCGTGGATGAGGCTGAAGTGGTTGACAGGGTCCAAATAGTGAAGGGACTTAAATGCCAGGTAAGGAGCTTGAGCTTCACTTGGTTGGCATTGGGGAGCCACAGAACACTTTTTAAAGCAAGGGTACAACATGGTCACTTCTTTTTTTTCCCTAAACATAAAAATGGAGTTATATATATTCTGTGGTTTATTTTCATGTAGTGTCTCTGAGTTCTTTACATCTCAATACAGTTGGACTTTCCTCATTCTTTTTAATAAAAAGTGTAGATTTCCCTGCAGCCCAGTGGTTAAGACTCTGCACTTCCGCTGCAAGGGGCATGGGTTTGTTCCCTGGTTGGGGAAATAAGATCCTGCATATTGCGAGAGCGCAACAACAACAACAACAAAAAACTGCTAGTAAGACTCAAAGAGATCTAGTGATTAGCCAAGGGTCATAGAGGGTAGGAACTTGAACACAGTTGAACTTTAAATCCTATATTTTCCTTCTAGTTGCTTTTGCCTAAACCAAATTGAAAATAAAATACTTTAGTTCATTGAATATCTACTGGATATCTACTCTGTTCTAGTTACTGTATTTAGATACTTAATCCTCATAACATTCTTAAAAAGGAAATGGTATTATTCCTGTGTAAAGGATAAAGAAACTGAAGCTCAAGAAATGAAGTACCAGAACCTTGATTTGGACCTTTCTCAATGTGTCTGCAAGGCCTGTGCTCCTTCCACTACACCGTGTGGTCACGAGACCTCAGGGACTAGAGCAGTTTCATTCACGGAATGATTTGTGATAGGGTCAGATAGACTCAAGAGGACACATTCCAGAGCTCAGAAACATTGAAAGCTAGGAGGTCTGGGGGAACGTTTAAGAAGTCAGGTTAACAAAACAGGAGGAGGAAGATTTTGACTGAGTTCACACAGCAAGTGTGTCTCCTGAGTCCCCATTCCAGGACTCGTTCATGTTTATTACCATCACATTCACGAACCCCTTTTCACAGGTCTCCAGAGTTGACATCCTGTTTGTGATGGATGCAGTGACTCTTGACAGCTGTCCTGAAATCCAGACCCAAACAGAAGGAGCAAAGGCTAGCTTTCAGGTACCCCAAACCTTATTTACTGTGAATGGAATCATCCCCAGTTTGCAGCAGAGTTTTTTTCTTTTGAGTCGAAGAGTGCTTTCTGGGTGAGGAAGTATTGACAACCCTCATCTGGAACACTGCAGGCCCAGGGAAGCTCTGTGCTTCGACTTTGTTTCCTGGTTTTCAGATGCCCCCTTGTGACTTCTCGTGAAAACTACTGCTGTTTCTCAGACCTGAAAAATCGGCAGTGGCAGTGGCTATTGAGCGTATAGTGTATGCCAGGCATAGTCCTCACAATAGCCTTGTAAAGTTTTATTTTTCTTGAACAGATCTCTTTGTGGATATATTTTAAATTTACTTTCCATTTTGAAATAATTTCAAACTAGCAGATAAGCTATAAGAATAGTTCAAAGGATTCCAGTATATCCCCACACAGATCTCCCAGTTGTTAACTTTTTATTATGTTTGCTTTATCACCTTCTTACTCCCTCTCTCTTTATATATATACATATATATATATATATTTTTTAAACACAGGTTATATATGCTATATATATTTTTTTCTGAATCACTTGTAATACACAAATGTTATGTCCTCTCAGTTTTCAGTACTTAAATATGCATTTGCTGAAATCAGGGACACTCCTGTATAACCACAGTACATCTATCAAAACAAGGAAACCCCCATTAATCCTATACTACCATCCAGTTTGCTGACCCCATTCAAATTTTGCTGGTTTTCCCAACAGTGTCCTTTATAATCACTCTTTCCTTTGTGGTCCAGGGTCTAATCCAGGATCACTCGTTGCATTTATTTGGCTTCTGTCTGGAGTACTTCCTCAGTTTTTCCTTTTATAACCCTGATATTTTTGGAACATAGGCCACTTAGGGTTTGTCTGATGTTTCCTCATGATTAGATTCAGGTTGTATATTTGGGCAGGAATATTCCCAAAGTAATTCTCCATCCTAAGAGCATGGTATTGGGAGCCAGGCAGTGCTGATTTGTCTCTCTGCTGGTTGGTATTAGCTTTCTTTTTTCCCTTTGGAGATATAATTCACAAACCAAAAAATGCATCCTTTTAAATTACACAATTTGGTGGTTTTTAGTATATTTACTTACAAGGTAGTGAGGCCATCACCACCAGTTCCAGAACATTCCTCACCCCAGAAAGAAACCCCATATACTACAATAGTCACTCCCTGTGCTCTAGTCCTGGCAACCACTGATCAGCGGACTCTGTCTCTGTGGTTGTGCCTATTCTGAATGTTTTATATAAATGGAATATACGTGACCTTTTGTGTCTGGCTTCTTTCACTTAGCATAAAATTGTCAAGGTTCATCAATGTGCTATTAATAGCATGCATCAGCACTTTATTCTTTTAATCCACTTGTGATGGTTAATTTTATGTGTTAACTTGACTGAGCCGTGTTGCCCAGATATTTGGTCAAACATTCTGGATGTTCCTGTGTTTTTTGGGAGCTATTAACATTTAAATCAGTGAACTTTGAGTAAAGCAGATTACCTTCCATAATATAAGGCCTCATCCAATCAGTTGAAGGCCCTTATAGAGAAAGACTGACTTCCACCAACAAGAAGGAATTCTCCCAGTGGATTGCCTGTGGATTTGAACTGCAACTCTTCCCTGGGTCTCCTATTGCACTGCAGACCTGTCTTGCATTTTGGACTCCTCAAGCCTCCATAATTGCATGAGCCAATTCCTTAAAATAAATCTCTGTATATGCACACAAACATATCTTATTGGCTCTTTCTCTGGAGAACCCTAATACACCATTGTATGGATATACTACAGTGTTTTAATCCATTCATCAGATGATAGACATTTGGGTTGTTTACATTTTTGTTTGTTTACATTTTTCAGCTATTTTGAATAGTTCTGCTGTGAACATATGTTTTTAGTTCTGTTGGGTATGTACTTAACAGTGGAACTGCTTGGTCATATGGTAAACTCTAGGTTTAATGTTTTGAGAAACTGCCAACTATTTTCCAAAGTGGCTGCACCATTTTACATTCCCACCAGCATAAGGGTTCTAATTTTTCCATGTCCTTGCCAGCTCTTGTTTTTGTCCATCCTTTTTATTTTAGTCAGATAATGTTAAGTCAATTAAAATGGTATTTATGTGATTTCTCCACAGCAAAGTTAATAAGTATTTGAGGGAGAACTACTTTGAGACTATGTGAATATCCTAGTCCTCAACAATCTTGTATCAACTAGTTTTGGCATTCTTTAATGATTTCTGTCTGAATCAGTTATTCCTGTAATAACTGCCACATGTGATTTTCTAATTCCATTATTCTCTTTACATTTATAATCAGCATTCTACTGTAAGGAAGAACTTTCCCTTCTCCCTGAATTATTTATTCATTCATGCATTCATTTGTCTTCGATATATTATTATAGATAACTCATAGATTCATCTTTTATTCTATAGATTATAATCCATTGTTACTGTGATTTATTTTGATATTTAAATTGTCCCATTTGGGCCAGTGGGGGTTCCTCCAAGCTGTATCTTATGTCCTTTTAACATTTTTCCATCCTTCTTTGAGCTGTTGCACATTCTCTGCCCCGTAAGATAGTCAAGCCTCAACTTATGATTTCTCACTTCAGGCCTGGAATCAGTCATTTGTCTAAATAGCCCTGGTTTCTTTTAGTGGAGAATTGTATTCAGAAATCAAGATCTGGGCGATAATATGCTCTTTACTCCTGGGGTATTATTGCTTCTAGGCCCTGTCAGAAGATACTACATCTGTACATCTCTCTTTCTACATCCATCATTCTACATTATATTAAAAATCATGAGTTCACACTGATGTCACCAATTCCAATCCAGCTCCACCTTCTACATATATACCTCCTTTCTCCAACAATGAGAAGCTTGGCTCTCGTAATTCTCAATGTATTCACTTATTTGCTCAGTACCACTGTGAGTAACCAATCTTCCACCCACCCAGGTCATCTCCTTCCCTTTCACCATGGCCCTTGCACACCTGGTGTTCCACTAGAGTCTCCTTCTTCGTTTGCATTCAGCCAATCCCAGATAAAGCAAAGCCTTCCCCCAACCCTCTGAGTTTAATAACTTTTTTTTCCTGGTAATAAGAGTAAAACAGGGAATTCCCTGGCAGTCCAGTGTTTAGGATTTAGTGCTTTCACTGCGGGAGCCCAGGTTTGATCCCTGGTTGTGGAACTAAGATCCCACAAGCTGCATGACCAGAAAAAAAAAAGGTAAAACAAATGGCCAGTACCCAAGAAAAAATGTTCAATATTAGTAGTTAAATAAAAATGCAAATTAAATCCATGAGAAAGCTCAGAAATGAAAAAAATATAGAGTAATTCCACATTTTCATTTTACAAGCAGACAACTATGTATATTTGTATGTATGTTTGTATGTTCATTTTACAAGCAGACAACTATAGCTAAGAAATTATTGTTTTAAGGTCATAAAACTAGTTGCTAACAGGATTTGGCTCTGACTCTGCTGCATTAGTGGTAAGGGAGCATCTTCCATGTGACACATGCTTTTGTATAGTTTTATTTAATATTTTCACACCAACTCAGTTGTGGCGTTAATACTCCCATTTATTCAGGTAAAATTAAACTTGGGGCCACTAAGTAGACCTCCTCAAGTCACACAGATGGCATGTGAGCTCAGCAACATCAAGATATGGTCACTCTGACCACTCAACGCACCTAACACCTGCACTTTACTTCTTAGCTTTCTAGTTGATTTCTCTGTCCTTTGACCCAATTCCAAAAGTGTGTTTTGTCACTTCCAAATATACCTAAAATAAACCTTTTGCCTCAAACATCATGAAAGTTCTATAGTACTTTTTAAGGCAGGCCCTCCTCTGTAGTAGTGTGTCTTCAGAGGACCCAGGAGAGTTCTTTCAGTTATTAGTATCTGAAATGTCATCAGGGAACCATCAAGATTTTCCATCCACAATTAGAGGTGAGTTTTAAAATGTAGCACCTCTCTTTCCCTGTATGACTGATATTAGTTCCTTTCTTAAGAACACACTTCCCTTTGAGAGGAATAGGAGGCTAAGTACCTAGAGAAATTACTCCTGAGGAAGAAGGAGGAGCAGAGGAAGGGCTGTGGTGAGGTGCTGACCCAGGGTCAGACCCATGGAGCAGTAGCAGTAGTCCAGATACAAACCATGTATCTATGTAATATCTGTGTTTAACACAGCAGTCTTGTGGAAAACAACAACTTGTGGGAAAACAACAGACTGTTGAATGAATGGTTCTGGAACAATGGGATATCAAAAAGAAAAAACCTACATGGAACCATATACAGAAAAATAAGTTCTAAGTGGATTAAAGATTTAAAAGTCAAATGGACTTTTGGAAGAATATACAGGTGAAGATCTTTATGACCTTGTATAGGGAATATTTCTTAAACTACACCCAAAAGAAACAGATTGATAAATTTGACCCCATTTAAAAAAAATGGTAAAAAGACAAGCTCCAAGGTGGAAGGGGTTTGTATTTTATATTATCAGCAAAGAAACATAAAACACAGTCACAAATCACTGCCAGAAAGAAAATAGACATGTAAATAGGCATTTCACAACGAAGGAAAAAATTGGCAATAAAAATGAAAAGACCTCCACCAAGAAGTACAAGTTAAAATCCACAATGAGATGCTATTTCACACCTATATCAGCAAACATTTAAAATTTTGACACCAAGAATTGTGAGAATGTGGAGCAAAAAGGAACACACACATACTACTACATTGCTATTGTAAATTAGAATCTCCACATCAGAAAACTGACATTATCTTGCAGAGCTGACACACATGCCCAAATATTCAGGATCAGCAGTGAATGCTAAACAGCCACTATGAAGATGTCACACACATGCACCAACACACCATTTGCATAGATTATACCATTTCTAGAAAGTTTTAAAATATGAAAAGGTAAATATGTTTGGGATACATGTAGTGGTATGTGGAGATGGCTTGTGCCAACCTGAGAGGAATTGGTAAGTGCTATAATTCAGGGCTTTTTTTTTTTTTTTTCTTTCTGGTAAGCCTATTAAACATTTACCAGTACACCACCAGATACATGGCATAGTATTGAATTGGCCAAAAAGTTCATTCTAGTTTTTCTCTTCAATGATTTGGAAAAACCTGAACAGACTTTTTGCCCAACTCAATAATAAAATAATAGACCAAGAGAATGATAAGTAGGGAGGGGAACACAGGGGCCACTGTCTTTCAATTACAAATGCTCTAATGCTACTCCTGTGCATGTAGACTATTTCATAAGAAAAAAATACATGGGTTGAAGCCAGGGTTCATGGTGGGTGTGGTGGGGAGGGTCTGAGCAGCGGTGGCAGCACAGGTGAGTGTGAGAGAGGGAATGGTTAGCTGGGCAATTGCTGGTGCCACAGGTGGGTGTGAGAGGTAAGAGCAGGTATGAGGGGGCAGATCACAGAGTGCCTGTGTGCCAGGATGAACAGCTTGGATTAACTGGGCAGTCAGTGGAGTGAGGTCTTGGCAGGGTAGAAATAAGGTGGCAGGACAACAAGGAAGTCGTGGTGGCCTTGCTGAGAGAAGAACGCCAAACCAAGGCCATGGCTGGGAGGAGGACAGGCAGAGGAGGAGCTTGAGGGATGTCTAGGAGGTAAAATGGTCTGAGCTTGGTGGCTGGGTGTGGGTGACTGAGAGGAAAATGGCACTGCTGCCCTCAAGGAGGTGCAGTGGAACTCCCCGCTCTTTAACGGTGGGTTATGAAATGACTTCCTTCCAAAGAGTACAAGCCAGAAATGGATAAACCCGAGAAACACTGCCTCAGCAGGTGATCAAGGAAGGTCACCGTCTTCAGCGATAAGTCGTGATGGTGCACACCTTTGACCTGATGTGATGAGGATAGCACTTTACATGTGTGGTCTTCCTTCCAAAAGCACCCCAACCCCAGTCTAAATCATAAGAAAATCATCAAACAAATCCCAATTGAGAGACATTCCGCAAAATACCTGACCAATACTCTCAAACTGTCAAAGTCATCAAAAACATGGAAATTTTGAGAAATAGCTATAAACAAGAGGAGCCTAAGGAAACATGACAGGTTAATTGTTATGTCCTAGATCAGATCCTGGAACAGGAGATAAAAAAAAACACTAGGGTTTTTTTCACTAGGGTGAAAACTAGGAAATCTGAATAAAGTATGGAGTTATGTTATAGATTATGTATGTGCTCAGTTGCTCAGTTATGTCTGACTTTTTGCGACCCCATGGACTGTAACCTACAAGGCTTCTCTGCCCATGTAAATTTTCCAGGCAAGAATACTGGAGTGGGGTGCCATTTCTTACTCCAAAGGATCTTCCTAACCCAGGAATTGAACCTGCCTCTCTTGTGTCTTCTACGTTTGTGGATGCATTCTTTACCCCTGGCGCCACCTGGGAAGCCCCCATAGATTATGGATGGATATGGGTTATTTTTTCTGGCAAATGTACCGTACTTGTGTAATGTGTTTATGATAAGGGAAACCTGGTGTGGGGCATATGAGAATGCTATCTTCACACCTTTTCTGAAAATCTGAAAACATTCTAAAATATTTATTTTTTAAAAATAGCCAAATCTGTTTGTTCTGAAAACTTTTAATTAAAACCAATTTCTACTCTCCCTAGAAACTCTGGTTTCTTATCAGGCTCACAGAATCAGTCCTAGTTCTCTCAATCCCCCTTCTACAGGCACAGGTGAGAAGGGGGTTTGCTTAGGAAGGAAGGACTACAACTCCCAGAGTGCCCCTGTGCGGTTGTCAGGAGCAACCAAGGAATGCAGACTAACAGACCTGCCGCTGGAGTCGGGACTATCCACCGACTGACAACTAGCCAGCCATGGGCCAGGATTATTACTCTGTGCTCCAGATCACTCGCAATTCAGAAGATGCTCAGATCAAGAATGCGTAAGTTGGGGCAGGAGCAAAGCTTTTGGGTTGTGCTGGGACAGGCCCCACCCTCATCTCTTCCAAACTGAACTTTCCTGCACAGTTTAGGGCAGGCAAGGTAATCCATGTTCCTTCTCTTACTTCTTGCACACCCACATCCTGGCTTTGGGTTGTGTCAGGGTTCCCAGTTCATCATCCCTTATCCTCTATGCCGTGTCTGCTCTCCTGGGTACCGTGGTCTTCCTAGCAATAAAATGAGAACAAAGGAGACGTTACCCTTAATATTGTAGAGACCCACATGATTGCGAACTGGAGAGTGACCTGGCCAGATACATGTATTATAAATTTTATTCCTCTGTCACATGGGCTTCTGGTATTGAATAAATGCCATCTCTGAATAGTTCCATCAAGTCTTGGGGACTTTGTGGTATTTCTGAGAAATCTGGGGCAGGAATCAGAACATTTTTCTGAAAAAATGTTTTTTGGTGATTATTATGTGAGTTCAGTGTGGTCTCAGCAGCTGGAGATACAATTGTGAATCAGACGTGCAGCTTAATTTTGTTGATGAATACAGATGTTGAATAAGTCACAGTAAGCTTGATGAATGTTACAAAAAGGGACATACAGGGCATGTGGAAGCTATATTGGAAGGAGAGAGACCCCTTCAGTGGCTGTCACAATAATCAAGGCAAAAAGGTGAGGCTTGAAGCAGGGCAGTGAGCTGGAGAGAGGAGAGAATAGACTTAGTTATTAATTGGATCATTGTAGGGTAAAGAAAAAGGGAGGAATCTAGGACAGTTTAATGGACTAGTGACAATAGCTACACTCCACTGAATTGTGCAGATGCCATTCTGAAAACCTACTATCATTTCGTTTAATCCTCACAACAGCCTGAGTGGTAGGTACCATTATCATCCCAGGACCATGTGCCTAGTAACTGGCAGAGCCAGTATTCAGACACCTTGCCTACTATTGTTGCCTACCATGTATCACATCCAGTAGGGGATCTCAGTGAGCTAACTGGAGAGAGTCTACAGTGTGGTTGAGAAACAAGACACAAACTCATGAATCAATTAGAGAACAATTCAGGACAGTCTGTGATGTCACCCACTGTTCATAGCATTTGGTTGGTCAGTGAGACCTGTCTAGGGAAATGTCACAAGGAGAAAGGGCAGTTGGAAAGCAGAAAGATAAGCCCAACTGGAAAATTCTGAAACAGATGGGAATACCAGACCACCTGACCTGCCTCTTGAGAAACCTGTATGCAGGTCAGGAAGCAACAGTTAGAACTGGACATGGAACAACAGACTCGTTCCAAATAGGAAAAGGCTGTATATTGTCACCCTGCTTGTTTAACTTATATGCTGAGTACATCATGAGAAACACTGGACTGGAGGAAGTACAAGCTGGAATCAAGATTGCTGGGAGAAATTATCAATAACCTCAGATATGCAGATGACACCACCCTTATGGCAGAAAGTGAAGAGGAACTAAAGAGTCTCATGATGAAAGTGAAAGAGGAGAGTGAAAAGTTGGCTTAAAGTTCAACATTCAGAAAACTAAGATCATGGCATCCAGTCCCATCACTTCATGGGAAATAGGTGGGGAAACAGAGGAAACAGTGGCTGACTTTATTTTGGGGGTCTCCAAAATCACTGCAGATGGTGATTGCAGCCATGAAATTAAAAGATGCTTACTCCTTGGAAGGAAAGTTATGAGCAACCTAGATAGCATATTAAAAAGCAGAGACATTACTTGGCCAACAAAGGTCTGTATAGTCAAGGCTATGGTTTTTCCAGTGGTCATGTATGGATGTGAGAGTTTCACTGTGAAGAAAGCTGAGCGCCAAAGAATTGATGCTTTTGAACTGTGGTGTTGGAGAAGGCTCTTGAGAGTCCCTTGGACTGCAAGGAGATCCAACCAGTCTATCCTAAAGGAGACCAGTCCTGGGTGTTCATTGGAAGGACTGATGCTGAAGCTGAAACTCCAATACTTTGGCCACCTCATGCGACGAGTTGACTCATTGGAAAAGACCCTGATGCTGGGAGGGATTGGGGGCAGGAGGACAAGGGGAGACAGAGGATGAGATGGCTGGATGGCATCACCGACTCAATGGACATGAGTTTGAGTAAACTCCGGGAGTTGGTGGAGTTGGTGATGGACAGGGAGGCCTGGCATGCTGTGATTCATGGGGTTGCAAACAGTCGGACACAACTGAGCGACTGAACTGAACTTAACTGAAGCGTTGGAAGCATTGTTTCCATTGTTTCCAACCTAGGCAGCATATTAAAAAGCAGAGACGTTACTTTGCCAACAAAGGTCTGTCTAGTCAAAGCTATGGTTTTTCCAGTAGTCATGTATGGATGTGAGAGCTGGACTATAAAGAAAGCTGAGCACTGAAGAACTGATGCTTTTGAACTGTGGTGTTGGAGAAGACTCTTGAGAGTCCCTTGGACTGCAAGGAGATCCAACCAGCCCATCCTAAAGGAAATCGGTCCTGAATATTCATTGGAAGGACTGATGCTGAGGCTGAAACTCCAATACTTTGGCCACCTGATATGAAGAACTGACTCATTGGAAAAGACCCTGATGCTGGGAAAGATTGAGGGCAGGAGAAGGGGACGACAGAGGATGAGATGGTTTGATGACATCACCGACTCAATGGACATGAGTTTGAGTAAACTCCGGGAGTTGGTGATGGACAGGGAAACCTGGCGTGCTGCAGTCCATGGGGTCGCAAAGAGTCGGACATGACTGAGCGACTGAATTGAACTGACTGAAGCATTAGAAAGAGCCAGGTCTGAACCTAGGTTCTCTTACCTGCTAGCTGTAGGACCTCAGCAAATTACTTAACCTTTCTGAACCTCAGTCTTCCCATCTCTCAAAAAAAAAAAAAGTTGTTGTGGTACTGAAATAGAATTATATGAGATAATGAGATGAAAATGCAGAGCAGTCATTTGCATCTGAAACCGTGTCTTATAAAGAGTGATTTAAAAAGCATTTATGTTCTAAACAACAGTTTTTAACCCTTCTTCCCTGAAATAACTCTTAAAGAATGAATCACATGTTTGAGACACTCCCTCATGGGAGTACCTAGATTTTGACACATACACACCCCCAAAAGACTAAACATATAATGAAGAAAGGTACCGAAGTGATTCATAATCACCCAGCTATTAACTTCTTATTCATTTTAGGCTGCCACTTCTAGGTTGTGACTTCACCCCTTTCTCTCCCACTCAGGAAAGCAGGTGCCACAAGGATCATCTAAAAATCCCTCAAGTAAAAAATAAAATCCCTCAAGTTAATATAAAAAACTGAACTCTTCTCAAACCTCATTACTTTTACTCAGTGTTAGAGTTTTACTGCAATTCTGATACTTAACTACAACCTTTGTAAGTGGGAAGGGCTGGTTTAGGACTTTCTGGGAGGTTGTGACAATTGCCTTCAAGTCTTTCAAGGTAGAGCAGATTCTATCTGTAAGGCCCCAGGGCAGAACTATGACCCTTGTGGATGGAGACAGAGTTGCCCAAGAGCAGACCCAGCTCAGGAAGAGAAAGTGTTGCTTAAGAGTCAGAGTGGTCCCACAGCAAAATGGTGAGTTCACGTCATTCATTTACTCATTGCACTTGGTGAGAGGCGCTGAGGACACAGAACTGGACACAGCAGCTGGAGGGACTCACTCACAGGCTGGTGGGAGAGACAAACCCATCAAACAGCTGAGACTGTATGCTAAAGACCAGCATCAGAGGCACTGGCGCTGCTGGAAAGGAAATCTAATCTAGAATGGAGGCTGCAGTCAGGGAAGGCATCCTTGAAGAGCAGACCCCTGAGTTGAATGTGGGAAGATGAATAAATAATTGTCAGGAGGAGATGAAGGGGGCTGGAGAGGGTTGATCATTCCAGGTAAAAGTAGGAGAGTGTTAAAGGCATGAGCAGTGCAGTATGCAGAGTATGGAGCCCGGAGAGAAGAACCGGAGAGGTTGTGGCAGCAGGGAAGGAGAGTGAGTGAGAAGGGCAGGGCGAGAAGGAGTCGAATCGTAGAGACATTTGGGTTTTATACTGAATTCAAAGGGCGGGGATTTCCTTGGTGGCCTAGTGATTAGGATTCAGCGCTTTCACTGCCATGAAGTGAAGTGAAGGTGCTCAGTCGTGTCCGACTCTTTGCGACCCCATGGACTGTAGCCTACCAGGCTGCTCTGTCCATGGGATTCTCCAGGCAAGAATACTGGAGTGGGTTGCCATTTCCTTCTCCAGGGGATCTTCCCAACCCAGGGATCGAACCTGGGTCTCCCGCATGCAGGCAGATGCTTTACCCTCTGAGCCACCAGGGAAGCCCTGGGTTTAATCCCTGGTCTGTGCAGTATGGCCAAAAAAAATTTTTCTTTTAAGTTTTTATGGGACTTCCCTAGTGGTCCAGTGGCTAAGACTCCACACTCCTAATGCAGAGGACCCAGGTTTGATCCCTGGTCAGGGAACTAGATCCTACAGGCTGCAACTGAGAGTTTGAAAGCATCATTTAAAAGATCTCAAATGCCAAAATGAAGATTAAAGATTTCTCATGCCAGTACAGCCAGGTAAATATTAATTTTTTTTTGTTTGTTTTAAAAAGAGTGAAACTCTGGAGCTGCATGAGATTTGAATCCTGACTCCTTGAAGAAAAAAAAAAAAGACAAAGGAGGAACCAGTGAAGGGTTTAGGCAGGAGAGTGACTTGGTCAAGGAGCATTTTAAAAGGGCAAGTTAAAAAAAAAGAGAAATCAAACTGGTGGCAGCACACAGAATAAACTGGAGTGGGGGGGAAACTGGAAATAGGAAGACATGGTTCTGCAATAGTTGTGGAAATGAAGAGGCAAGAAGAAAACATTATCTAGAACGAAAAGCCAGTGTGAGTTTTCATTGGAACAGGGGTGTAAGGGACAAAGGAAAACTTGGAGCCAAAGATATTCAGCTTTTCCACTTCAGGTTCTGTACAAATGGCAGGCAGCCGTCAGCAGGGCCAGCTCTGAGCCTTGGACTGTGCCTCAAGGTATTAAATCCTTCTTCTCTAGGTACCGGAAACTTGCCCTTAAGAACCACCCGCTGAGGTCCATTGAGCCAGGTGCAGTGGAGACATTCAGACAAATAGCAGAGGCCTACGATGTGCTGAGCGACCGTGAGTGACTGGGGCTGAGCGTGAGGGTGGCTCCTCCATCTTCTTTAATGTCATTCCTCACTCAGAAGAGTGTCAGGCTTTCTGAGGGCGCCCAATGGAGAGCAAGCATTCCTCTTCCTGGCCCAGAATCTAAGCAAAGTAGACACAAGCTAAGGTGGAGGACATGGTGTGGAGAGCCCCCAGATTAGGCTGACCTGCTTCCGGAGTCTCAGCCATGCAGGACCCAGGGCAGGGGCTCCCCAACACCCCCCAGGCCTCACCTGTCCCCTTCAGGGATGCAAAATGACATGCTTGCTGTCCAGGGAAGAAGGCTAAGGTTGAGGCAGACACACCCAGTTATTCCCAGATTACCAAGAAGCCAAATCTCTCTCTCCCTGAGGACAGCATAAGTACCAAGGGACAGAGAGAGGTCTGTGATTAGGAAATCTCTCTCTGCTATGGCAACCTGAAGCCTGGGGAAAGAGATCCTTGCCTCTGTGGGGTGCACGTGGGTTCCCTAAATACTGTTCTGGAGGCTGTGTGGATACTGTGCAGAAGAGTGGCCAGAAAATCACTAGTTTCCCCAGCCCTAAGTTTTCAGGACTTTGGACTCTTAAGATTTCCAAGCTCTAGAATTTGACAGCTCTTGAATTCTTATATCCTATAATCTCAAGGCACTAGGATTGTATTTACCCACATAAGACAGTAGCTGTAATGACTGAGTTAAACCAAACCCCAGGATAATAGCCCGACCCTCAGTCTCCTGGTTTCTTCTCCAATCCCCAACCCTCCCCAGGAAGTTTCAGTTTTTCTCATTCTCCTCTGGGCTATGGGGCCATACGTAGGTCCAAGGGTGAAATTAAATCCCTAACTTCTAGTGGCTCCCTCCAAAGACTTCCAGACAGAAAGCACTTTAGAAATAAGGCTGTTTTCAGCCTGCTTCTTCCTCTCTGCCCCATACCCTCTGGCTTCCCAGTCCTCCAGCTCTCTCAGTCCCCATGCTGGCCCCTTCTCAAGGTGACGCGTATCCACAGCTGTGAAAAGAGGCATCTATGACAAGTTTGGAGAGGAGGGTCTGAAGGGCGGAATTCCTCTGGAGTTTGGATCACAGACCCCATGGACAACTGGTTACGTCTTCCACGGCAACCCAGAAAAGGTTTTCCATGAGTTCTTTGGAGGAGATAACCCCTTTAATGGTAAGAGGCCCTGCCTGCCCCTCTGCCTTACTAGGGAAGGATGTTGCTGTAGAAGATGCTTTTCTGTGAGTAGTTAAATTGTTCACTTTAAGAAATATACATACAGTGTGTGTGCTCATCCATGCTCAGTCGCTAAGCCGTGTCCGACTGGGACCCTGTGGACTGTAGTCCACCAGGCTTCTATGTCCACGGGATTTCCCAGGCAACAGTACTGGAGTGGGTTGTCATTTCCTTCTCCAGGGGATCTTCCTAACCCAGGGATCAAACCCACATCTCCTGTTGTCTCCTGCATTGGCAGGTGGATTCTTTATCACTGAGCCACCTGCAAAGCCCCATATGTATAGTACATGGTATTTTTTAAAAACCCTATTTATTGAAAAAGAAATAAATTTCAGCCCTCCATTCCATCCCCAGAAGTAACCACTCATTGTTACAGTTTATGTATCTTTCTAGAAATATTTGGTGCATTTATGAGCTTCTATTTATTTTCACATAGCCTTTCATCTTGTTAAGGAAATGGGACCACACTGTTTACACTGATTGTTTTTAACTTATATCTTAGAGATTATCTTATTATACACTATATTACATACAGATCGACCTCATTTATTTTAATAGCTGCATAAGTTTCCATTGTACAGCATAGAGCTGGGCAGGGGTAGAAGAAGTTGAGGAAAGAGTTTGGGGACATCTTGGTGACCTCTCTAACTGGGTAGTGATTAACCCTGCCTCTCCCCTGTCTCAGCTGCTGACTTTATAGGAACTTGAGTCTGAGATCTGTAGTGGTCTTGAGCTGGGCTGAACAGTGAGGAGAAATGAAGTCTGGGGGAGGGGAGGGAGGACTGCATGCTGTGACCCATCTTCCACAAAAGCTAACACGTCATTTCTGGCACTACCAACCACTGCCACCAGAGGACACTCCTCTCTCTCCTGAGGCAGTCAGAGTTGAGGAGCACTTTCCCGAAGTTGGGGGAAGGGAGGGGTGGGATGGGAGGTAGGGAAGTGTGGGTGAAGGGAGTCTAAAGTGGAGGATGAAGCAATGGAGAGCCTCAAGAGATAGTTATCTTTGGATCTGCAATTGAGGATTTACTGAGGCCAAGCTTGTACAGCTCACTTCAGGACAGGCCAGTAAATTGACAGATGGGTTGTTGGGGCAAGGAATAGCAACTTTATTTGCAAAGTCAGCAGACCAAGAAGTTGGTGGGACCCATTGTCCCGAAGAACCATCTTGCCTGAGTTAGAATTCAGCCTTCCTTTATACTTAAAGGGGAGGAGTAAAGTCAAATATGACTATGCCAAAGGCTTTGACGGTGTGAATCAAACAAACTGGAAAATACCAGACCACCTGACCTGCCTCTTGAGAAACCTGTATGCAGGTCAGGAAGCAACAGTTAGAACTGGACATGGAACAACAGACTCGTTCCAAATAGGAAAAGGAGGACGTCAAGGCTGTATATTGTCACCCTGCTTATTTAACTTGTATGCAGAGTACATCATGAGAAGTGCTGGGCTGGAAGAAGCACAAGCTGGAATCAAGATTGCCAGGAGAAATATCAATAAATTCAGATATGCAGATGACACCACCCTTATGGCAGAAAGTGAAGAAGAACTAAAGAGCCTCTTGATGAAAGTGAAAGAGGAGAGTGAAAAAGTTAGCTTAAAGCTCAACATTCAGAAAACAAAGGTCATGGCATCCAGTCCCATCACTTCATGGAGATAGATGGGGAAACAGTGGAAACAGTGGCTGACTTTATTTAGGGGGGCTCCAAAATCACTGCAGATGGTGACTGCAGCCATGAAATTAAAAGATGCTTACTCCTTGGAAGGAAAGTTATGACCAACTTAGCATATTAAAAAGCAGAGACATTAGTCAACAAAGGTCCGTCTAGTCAAGGCTGTGGTTTTTCCAGTAGTTATGTATGGTTGTGAGAGTTGGACTATAAAGAAAGCTGAGCACAGAAGGATTGATGCTTTTGAACTGTGGTGTTGGAGAAGACTCTTGAGAGTCCATTGGACTGCAAGGAAATCCAACCAGTGCATCCTAAAGGAGATCGTTCAGGGTGTTCATTGGAAGGACTGATGTTGAAGCTGAAACTCCAATACTTTGGCCACCTGATGCAGAGAGCTGACTCATTAGAAAAGACCCTGATGCTGGGAAAGATTGAGGGCAGGAGGAGAAGGGGACGACAGAGGATGAGATGGTTGGATGGCATCACCGACTCAATGGACATGGGTTTGGGTGGACTCCGGGAGTTGGTGATGGGACAGGGAGGCCTGGCATGCTGCAGTTCATGGGGTTGTAAAGAGTCAGACATGACTGAGCGACTGAACTGAACTGAAAGTCAAACATCTCCTAGTTTCGGTCAGCCTTAGGACAGGATGTGTTCATTTCTTCCTCCCTGCAGTCATTCTTAGGTGAGCCTGGTCAGCATGTCCCTGTGAGCGAAACAAAGGCATTTTAGCTTAATATTCATCACCTGGGAGGCAGGGTTCCCAGTATTTTAGTTGCTAAGTTGTGTCCGACTCTTTGCAGCCCCATGGACTGTAGCCCACCAGGCTCCTCTGTCTGTGGGATTTCCCAGGCAAGAATACTGGCGTGGGTAGCCATTTCCTTTTCCCAGAGATGGGCCTTTATGTATAATTTAAGCTTATAGGCAATATTGCTTTAGTGATTACCTTGTAATAGAATACAAAGGTGCTTCCCTATTACAAGGGCAGCACATTGGCCTGGCCAAACAGGCCTCGAGTCTGTGAGGTGGGAATGGGAGGCTAGGTATTACACTTGGGGACTGAAGAGGTGAGGGATAGTCTGTGAATCTGAGTTTCTGGACACAATTTCTCTTACGCCTCACCTGTCCCCACCTCCTGCAGAGTTTTTTGATGCAGAAGGAAATGAGGTAGACATGAAATTTGGGGGACTCCGGGGCCGAGGGGTCAAGAAACAGGACCCTCCAATCGAACGAGACCTCTACCTGTCCCTGGAGGACCTATATTTTGGCTGCACCAAGAAAATTAAGATCTCCCGAAGGGTGAGTACTTGGGAGCCATCTTCTATCCCCTCCAACCCTACTGGTCACCCACTCCCTGATCCTCAGTGGAGACCTCAGCTGTGGTCTCACAGAAGCATGGAATCTTAGATTTGGAGTCCCAGGATGGTTGAATTCTAAAACCTGAGGTTTGGAAGGGACAGTTGAGAGCTTCAGCCGGATTTTTTCCTCCTGTAGGAATCCTCTGTGTGCTTTCCTAACTGGGACCAACTCTTTCCCTTCTCAGCTCAGCCCCATCCCTGGGGGAAGTGGGAAGGCTCTGGACCGTAGGAGTCTCCTGTGAATTCTTCCCTCTGGCTGTTTCCTGACAGTCCCCTCCAGGTTTCATCTGGGTGTTCGCCTCAGGAGTAAGAAGGAGCCGTGCGGGCATGGAGGCTGGGCCAGGGCACATGTCCCACGGGGACTGGTTGAAGAAGACCCTCAGTGCCTCAGGTCCCAGACCCCACCCTGGCCCTGGCCCTTGGTCCAGCCCTGTGCTAGGCACCCAAGCAAGACCCCTCACACCTCTGCCCAGCAGAGGAGATGCCAGTTGCAGCCATGCTTTCCATGGAGGGAGGGCACCCATCTGGGCATGTTGGGAAATAGATGGAAGATGGAGGGATGCTTTGGGAGAGGCCAAGATATGTTGCCCTCCATTGTTTTTCTCCCTTTGGGATTAAAAGATATGCCAGAGGCTCTAGGTCAGAGCCTCTGGGGTGGGAGAGCGAGTGCATGTTCACCGTGTGTCTGTTGGTCGCTAAGACCATGTAATTTCTAGGGCTGGAGTTCTGACCTTGATCAACTCATGGGGACTGCTTGGCACCTCAGGCCCAAACCCCATGACATGTCCTGCCATCCTGGAATCATAAGTTCTTGATTCCAGTGGAATAGGATGGGAGTGGGGATGGCTCAGACAGGTCCTCCCCATTGCTGGAGGACTGAGCTGTGCACAGATCCCATGGAGCATCTTTCACATGTGTAAAAAGCCACCTGGGAAATCCTGAGCCTACCTCCTTCCCCATCATCTCGCTACAGGTGCTGAACGAGGATGGGTACTCCTCTACCATCAAAGACAAGATCCTCACTATCGACGTAAAGCCTGGTTGGAGGCAGGGCACACGTATCACCTTCGAGAAAGAGGGGGACCAGGTGAGGGTTGGGAAAGCTGTCTAAGGTCATTTACTTGGGTTCGTGTGATGGGAAGACTGAGGAGGAAGGAGGCCCCTGGGAGCCCGGGTCTGGAAGGGAGACCAGTCTGCAGGGGAGATGAGCTGATCCCTAATGCCCCTTCTGAGGGGCAGAGCCTCCCACAGTGCCTCGGTGAGTGGGTCACCCAGGACGTCTCCTCATTTTGCAGAGTGATAAACAGGCCCAGAGAGAGAAGGGACTTGCCCAGGGCAAGAGCACCAGAGCTGAAAGGAGACCCCAGTCCTAACATCAGTGCTCTGATTTTCTTTTCGAAAAATTATTTACTTATTTGGCTGTGCTGAGTCTTAGTTGCAGCATGTGGGATCTAGTTCCCTGACCAAGAATCAAAGCCAGGACCCTGCATTGGGAATGTGGAATCTTGGACACTGGACCATAGGGAAGTACCCTTCCTGATTTTCTTGTGTGTTTCTCTGAGTAAAGGCCAATTGTAGGAGATACTCAGAAGCCATTTGTTTACAATAATTTTAAATTAAATACTTATTTAAATAAAAATGTAAAATTATTGTCCAAAGCATGCTGATTCCTCAGGTTCTGAAAAGAAAAGGAATGATGGTATCTTTGGAGCCAGAGAAATGAATTCCTCTTTCCATATCTCTTGCCTCTTTCTCACTTATGAAACACCTAGTTCCAAAAACCCACTTCAAGACCTACCTCTAGGACTTCCCTAGTGGTCTAGTGGCTAGTACTCTGCATTCCCAGTGCAGGGGGCCCAGGTTCCATTCCTGGTCAGGGAAGTAGATTCAACATGTTGCAAAACCAAGACCCAGCATAGCCAATTAAATTTAAAAAAAAACAAAACCCACCCAGTTCTAAAGCTCCCCTCTCCAGGCAGCCTTCCCTGACCTCTCTCTGAGCTCCCACCTCTGGGTTCCCTTTATCTCAGTCTTGAGGATTCACTGTGTCCCTGTTTCCCCCAGACTGGAAGCCCTGGTGGGTAGGGGCCAGTCTGATTCCTCTATTCCGAGTGCCCACAGGAGTTCCAACAGAGTTCTGGGACTTAATGAAGCTTGGCAGGACAGTCTTGCAGGCAGTACTCTGACCCCAACCCAGTATTCTGCCCTCCGGCTGGGTTGCATCTACTTGGGCTGCAGAGTAATGGCAAGGGGAGGGTGATGGGCGGGGAGTGGGTGTGTGTAGCTGTTGGGGTAGGTTTCTTTCTAAGGCCAAAATGGAAAGGCCCTTCCAGAAAAAACTGGTTTAATCTCCTTGTTGTTCAGATGAAGATTTGGAGACAATAGGGACAGGAACTTGGCCAAGGTCACATAGCCAAGTAGTCCTTGTCATCCCTTGGCCTCCCCTGCCCAGGGTCCCAACATCATCCCAGCCGACATCATCTTCATTGTAAAAGAGAAGCTACACCCTCGCTTCCGCAGGGAGAATGACAACCTCTTTTTTGTGAACTCCATCCCCTTGGGCAAGGTGAGTGGGCAAAGTGGAGGAGCAAAGGGTGGGCAGATCACCTGGGCTCCACCAACCCCTTTACCTCCCTCTATCATAACATACACCAATGTCACTCTTTTCTCCCAGACTGTGAACTCCTGAGGGCAGGTAATTGCTCAGCTCACTCACCTGTTAGTCCTTAAACATCCTTTTGTCTCCTTGAGGTCCAGCTTAGAGCCTGGCGTCAGATAGCCTCATAAAGTACCTTCTAAACAGAATGGACATAGGGACCTTCCCCACTCCCACTTTTGGCCTTCATGTCCCCTAGGCTCTGACCTGCTGCACCGTGGAGGTGAAGACCCTAGATGACCGTCTGCTCAACATCCCCATCAATGACATCATCCAGTGAGTCCGTTTACTTGGGCCCCAATAGACGGGAGAAGGGCTTCCTGGTCCTTAGTGGCACCCAGCACAAGGGAGTGACAGGGATTGAAATCCAGCCCCCACTTTGGCCAAGCTGTGGGCTGCATTCATTTGACAAATGGAGTGCCTCGTTGTGGAGGCTAGGGGCCCCCAGTGTTAGGAAATCCCTGTTGTCTTCATCCTCTAGAGCTCTGAATTGCATCCCCCAAGCCCTTTCCCCAGCAAGGTCCTCTGTGTGGGAAGCTTGGCAACCGAGCACTCCCCATTCCAACCCAGGGTCTGCTCACTTTCCTTCCCTCCTTGTCCTGTTTTCCATCTAAATGAGATTCCCGGAATCCTCCATCAGACTCAGTGTAAATGGATTTCCAGGGAGCAAGCTGTCTGGAACAAGCCAGTCTCCTCTCCCCTGCCACTGGTTCTAGAAGCTGGTGACTGCTGCATGCCTGAGGTTATGTGAGCAGGGGCAGATGTCTGGCTCTGGTGCCCTCTGAGTTCCCTTCTTTCATCCTCCCCTGTCTCAGCCCCAAGTACTTCAAGAAGGTGCCAGGGGAGGGGATGCCACTGCCGGAAGACCCCACCAAGAAGGGGGACCTCTTCATTTACTTCGACATCCAGTTCCCCACCCGCCTCACACCCCAGAAGAAGCAGATGCTGCGCCAGGCGTTGCTGATGTAACTCGGGTGGGCTGGGGCCTGAGCAGGGGTAGGGGAAGGTGAGCGGGGCCTGACCCCACCTCTACCCAGTCTCAGGGTGTGCAGGGGAGCCCACCTACTGCACAGACAGGACATGAGGGCTGGATGGTATGGGATTTTTGAACTGACACAATAAAGTTTTATTTCCTATCCTCCAGCTACACCCAGGAGAATTATGTGTTAGATGGAGAAGAGCTTCATACAGCCCTTCTCGTGGAGCAGAGGCAAGGGCAGGGCCCAAAAAATTGAGGAGCTGGGACCCCATCCTGGCTATGTGAGCCTGGCCAGGTCTCTGAGGGTTCAGAGCCTCTGTGCTCCCACCTTGATAGTGGGGTGCAGTGCTGCATCATCTCTGAGGGTTCCTAGATCTATTTCTCATGACACATGCTCTCTGGAAGGGCAGTCTCTAGTGTGTTACAGTCACAGTGTACTCAGGAAAACTGAAGCACAACGAGAGCAAAACACTTGTCCCAGGTCACACAGGGCTCAGTGGCAAAGCTCCATCAGAACCTTGAAGGCCACTTCTCACAACTTCACTCTGCTCTGAGGCAGCACCAAGGACAGAGTGCCAGAGTGGCTTAGGTTTCTGCCTTGCCAGTCTCCATTGCTGGTTCTGTGCAGTGGGTCCTGAGCTAGACCTCGGCAGGTTCTTAGAACTGGGCTCTGCTTCTAATCCTGCCCCTGCCCCTTTGGACATTATTATCCATCTTGTTAGTAAAGAAGAACCCATAACCCTCCTCATGCTGCTCACTGATGTGAAGGTGCTTGGTGAACTCATGGCATAGGTATCAGGGTTGCAGCATTGCTGCCAATATGGCCTATGGGAGTGCCAGCCTCCAGGCCCACCTGGGCTTGTGCAGACCACACCTCCTTCCCCAGTCTGCCTTCTGTGCCCGGGGAGGCACCCCTCACTGAAGTCTGGGCTTGGGCTAGGAGAGATTCAAGCTTATGACAGAGAGGGTGGCCACTTACATGGAGTGACTTAAGACACCAGAGGGAATTCCCTGGTGGTCCAGTGGTTAGGACTCTCCACTTTCACTGTCAAGAGTGCGGGTTCAATCCCTGGTTGGGGGACTAAGATCCCACAAGCCTCGCAGTGCAGCCCCCTCCCCCGCAAAAAAAAAAAAAAAGAGGTCGGCCAGAAGAGGGCCCCATAGAATAGATATTGCTTTGATTACACCATTCAAAATATCATATTAGCTTAAGCCATTTTAAACCATCAGGGAGAAGGCCGCAGACCTTAAGATGTAGAATCTGACCCATTAAAGAATGTGGGCTTTGGAGTTAGGTACACCCCCAGGGGTTCTACTTGCCAGCTATGTGCCCTTGGGCAAATAGCTTCACCTCTCTGAAGCTGTTTACAATCCCTGTCTTGCAGGAGGAGGATTCCACACCTTACTTCTGAGCTGAGGTCTTACAGTCCCCAAGGACAGGGTTAGGTTATGAGTGGAAACCAGAGTGGAGCAGACTCTGCCCTGAGGCAGGACCTAGGTGGAGAGGTGGTACTAGCTGCCCTGGTTTGACAGCGAGTGGGTGAGGACCTGCCCGGTGAAACCCTGGCAGTCTAACTCTCCTCTAGGCCAGCAGCAAGGCCTGCTCATAACCTCTTCCTCATGGTGAGATTCTCAGGGAAGCCTGGTTTCAGGCCTGATGAGGGCCATTTATGAGATTATTAGGTCAGTGTGGTCTTCAGTGCTACTGTGTGTCTGGTGTTTCACAGGCAGTGAGGGAGGAGTTACTGAGGCCTGCTGGTATGCTGTTCCGTGTTCCTACCACCTTTCCCAGCTCCTGTCTCAGGATCATTCCTAGAACAATGAAGTCTGGTGGTCTCATGCCCAAGCCAGTGTCTGAAACACAAGACTGGTCAATGAGCCAGCTGACAAACACGCCTGGGGCAACAGACTGCCCCTCAGTTTCCTCTGGTGCACAACAGTGAATAGCCTGTCTCACAGGATTAATGTGAGAATTAGGGTGCATTAGGCACACTGACTGGATCCCATTTAGGCTGACCCTTGCCACCCTGGCTTGATTCATGACACCCAACCTTGTCCCTCCTGGGGACTGTGAGACCTCAGCTCAGAAGTAAGGTGAGGAATCCTGGGCCCTCTTTCCTTCTCCACGACCCTAACATGCGGGACCCCTTGCTCAAGCACTGAAGGGCCCAGCCTCCAACTCTGACTGGTGGGGAAGGCCTGGTAGCACCAGCTGACTGAAGCAGGAAGGTCATGTTCTCTGGGCCTGGCTCCACAGCCGCCTAACAGACTCCTGAGGAACCCCAGCACTGACTCCCGGGGGGAAGGGGGAGGGAGGAATCTGGTTCCTAGACTGAGTTCAGCTGCAGATCTCCTATGTGTCCTTGCCTGCGTGACCTGTCCCAGCCTTCAGGTTCTTCAGACATCTATAAAATGGGCCTGGATGGCTTAATTCCAAGGCCCAGCTGTGCATGAGATGCCTTGAGATTCTGGAACCTCAGAGTCCCCAAACCCTTGAAATAGCAATAGCTCTGCCCATCTGTTTTCCTGACTAAGGCCAGGTAGCAGGAAGAGGGGCAGGGAGGCTGACACCCCTGCCTGTCACCACCTCCCTGCCTGGAATCTCTAGCCTGGGGTGAGGGTGAGACTCTAAATGGAAAGACTCCTCAGGCTGAGGCTGGATGTCTGCTCTGCAGCCTGCTGTAGCCCATGCTGCCTCCTAAGGGTGTGACTGTGGAGGATGGACTTGCTCTCACTAGGCCTGGGACTTGGGGGAGGTGGGTTTCCCATTTATAAAGTAGAATAAAATAAGTGACAGCATCCAAGATCCCCAAGTTCCTCTAACTCTTCCAAGCAGCACAGGAGATGCAGGGCAAACAGGAACACTCATTCTGCGGAATAACAGGCCCAGGGCCTGCTGGGGGGTTGGAGGCAGGTGCTGGAGTACCAGGAGCTGGTGAGTGAAAGCTCAAGTGGTCTGGCAAGAGAGCCAGGCAACTGCAGACTCCAGGTCGCTCCTTCACTTCCCATCTCAGCCCTGGCCTGGTCTGGAGACGGAGGTGGACCAGATGGCCTCCACCCAGAGAGGACTGCTGGAGGAAGATGGGCCCACCCCCCGTTCCAAGTCAGGTGGCTCCTCCCCTGCCCACCAGGTGCCAAAAGGGCCCAGTAGACCAAGATCTGTGGTGATAGAGAGGGAGGAGACGCTAAGGTTGAGCTTGTTTTATGGGTGACGTGCTAGTTGGGCTCGGAGGCAGGAAGCAGGATGAAGAGTCAGGCTGAGGGCTTTCTAGGGGACTGGGGGCTTGAGATCCTGGCTGGTGCCAGGCTTTCCACAGTGTCAGCTGGGGTCAACTCCACCTGGACCGTGAGAGGCTACAGGGAGCTGAGGGGTGAGAATATGGGGAGGGGGAAGGGAGCAGAAGAGAGGGAAGGGGAGAAGGGGAGGAAGAAAAAGGAAGCAGGGCCAGGCTGCAGCTGGAGCCAATGCTGATCAGGTCAGCAGCTGCTCAGAAGGGAGCCTCCCGGGAAGCATGGGCAGCCATGAGGGCCCGTTTCAGCTGCTCGTAGGTGACGAACATCACCACGTTCCAGGATCCCAAACGGAGAAAGGAGGGCATGAACCTAGAGGGGGAGAAAATACAGGTCATCTCTGGTTCGCCCTGGCATCCTGACAGATGCTCTGTCTCCCAGGAAGTTGGGATGGCCCAAGAAATGGAGCTGTGGGCAACAGTCCCCTCTGAGTCTCCATTTTAACACCCATAAAACGGGCATGACAGCAGCTCCAGGAGGGAGGAGTTAAGAGCATGAGAATGCCAGGACCAGGATCAGAAACTGCTGACATGTAGTTGCCACTCAGTCCCAGTGGTTCTCTCATTTGTGTGACAGGTATGGGGGACAGGAGGCCTGGACCTGGGAGGGGCAGGTCAGAGGCTCACCCTTTGTAGAAGGCTCGGGGCCCCTCCTTCTGGAGCATACTGAGGGCGCAGTGGCCAGCGCTGCTGTACTGGCCCAGGGCAGAGTTCATGTATCTCGTCTTGACCACGTCGACAGGGGAGGCGATGACGGTGGTGCAGAAGCCCGCCCCGAAGGCAGAAGTAAAGTGGCAAGGGAGGTCGTCTGCCAAGGAGGAGTAGGAGGCATCAGGACTCCTCCCCCGATAATTCCAGAAGGAGATGATTGAAGTAACTACGGTCTCATGGTTTTAGACCCAGAAACTCCAGTGGGAACCTCTCCCAGTGCCTCTGAGAGTCGTTTTGCCCATGTAGCCTCAGGGCCTCAAGGTGCACTGTGGCAACTTCACCCCAGCTGGTGGCAATTCAGTGAGAGAAACTCACTGCATAAGCAAAGGGGAAATGGGATGAAGGATGTGGTCTCCAGACAGATCCACACTGGCTCCTGGTTTGGGGGAAGGGTGAAACCCAGCATCATCTCCCCTAATTCACCTGTCATTAGGTGGGCCTTCAGGAGAGTGTCCTTGATGAGGTCGTAGGTCACCAGCTCAGCACAGTTGACAATGGCATTGCGAGCGACATTGGGAGATGTCCCTATGGGAGGAAAGGGTGTCTATGTGAGACCAGGGAGTAGGGGAAGAGGAAGACAGGGAAGAGAAAACAGCTGGTACACACCTTTCCAGAGTCCCCGAAACCCCTCCTCTCGGGCAATAGTTTTGTAGGCCTCAACAGTGCTCTGGTACCTCCGGCCAGCTCCAGCTCGGGCCTGCGCTTGGAACCGGACCTTCACCACATCCGTTGGCTGGGCCACGGCCACGGCCAAGGCACCAGTGGTGCTGCCTGCCAGGAGGCGGCTCCCGATGCCGGCATCTGTCGGAAAGCCATGGGGGTCAGTGGCCACCTGGGCTTCCACTAGTGTCCACCTCTCCTCACCAGAACCACACCACTGAAATCTGTCTTCACTGTCCCCTGTTAATAAGACCCAGACCAGCTCTGCTCTAAGAACACCTTGCATCATACAGTGTCTATTATGTACTGTGGGCACTGGGACAGAGTAAGGAACAGGACAAAATGAGGTTTAATGCTATTTTCTTTCATAAAGCATTTCTATTCACTTCATTTCACTCACTAAATGGCCCTGAGAAATCAGAAACTTTTATTTTTTTGGGCTGCGTTGCAGAGCTTGTACGATCTTAGTTCCCTGACTAGGGACTGAACCCAGGCCCCAGCAGTGAAAGCCCTAACCACTGGACCACCAGGGAATTCCCGAGAATCATTTCCATTTGACAACCATGAAAGGCTTTCTCAGACTGGGATTCACAGGACTTGGGTTCTCATCCCTCATCTACTTCTCCCTGACATGTGATCTTGGGAAAAGGAAACCTTTCGATCTGGGTTCTCAGTTTCCACAAGTGTAAAATGGAGGATGGACATGGTATGCTGAGAAGGTGAAATGGAAGAGCACTGGCCTTGAAAGCAGAAGTCCTGGGAGTTTTCTGGCTCTTCATTGTGAGCCCTTGGCCGAGTCCCCTCCCCCACCCCAGGTACGCCTCGGCCTCTCCAGCTGGAACACGGGGATGATACCACCTGCTCCCGAAGTGGTTGTGAAAACCGTGATGAGCTGATGCCCTGCTCAGAGCCTGACTCAGCCCAGGAATCATCAGAATAATGAGGGACACTTCTGGTTCTCAGTTCCTCTGAACTGAAATTCCTCCTAGAGGTCTTGGGGCCTAAAGGAACTGTGTGGCTGGGAGAACTAGGATCGACCATCACTGAGAACAGGCCAAGAGGCCTATGGCCCAGCTCCACACTCACGCTCAGAGCCCTTGGTGTAGAACTGCTTGACGGAGTCGTAGAGGCCGATGCGGACGGAGGCGAAGCTCATCTGGCGCTGCAGGCCGGCGACCAGCCCGCTGTAGAGGCTGCGGGGGCCCTCGGTGCGCACCATGGTCAGGATGGTGCCCAGCACCCCGCGGTACTGGGCACTGGCCGCAGCCTGCATTGGCCCCTGCCTTTCTCCTTGGATCTGCAAGGCCAAGGCAGGTGGTTGCCCTCCCCATCTCCTGCCATCCCTGTGCTCTAAAATTTATGGTCCCCAAAACCCCACATACTGGCCCTTGAGGAGTCTGTGCCTTGGGGAGGGAGCAGACTAGCCACTCTCAGAAATGCAGGCCTCATCCGCTCACCTGTAGCCGGACTTTAGCAGTATCCAGGGGAAAGGTGATGAGGTCAGCAATGCAGGCAGCTGTGCCTGCCCCCAGGAACTTCACAGTGGCTGTAGGGGGCACATCTGTGGCCTTGAACCCAACCATAATGATGATTCCTGCAACCTCCCAGGAGATGAACAAAAACTGGAGAAGGGGCACCTTCTGTCAGCAACAAGACGAGACAGAGGAACTCTGCCGGAGGCTAAGCCAAGGAGAGACAAGGTCCATCAGTAGCCGAACCTCCAGACCTTCTCTTCTTACTATCCTGCCCCTACCTTCTCTGACAGCATCACCCCCCTAAGCAAGGGCTCAGAGCTGCCCCTCGAGGGCAAATAGGAGTGAGCTCCACAGGTACTCAACAGGGGCTGGCGAAGTAATTCCTGCCTGAGAAGTCTTCTCCTTCACCACGTGGAGTATCTGGATCACAGCTGTCCTAGTACTGCCTTGCAAACAGGCACTGGCCCAGCCCTTTGTCTGCTGGCTACAAAGATGTCACTGATGCCCACCCACGTTCCTGATTCTGCAGCTCTGTCTAGAGGGCAGGCAGACGAGGGGAAAGGTTTCAGCCAGACTAAGACCTGATAGGTACAAACCCACAGGTATTATGCCCTGGATGTCTTAAGCAGAAGAGTCTGGAATTGTCTAAGTTTAGAAGAAAAGGAGTGAACAAGACCTATTCAGCCCCTTCAATTTGGTCTCACTCTTCCCCACCAGCCCACACACAGCTTGGGCTCTCTAGAGTCACTCTTTCAATGAGTTCGCTTTGCCCAGCGCTGGTTCACTGAGACATTATCTACCCTAGAGGGAGGCTTATTGTCTGGCACTGGGGGTGGGCAGGTGTTTCAAGCTGCATTTAGGGCTTGCAGAAACATTCTCAAAATTAAAAGGAGGGAACATCCACCTCCACTGTGAGAGAAGAAAGGGTGGGTAGTCAGAAAAGACTTAGGAAAAGTAACATTTAGCTGGGCCTTGAAGGATACTGTGCAGATCTTAGGGCTAAGAGTATCTTCCTCCCTCCCCCAGCCTACTGTGTAACACAGGGAAAACTATTCCCTCTCTGGCCAGTTTCCTCTCCTCCTATAACACAGGGGGAGCCATGTCTTCATGAGAGGTGGGGATGGGGAAGTAGTGTAGGTCAGAGCTATAAAGAATGACAAAGGAAACCAAAACCTCCATTTTGTTCTCAGAATTAGAACAACACCCTCCTCCCCTGCCTTGGGAGGAAGTGAGCCCAGCACCCCAATGGGGGAGGGTGACCTGCTTTTCTCCCCTGAGTTTATTTTGACCAGAAGTGGCTACTCTGAGCCCCACCTAATTGGCTATCCCTGTTGCTGGGGCTGCGAGGAAAGAGCTGGCCAACAGAGGAATGATGTGGTGACAGTAGTGAACACACAGACCGATGGAAGCAAAATGTTCACCAGGCTTCTTCCTCCTGGGCCTCTCATCCCAGGTGGCTGGGCAAACGGGAAATCTAAAGGCTACTCACCACTCGGCTGCTGGCCTTATTCGTGTTTCCCTGGACCACATGAGGCTCAGTGAAGGCTGCACTCAGGCAGCGGAAGGGGTTGATGAAGGTGTTCCCGAACCCCCACAGTCCCTGCCCTGACATTCTCATCCCCCAGGAAGTGCTCCACACCTTTCCTCACCCCTCTGGCAGATTCTATTAGCTCACTTGCTTCTCAGAGCAGCTCTGTGAGGGAGCTTAGTAACAGTCCTGTCTGCAGGCTCCAAAGCTTATACAATTTGCTTTACACTGGAGCCCAGGTCATTTCTTTCCTGTTTTCTCAGCCCCAGGCACAGGCAGGACCTTTCATGAGGAAGTCCAACATCCCAGTTCTCTTGTGACAATATGACAGTTCTGAGAAGATTCAGGCAAAAAAGGCATTCCTTCTGGGCATCGGAGACATGATAACAACATGAGTCAATCATTTCCTGACCTTGATCTAGGTTGCAATGTGTTGTGAGGGTCAGAGAAATATAAGACCCAGCCCATCTTGGAGACAAGTGCAAAGGCTAAGTTGCCATTTTGAATATTGCCTTGGGTTTGCCATAAGTCAGGTCCTTCAGAGGCATAGGTATGGGAAGCAAAGGTCCCTGTGCTAAAGACCCTACTAAGAAGATTAAATTAAAATAAGGCCTAATGGGAAAGAATTAATCATATATTACTCACCAACAAATAACCACTTTCACCTGATTAGCACAGTCTTAGGGACAGACCAAAACATACATCTGATTCCTAATCGAAATCTCAAGGGTAGTCAAAAGCTTGAGTCAACAATATGTATTTAGAACACTAGGTTCTCCTCTGTTGCTGATTTCCTGGAGCTAAACACTGTTCCACTGGGGCCTCACTGTCCTCCTCTGTAACATGGGGATTATACTCCTTGGCTTGTCAGGGTCAGTTTAAGGGCCAGAAGAAGACCAAGGATATAGGAAAGTGCTTTGTGAGCTCTCAGAGTGACTTTACTGGGATGGTGGTGCTAGTTACTTTTGTTAATATCCTGCTGACCCCGCCCCAGACCACCGGGTTAAGGCAGTAGGAGACTCCTCCCTTAGACTGGACTCTTACCCGGCTTTGTTGGGTCCCACGCTGAGGCCTTCAAGGTCAAGCTTCTCTAAAGATGTCCCGTTCTTCAAAGCTGCCAGTGGCTATCATGGCCTGATCCCTTTGGTTTTCCATAGAAAATGGTTGGTAGACGAAATACCTAATGGTCATACTATGTGTCCTGTAGAGCAAAGGAGGTGAGTTTAGAAAGAGAAATGGGCCTTAAAAGGACTACAAACCCAGTAAAAGGAAAAGGCCATCTGCCCGAGGCATGTTAGCGTATTCAGTCCTTGCCTGGGGGATATGAGGGTAGGGAACAGGGTCCATTTCCCACAGGGCAGCTGGGGACTAATTAAGTCCACACAGTGGAGGAGATGGACAGACAAATGGGAGGAAGGGATGAACCCAGAAGTCCTCCCTCCCCTGTCTGACCTATTAGTATCACACATTGCTCTTTCAGATTTCTGCTTTAGTGTAATTCAGTACTCTGGGGAAGCATCCCACAACATAGCAGACTCTGGTGAGTGGAAGTGCTGGAAGTGAGGTGGGGAAGGGGCATCAGGATGGTTCAGAGACTAGGGCCCAGAGCAGGGCTTGAGGAGGTTAGAGAGGTTGGAATGGGCCCAGCGGAGGCCATATCAAGCAGCTCAAAGCTCCTGCCAGCAGAAAGAACTCTAGGAAGGCCTGTAGCTGCCTGGAATGGGAGAGGTCCTTCTGATCATCGCTCAAGGCCCCCTACCCTGGCAGAGGAGAGGGCTTATATTACAGCTTTTTGAGCGCGAGAGGTAAAGAACAAAGGCAAGACAGGAAAAGAGTGAAAGAAGAGAGATTTAAAAAAAAAAGACAAAACGGTAAAATACAAAATAGGGTGGGAGGCGAGGAGGGAAATTAGAGGTGGCGCGTGGGTCCCCTCGGCCGGAGTAGCGGGAGGAGGGCAGGTGTTGCGGGTGCAGGACTGGGGCGGGCCGGGGCCGGGCTCACCGGGCCGCAAGGAGAACAAGCGGGTACAGGCAGTTCTGTCGGTCGGCGGGCGGAGGGCGCGTCCACGGAGCGCAGACAGAACTCGATCCGAAGGCGCGGCCGGCGGGGCTTGTAGAGAGGTAGGAGGAGGGTGCCCTGAGACTTAGATCTCGGGGCGGAGCCTGCTGGGCGGGGGCGGGGCCTGCGGGCTCCGAGGACTGGGCGGCGACCCTTTAGCAGCAGAGACCGCCACGCCCAAGGTCGTCTTCGCGCCTTCTTTCACTCCCATTTCCGGGCTTCGGTCCCCGCGTCAGCCTTTTTGTACCCCATAGGGTTCCCCCTTGCCCCGCCAACCTCATTGTGAGGATGGCAAGACTGACGCGCGGGAAGAAGCAGAGGCTGCCCAGGGTCCTACACGCCTCTGGCCCCTAGCCGCGGCTCTTTCTAACAACGCCCAAAGGCTCGGGTAGAAGAAGAGCACTCAGTGATTTCACGGGCCCAGTTCGCTACCCGCAACTCGGCCACCCGTGTTTCCGCCAACCGCTCGCTCTCCCCAGGCGGCAGCGCCGGCTCTCTGGGGCGGGGCCTCCCGACAGGCCTCGCAGCAGCAGGTGGCCTGTCACCGCCAACGGCCTTTGAGCGCATCTGGGTTTCCTGCCGCCTGAGGGCTCTGTCCTGGGTTCCCCGGGGACTTCTGGACGGGGCGGGGGTACCGACCGTGGCACTCCCGCCCCGACTTACAGACGAGCCAACGGGCTGGCGCCCCTCGAGTGAAAAGCCGGAGTGAGAAGGCCGAACAGGGCTTGGATGTGCTGCGTGCTTAGGCCCCAGCATGAGAAAGGGATGGTAGGCGAGGAATCTGGCCCCTCAGGTGGCTGGTGGTCTTTTGGGGGTGAGACATGTAAACAACCAGTAATTGTGTCTTGTGGCCGGACAAACACGTGCACATGGAGTGTAGAAGGACTCTATGTTCGCCCTTGGACTCTTGTGTCCCTACTTTTGGGTTCCTTCGGTCCCCCACTGCCTCTTTCCAGCCTTGTAGGCTGTCTGGGACTGTTGTGAGAAATTGTGGACGTTGTCTGCCATCCTAGTAAACAAAGTTGCCCATCATCTCAGTTCTGTAATGCTCTGGCCATTAGCCACTGTAACCACCCAACCACAGTGAGCCCTGAGGGGAATTCAGGATGGAGGAAAACAGGAAGCATTCTGTGCTTTGGGTACTACTGGCCTTCCATAGTTAAGATGCATACCTAAGGAATAATTTAAATGAATCCAGATTATTACATTTTCCTGTATACAGAAAACCACTAAAATCATTAATTTGAGATGTCTGTTCTTTATGATTGACTAATTTTTTGATGTTCAACTACATTTTTTTTCCCAGCAAAATATTTATCTTGGCTTTTCTCTTAACCTCTTTCAAACATGTCCTCAAAGGTATCTGAGAGGCCCTCTCGTGGGCTGTCTCCTTCAGTAAGATTCCCCGGGTAAAGTTTAACTGGTTACTTTCAGGTGTGTGTTTTTCTTCAATTGCAGCTGTTTGGCCTGCTGTTAAAAGTACCTTTGGAAAGTGTAATGGGAGGATCTGGGAAGATGAACA